GGAGTGGCTAAAATGGCTGTACACGGATGTAACTGAAAGACTTCAGGCCAGTGATTTCGCAACGTTGCCTGAGGCTCATGCATGCACTGCAGGATTGAAGTCTCTCACCACCACAGCCACTGCGGTATGTTCCAGAGCTGATCCTTTATGCTCACGATACTAAACTGGTCTGTTTTTGTTTTTTTTTTCTATGAGTCAAACAGCTTAGAAGTCGGAAAGTTTTGTTCCCTCCTTGATGTGACGTGGAGGTGTATTTAGACTTATTAAGCTTAATGTTGGGTGCAGGATGGCATTGAAGAATGCCGAAAGTTATGTGGTGGACATGGCTACTTGTGGTGCAGTGGGCTCCCTGAGCTGTTTGCTGTGTATGTTCCTGCATGCACATACGAAGGAGACAATGTTGTGCTGCAATTACAGGTACTAGAATAGCACTGTCAAGCTAGCACGTGGCTCTTCAGCTTCTATAGCTCTCTGGACTTTTTGGCTGAGTTCTTGGTTTAACATGCTTTCATATTGTGTGTTTTGTACATTCTTGAATATTGTGTGTTATAGGTGGCTAGATTTCTCATGAAGACAGTATCCCAGCTGGGATCTGGAAAGGCTCCTGTTGGCACAACTGCTTATATGGCTCGAGCGGCACATCTTTTGCAATGTCAATCTGGTGTTCAAAAGGGTGAGTATTCAAGTTTCATATATTTGATTTCGTTCTTCTTGATATTTTCTCAACATGATTGTTTCTGTTCATTGGGATTGATATAGCTGAGGATTGGTTAAACCCTGCTGCGGTACTGGAAGCTTTTGAAGCCAGAGCTCTGAGAATGGCTGTTACTTGTGCCAAAAATCTCAGCAAGTTTGAGAATCAAGAACAAGGTACTTTTCTAACTCCCATGAATCCAGAGCAATTGGTCGCCAAAAGCACCTTACTCTACTAAGTTCTTCTAACAAATCTGCAGGATTCGCTGAGCTCTTGGCGGAGCTGGTTGAGGCTGCAATTGCTCATTGTCAGTTGATCGTTGTTTCCAAGTAAGCTTCTTCAAATAAGTTAGTGATTCTCTCTCTCTGAGTCGGCTCCTGAATTTGGCCAACTTTGTCTTGGGTTAAGGTTTATAGCGAAACTAGAGCAAGACATAGGAGGCAAAGGAGTGAAGAAACAGCTGAATAATCTGTGTTACATCTACGCTCTCTACATCCTTCACAAACACCTCGGAGATTTTCTCTCCACTAACTCCATCACCCCCAAACAAGCCTCTCTCGCCAACGACCAGCTCCGTTCCTTATACTCACAGGTTCTCTCTCTCTCTCTCTCGCTCTCTGCATTTGGTTGGTTTAAAAGCTAAACACTTTTTTGGTTCCCTTCTGTTTAGGTCCGTCCTAATGCGGTTGCGCTTGTGGACGCGTTCAATTACACGGACCATTACTTGAACTCGGTACTGGGGCGTTACGACGGTAATGTGTACCCGAAGCTCTTTGAGGAAGCGTGGAAGGATCCATTGAACGACTCGGTGGTTCCTGATGGATACCATGAATACGTTCGACCTTTGATCAAGCAGCAAATTCGTACCGCTAGGCTCTGAAAGTCCCAAGAATTTGCTCGCTTTTGCCTTTTTTTTTTTTAATGCTCGATATGGTTTAATCACATATTTGTGACTTAATTTCTTCTTTGAATAAATTCGCCCGGTTGGGCGACACCCTTATTTATATGTAGCAAAATGTAATAGCTAAAATATGCGGTCATCATATGGCGGATTTTTTTTTTTTTTTTTTTTACTATTCTTAGCATTACATGAGACATTAATAAAATTAATCGTTTCTACGTTCTACTATGCATTGATAAAGATATGTCATATGTGGAATATGCTATGAACACTACAAGAAAAGGACGTGATTTCCTGACGGCAATTCCGACGATTTTCGATGAATTAGCGACGATTTAACGATGATGGAAGACATTGTCGGAAATCTGTCGGATTTTTCCGACGGAAATACATTCGTCGGAAAACCATCAGAAAATTATGACGGATATCCGAGAGAAACAAATTCGTCGGAACTTTCCGAGGAATTTCTGACAGAAGTCCAACGGATTTTCAATTTACATGAATGTGATCTAATCGACATATATTTTGAGTTATCTGTCGGAAATGCCTCGGAAATGGCCGACGGGTTTCCGACGGATTTACGACGGAAATTCATTTTTATAATCACTGCACTTCTATTTTTATAAAACTTTTTTTTTTTTTTTTTTTGCCAGCCATATAATTTTATTAAAGAAAGCAGAGTCTAACAACCCATTACAATTTAATTTCAGCCTTAATCTAATTACATGATAATCGATTAAGGAAAAACAGACACATGGCCACCACGTGTCGAGCGCTAGGGTTGAAGCTTAGGATGTCACGCCGCCTCAATGTCTCCGGCACACCGCCTCGAGATTTCCGGCACCGTGAAATTCCTATAGAGTTGAGATATATTTTACATCTTCTCGGGATCATCAATCTCAAACATTGACTCCAAATACTCTCTCCGTTTCGAAATACTTGTCATTCTAGCCTTATTCTTTTGTTTCAAAATAGTTGTCGTTCTCATTTTCCAATACAAATTTTAGTATTAAATATTTAATTTAACATTTTTTTTGGTCGAAATACTTAATTTACCTTGATATAATGAAAAATACTAATAGTCAATTTGCTTTTTAAGGGAATAATAGAAATTTTAATCTGTTTTATTAATCTGCGTAAAATCTCTTAGAACAACAAGTAAAAGGAAACAGAGTGAGTATCAATTTATTTAATTAACTGTCACAATGTTATCACAATCACCATCATCAATGCGTCATTCGCCACCACCACCATTACGCATTTTCTCCTTTTTCCTTCTCCTCCTCTTTCTCTTTCTCCTCATTCTCTTTTTCTCTTTCTTTCTTTGGTAGTGTGTGAAGAAAGAATATTGAAGAAGAAATTGTTTGGAATTGATAACTAAATGAATGAATAGAGAATTAATTTTGATATTATTAATAATTATACATTAGAATTACAATCTCCACATAATATGATGTCTCTTAAAATTCCTGATATTCATGTTTATTGTAGTTAGTTTTGGTTATAGCCTTTGTCTTAATGGAATGAGAGTCATTTGTATATCACCAACATTTCCAGTAGTATTACAATAAAACTTCTAATATTTGTTTGGTTTTTTATTGATATTTGGTACGTTTTTGTAAATTCCCATGATATTGTGACATTTGTGTTTTGCTATATGTTTTTCATATTTGACACACATATCTTGATAGATTTTTTCTTTTTTAACATCGTGGACGTCACTGAGTTTCCAAAGGCCACAAGCTAAAAAACATAAAAGGCTGATTTGATGTATTTTAGTCAATTATAGGTACCTTTTATGTTTGAATGAATTTCGGTTTGATACACGGTCGGATATATTCAGGTTCGGGCCTGTTGGGGTCCAAGTATAGAGAATCGAAATTTATCCGATATTTTCGGTTATGGTTCGGATTCAGAAATTCCCGTTATTTATCACCCGAAAACCTAAAAATATATTAAAAACCCCGGAAAATATTCGAAAATATATTTGTAAATCTCATTTTTTGTTATTTATAAAAAATAAAATACTGGAAATATATCCGAAAGCCCCAAAAAAACCGAAAAACCTAAAAATATTATATTTGTAATATTTAAAAATAATCTACAATAACGATAATTTGGATACCCGATCAGGTATCTGTTCAGTTTGGGTATTTTCCTATTTGGTGATTTGCGTTATACCCGAAATCAATCGAAGTACATGTATTTGGGTCGGTACAATTCAGATTTTGGGTATGGGGTAAATGTCCCAGGCCGAGAAAATATGATTATATATGAATTTCTGCTAATAATTGTTTTGAAAGTGTAAAATGTATGCATGAGTGTGTTGGCAAAACTATTGTAGAGAAAAAACTAAAAATTGAAGTAGTGAAGATTTTTATTTTGGTTCTCTTTTTTTCCATTATAAAATTATAATTCTAAAAAACTGATGTAAACAGTTGTTCTTGGATCTAGTTTGTAACATTTCGTTCTGTCCACTTTTAACATTTTTCTGTCATATCTTAGTAGTATAACAAAAGTAGAAGTAAATCTTTGTCTTTGGAACATAATCCCACGTACATTTTACCATTTGAATATAAGAATTATGTGTTCTCTGTAATAAATTTATGTATTAATTAGTTTAAAATCAAATTTAACCTGATAGATTATATTTTTATGATTTATGACTATTTGGATTTGTTTTCTACGCTAATTTCATGAAGTTCTCCTACTCATTTAACCAATCCACACAAGCGAAGTAATTACTTCAATTTTCATATGAAGATGAATCTTATTAGTCCACATGGAAGACCAGAAACACAGAATCCATTTTTAAAATAGTTATATACATTAACTAATAAGGATTTAACCCCATAAAAAGATATTATGGAACAGGAAATGTATTCCCTTAAAGAAACAAAAAAATGAAAAAAAGTTTTATTTTAAAATTCCCAAAAGTGCTGGAAGAATTGCCACACACATAATCAGCCTCCCATTAATATCATTCCCATAATAAGAACATTCAATATTTTAAATTATAGTTACCATTAAAACATCCTACCTTTTAAAGTTTTCTGACAGTTTGACTTCTTTATATGATTAGATTTATTATCTATGTATAAGTTCGTTTTCTGTTATAGAAAAAAGTTTCTGTAAAATACTGGAATAAATTCATGCATCTTGACATAATAACTTCTATTCATCATCACATGATACTTATCATGTCAATAAAGACAATATTAACACATATGGAAACATATTTTCTCAATCGGTGCTGGCATAATCTCCTTTCTTTCTCCACAAATGATATTTGTATATAAATAGAGGTGTCTCATAGCATCTCCATTTCATATTACTATCTCTCCCTCTAAATCTAAATTTCTTACATCTTTATTAATATACACATAAAAGACTCAACCATCGAAAATGATTGGTGGGTTTTGCATGAAAAAGGATCCCATGCGATTCTCAAAACCCCAAGAATGTTCGATTTGTCGAAGAATCTTCGTAACACCTAATGCCCTACTCGCACACTTCGAGGCTTTTCATTCCAATCGTCTTTTTTCATCTTTCTCTTCCTCCGTCCCCGCCGCCGCATCACCCACCACCGTCCGCCACCATCCATACCGAAACCCTAATCCTGTTTTATCGACGAGGAATCGTTTTGACTTGAATTTTTACCGTACTGGTTATTTAGATGAACAGGGGAGGTTTCAGAAAAGAGATCCGGCGGTAGCTCCTCCGACCAACAAAACTAACATTTTGTTTGGGCAGAACCCGAACCAGAGGCCGACGCTGATGGATCTTTTTCCGGCGACGTTATCAGAAGATGATCATACGTTGCCGCTTCTTCGCCAGATGGAGCAACGTAGATCGGAGGTTCCTGTGACGAGGAACGACACAGCCAAGTGGAGTTCCATCGACTTGAAATTGAGGCTATGATTCTTTTGTTGTTGTTGTTGTTGTTGTTGTTGTTGTTGTTCTAGTTTGTTGTTTTTTTTTCTTTCTTTGCAATGATTAGTGTATTATGTTTTTTTTAATAAGGAATTCTTTATTTTGTTGTTTTAAGCCATCGTGTGTGACATAGCAAGTGAAACGTGAGACACATCCTTAGATTATGCTGCATCAAAATGCCTCCTCAATTCGAGAGGAAAGTGTCTTTGATTTGAGTTAGTCAGGAACTTTAAATAATTTTGTATCTCAATTAAATAACACTGCATAAATTGAATTTATATCGGGGAATATTCCCTCCATTTCTTTTTACTTGTCGTTATGGAGTTTTACACGCATACCATCACTATTTTTTTTCCTCTCTTACCATCACTTTTTTCTTTCTTTCTCTCACACCATATTCCCATAAATAACATAAACTTAAAACTAATTTCTAACCTTCAAAACTAACCAACTTTGATAGTTTTAATCAACAAAAAAATAGTGATGGTATGAGAGAAGGAAAAACTTGACTTAATGGTACAATAAAGCCTCTATAAAGTAATAATATTGGGACTTTGAAAATTTATGATCTTATAGAAATATTACTTTATCGTTAAATTAATATTTATTGACTTATAGAAATATTTTTTAATTTATAATCTTTAAAAATTATTCTACTGATGATAATGTATTAACAAATTATATGTTAATATGACATGCATGAAATTGAAATTATGATTAAGATTTTAAGATATTGTAATAAAATATTTATTATTAGCTTATTTGAACATTTATATAAAATTTTATACATGATAATAGTTAAAAGTTTAGAAGAAATTATAGCTACTAATATTGATCATGAGGTTAAAAATAGTACAGTGATACTTTTCAATTTATTTACACATAAAACAAATAATTAATGTGTTTAAAACATATTTAAAAATTTTATATGCATATAAAAATTACATTATGAATCTTTTCTATAATAAAAAAGTTAAAGCTAAACTTAAATTCATAGTTTAATAAATTCTCGTAGGCATAAATATTTAGTTTTATATTACTTTAATTTTTTATCAATTGGGACCATATCTTTACATATGAGTTTCAAAACTATTATTGTCATATTACTTATGACACTGGCCCAAGTTAAGACATGAAAATTTAATTATCTTATAGTGATTATTACTTTATCGAGTCTTAATTTATAAAAGTTCTAATGTATTTTCATATCCATCAATATTGATTAGTTACAACTCTTACTCTTTTTCTTTTTCTTTTATATTTATTATCAACACCTATCAAGAGATATTTTAAGAAATACACCTCATGAGGTGTAGTTTATATAGGTGACAATTTTCAAAAATACACTTTTTTCTAATTTTAATATGTATGCTTGGGTTCACTAATCCTAGATTAGGGTTTAGATTTTGGGGTTTAGGGTTTCGATTTAAGGGTACAATGTTATAATTTAGGGTTTAGAGTTTATATTTTAGGGTTTAGAGTATTGTTTTCAATGAAAAAAAGTGTAGTTTTGAAAATAGATACCATAAATGTGTATTTTTGAAAATTGGCACCTAAAAATGTGTAGTTTTGAAATTTACCCTCCTATCAATCTTCATGGTTGTACTAAAATTTAATTGATGATTTCTCAAAACAAGAAAAGTATAATACTTTTGATAATCACAACTTGGTTAGAAAATTTTCCGGATAATTTTAGTTGTCTTAACTTAACTACAGTACTTTAGAATTCTGAGTTGCTAAAAGAGAAAACAAATAAGTATTGTTCTCCTCACAATTATAAGTGTTAATACTTAAGAGAACTTAATCCAAGTTAACTTAATTTATCAGTTCATTGGAGAACTTTACGTTTAGCCAAATAATGAGGTTAGTTGTTTATGGGGCTTTCATGGATAAATGCGTATTAGATTCTTGAATCCTTTCCTATGTTTATGGATATGGTAAAAATGAATAAGAAAAGATATGGGGAGCTTAACTGTTGTCGTGTAGTTGCAAACGTCCACTTCTTTTACAAAATGTAAAATACCTGAAGTTATAAACTTTGGTAAATTTATAGAATGCTCTATTTATTGGGTGCAAACTAGAGTTCCCAACAAAGTCTTGTCTTCTTGCCTCTGAAAATGATTTATGTTAGTAAAATGTAAAATTTTCAAACGTTACTGCCTTACTGGTATTTAAGCCTTTTGATTTAACTCGTGGTAAATGTTAACAGTTGAAACTAGTATAAACCGTCGATTGTTTTCCTGCAAGGTGTTCTTAGTCGTACACGTGTAAGCTTCCAATAATTTAGTCAAGAAACAGTTGTCCAACACAAAAAAAAAACAGTCAAGAGGAGAGACCAGTCTTGCTTTCGTGATAGTAACGATTCTTGATTTCCATTCCTAGATCAGATCTCAGCTCATTACAATCCATGGCTAAAGATTCGAAGGAAGTTAACGGCGCCGATGATGCTAAGGATCTTCACTCGCTTCTCTCTTCTCCAGCGAGAGACTTCCTCATTCGTAATGACGGTGAACAAGTAAAATGCTTTTTCTCTTTTCTCTATCTCTCTCTTTCTGTTGTTGACCCGACCCGATCATGCATTTATGGTCCTGGATCTCAACTTCTTTTTCATTTTGGACTATATTTCTGTGTCTATGTGAACCAATTCTTGATGATGGTTTTTTGTTTTTCTTGATGATGGTTCTTGACTTCTTGTTTATGAAGAAATTTGTAGGTCGTTTTCTTGATGCATTTCTTGATGTTTCAGGTTAAGATTGAGAGCTTGAAAGGGAAGAAGATTGGATTGTATTTTTCCGCTTCATGGTGCGGTCCATGTCATATGTTCACTAAGCATTTGTTGGAAGCCTACAACGAACTATCTCCGAAAGCTTGTTTCGAGGTTGTCTTCCTGTCGTGCGACAAGGATGAAGAGTCTTTTGTAGACTATTTCGCTAAGATGCCGTGGCTTGCTGTCCCTTTCACTACTGATCCGGAAACACGTGACGGGTTGTATGATATTTTTAAGGTTAAGTCAATTCCAAACCTAGTGATTCTTGATGATCACGGTGAAGTTGTGAATGAGAAAGGGTGCGATGTGGTTCGAGACTATGGAGCTGATGCTTATCCTTTCACACCAAAGAGAGTGAAGGAGATAAAAAAGGAACAAGACAGAGTTTGGAGACAACGGATAAAAGAGGCACAAGAGAGAGCTAAAAGAGAACGGACTTTAGATTCTGATGAAGTTACAATGCCAGAACCGAAGAGAAGAATGTCAAACCGAACCAGAATCGCGAACCGGAGGTATGTGCAGTAATTTGGATTTGTCTTTGATTAATTTTTTGTCTTCTTCATTTCCTTTCGTTTTGGAGCGCTATACGACTCCACTACCATTGATTCTTGTTCTTGTAAGAGTTTATATAAGTTGAATGAAAAACCAATTTAAATTGCTACACAAAGTGTTCTTGTGTTCTTATGTCTAGGCTCTAAATTTGGGACTAGTAGTTGGTATTAGATCTTTGCTCAAACATTTTTCTTCCTTTTCACTCATAACCTTAACTGGAAAGGTAATCAAAATACTGAAATACTCGTTGGGTCAATCTACTATATTTTTATGATTAAAGTTGTGTTTAATTTATGAGAGTCAATTACGAGAAAAAAAGTTACAAAAGTCTAAATAACAATAAATATTAAAATTTGTATATCATCACCTTCATCATCATGCGACTTGGGAAGGTATCTTGGGATGCATGTTCTTCAAAAACGGATCAACAAAGAAACGTTTGGGAAAGTAGTGGAGCGGATGTCGTCAAAGCTAGCAGGGTGGAAGGGCCGTATTCTGAGCCTGGCGGGTCGCATCACATTGACTAAAGCGGTGCTTGGATCAGTGCCGGTTCACTCCATGAGTTCATGTAAGTTCCCAGAATCGACGACGAAATCCTTGGATAGGATCTCAAGGGATTTCGTTTGGGGGTCCACACCAGAGAGGAGGAAACAGCATCTCCTCAGTTGGGACAAGATTTGTCTACCAAAGGCGGAAGGGGGTTTAGGAATCAGACAGTCGAGTCTCATGAACAAGGCTTTGCTTGCGAAGGTTGGTTGGCGAATGTTACATGATGTCACGAGCCTCTGGTCGAAAGTGGTGCGCAGTAAATATCGAGTTGGGGATATTCATGATGGCTCCTGGTTAGTCACCAAAGGAACGTGGTCGTCCACATGGCGAAGTGTGGTGTTAGGTTTGAAGGAGGTTATTGTGCCAGGACACGGGTGGGTCATAGAAGATGGTCGAAGTATCCAGTTTTGGACCGATAAGTGGTTAATAGGACAAGCGCTGGAGGCAGAGTCTATAGTGGAGGTTCCACAAGCAATTCTATACTCAAAGGCGTGCGATATGTGGATCGATGGGATAGGGTGGGATATGCAGAGAATCGGGCCGTATGTGACAGAAGATGTAAGGCTCAGTCTAGCGGCAGTGGTGATTGATAAAGCAGAAGGCGTGCAGGATCGACTCTCTTGGAGTGACGCGCCAGATGGAAAGTTTACGGTGTCCTCGGCCTATCGGAATCTTTCACGAGACCGGGTCTTCAAGCCGAACATGGGTCAGTTCTTTCGACGAGTGTGGAGAGTCTTAGCTCCGGAACGAGTGCGGGTTTTCTTCTGGTTAGTTGGAAATCATGGGATTATGACAAACCAGGAGAGGTTTCGGCGACACATTGGCGACATGGAGATTTGTCAAGTGTGTAAAGCCGGAGTGGAGTCCATCCTGCACGTCCTACGGGACTGTCCGGCCATGACAGGATTATGGAGGCGTATTGTCCCAGCAGGCAAGCAGCAAGTCTTTTTCACTTCACCGCTGCTCAACTGGATTTTTGACAACTTGAGTGCAGAGGCTGGGACAGGTTTGGGACTATGGCCTACTTTATTTGCTGTCGCGGTGTGGTGGGTGTGGAAGTGGAGATGTGGGAATGTTTTTGGTGAGAATAAGCTGTGGAGGGACAGGGTCAAGTTTGTGAAGGACTATGCTAAGGAAGTGTATCAGGGGATGCGGCTGTGCAAGGACAGGAACACTCGAGTAAGTGAGGAGAGACTGATTGCGTGGTTGCCGCCGATGGTGAGTTGGATGAAGCTTAATACAGACGGAGCATCTCACGGTAACCCAGGACTGGCGACGGCTGGTGGTGTTCTTCGTAATGGTGAGGGTCATTGGTGCGGTGGATTTGCGTTAAACATTGGCCGCTGCACTGCACCAATGGCGGAGTTGTGGGGTGTTTACTATGGTCTCTGTTTTGCGTGGGAGCAGAGGATCACGAGGCTTGAGGTGGAGGTGGATTCGTTGATGGTGGTGGGCTTTCTCAAGACAGGGATAGAAGACTCACACCCGCTGTCTTTCCTGGTACGTCTGTGCCACGGCTTTCTATCGAAGGACTGGGAGGTCCGAGTTACGCATGTGTATAGGGAGGCCAATCGTCTAGCTGATGGATTGGCGAACTATGCTTTTTCGTTACCCTTTGGTCTACATTCATTTGATGTTGTCCCTCCGGATTTGTTGTCCGTTTTGGTGGAGGATGAACGTGGTGACTTGTTCCCACGTCAAGTCCGTGTGTAAGAACTATTTCATTGTGTTTTAATAAATTTGGGAGCTTGCTCCCTCTGTTCCACCAAAAAAAAATCACCTTTGTGTTTCCTTTTGACAACATCACTTAGCATATTCACTTTTGTTTTGGCTCTAAATTCTACACAACGTGTTCTTGTGTTCTTATGTTTAGGCTCTAAATTTGGGACTATTACACAAAGTGGTCATCTAGCTATGCATTTCAATGACTTGTATCTGACTCGATCTTCCGCTCGGCCGCTTCTTCTTGTCCTTTTATACCTTCCTGCCACACGGCTCTATAAGTACTATTCCTTTCAGGAGAATCCATCTTCTGATCATAGTATTACTCCGAAAACGATTCCAGGATTTCCAATCGCTGCACTCGTCCGTGGCTTGATCTGCTGTACAAATGATAAGGCTGATGTGTTGATTGTTGCCAATCCTAGTACGGGGCAGTTCTTAACTCTACCTAGAGTTAACAGATCGACCTTAGCTTTTTTTGGATATGATCCGGTTAATGATCTATACAAAGTCTTTCACATGAGCCTAGGTTTTGATAAACGTGGATGCCTTATTAGTAAAGGGCATAAAGTTTTTACTAGCCCTGGGCATTCGGTTATTCGGTTCGGTTCGGTCCAGTTATTTTGGTTTTCGGTTATTTCGGATTTAGCAATATAAAAAAACAAGGAATATGTAAACGTTATTTCAAACTAAAGTTTCTAAAACCTTGCTTCAATGTTAATGACTTGTGCTGAAACAACTTAAAAAAAAAAAAAATAGAGTGAAAATCACACAGATTTTCTCAATTTATTGTTTTACACTTTTACCACCCAAAAAGCTAGCTATATTTGGTACAAGGACATGGTTCTAGAGAACACCGAAAGCTTCTTTGATGGCGTGTACAACACGGGAGGAAACTTCTTCTCCAAACATTCTCGGAAACTTCAACTCCAAATCATTTTCTACGTTCTTTCTTCTGAAGCTTTTATCTCTTCTCTCTAACTCCTTTCTCTCTTCTTCGCCCACCACTCTCTTCTCATCTTCTTCCCTCGCGCAACGCTCCAACCAAACCCTGAGAACATCCTTAGCAGCTGGACTCACATGATCTCTCATGATTTCCTCCAAACTCTCCTCTTCTTCCACATCGATTATAAGAGCAGAAACAGCAGGGGAGAAACCAGAGCGGACAAAGAGAGAAGGCGAAACATAAGGTTTGATTCCAGGAACCTTGAGGAGAGATTGTCGATGAGAGTCAAGAGCAGTGTCTTGATAGAATTCCTTGATATAGTCCGGATGAAGAACAAGGTCTTTGCGAGGTATAGGTCGAGGATGAGAACGAGCGACGTGGGACTGCTCTGTATGACTTCGAATGTAAAGTTTGGAGCTCTTGTTGAGGAGTTTAAGAATGTAGAGATGTTGTTATGTTGAGAGAAACACCTGTTGGAATCTTGCAGTGTATCCAACTTCCAATAACAAAATCAATCTGAAAGAAAAAAAAAAAGTCGACTATTTAAATAAATCATTACTAGATGCAATATCTCAGCTGCTGAGAGAAATGCTTACCGGTGAAGATTTCTCGCCGGATCTGATATGAAGAGATGCCTCGGCAGAACCGTTAGGGTTCTTAAAGTTCCGTACATCCGGCGGGAGGCTACAAGGTTGGAGTAGCGACTGGAGGTTATCCTCAACCATCGACACTAGCTCAACCATTAGCTGCCTGCGCGTGTCTGACAAGTACGGGAACTCCATGAACTTCAGCCGGAGAAGCTCGTCGTGATCCTCCATCGACTGGAACTGAGCTCGAGCAATGAGTTTCTTTGGGAATCGCGACGGCTTTGTTTGAGTCAAAGTTAACGGAGAGAGAAGTGGAGAGGAAGAGAAGAGAGTGTTGCAAAATATCATCGACATCTTGTATGTAGCTATGAGTAAATTTGAGTTTTCTTTATACTAATATTCACTCTTAGAACTAATATACGAGCCTTGTGGTTGGTGGAAATAAAAGTTTGCAGAAACATGTGGTTGTGGTTACAAACCTCGTTTCTATCTTTATGAAAGCTAAACGATATTGATGATTGCATTTACTGGTTTACCTGTTCGCAATAGTACAAATGGTCAGTGGCGGACCTACCTGAGAGGGAGGGTGTGTCACCTGACACCCCTAAAGATAAATATTTATTTAAATTGTGAGCTATACATTAGTGAAACCATAGCTTAGTTGGTTAAAATCCTCATCTCTGAAAAATTTAATATGTTAACAATCAGATATGTTTTGTGAACAAATAATAATATGTGCAAAGCAAAACAATCTATACGTAGAGAACTTAATCCAAGTTAAACTTAATTTATGAGTTCATTGGAGAGCTTTACGTTTAGCCAAATAATGAGGCTATAGTTTGTTTTTTTGTGTTAAATAATGATGCTAGTTGTTTAATGAGGCTTTCAAGGAGAAATGTCTACATTACACCATGCGTATTAGATTCTTGATTTCTTTCTTATGTTTAACAGTTTATGGATATGGTAAAAAAATGAATAAGAAAATATATGGGGAGCTTAACTTTTGTGGTGTAGTTGCAAACTTCCACTATACCTGAAGTTATAAACTTTGATAAATTTGTAGAATGTTCTATTTATTGGGTGCAAACTAGAAATCCCAACAAAGTCTTGTCTTTTTGCCTCTGAAAATGATTTATGTTGGTAAAATGTAATATTTCCAAACGTTACTAGTATTTAAGCCTATGTTGATTTAACTTGTGGTAAATGTTGTTAAAGTTTATGCTAACAGTTGAAACTAGTATAAACCGTCGATTGTTTACCTGGAAAGTGGTCTAAGTCGTACACGTACGTGTAAGCTTCCAATAATTTAGTCAAGAATGAGTTGTTCAAAAAACCAAAAAAAAAAGTCAAGAGAGAGACGACTAGTCTTCTTGTGTTCTTCGTGATAATAGCGCTTCTCGATTTCGATTCCGCGATCAGATCTCTACTCATTACAATCCATGGCTGAAGGTTCGAAGGAAGTTAACGGCGCCGATGATGCTCAGGATCTTCACTCGCTTCTCTCTTCTCCGGAGAGAGACTTCCTCATTCGTAATGACGGTGAACAAGTAAAATATTTTCTCTCTTCTCTCTCTTTCTGTTGTTGACCCGATCATGCGTTTATGGTATCTCAACTTCTTTTTCATTTTGGACTATACGTCTATGATCCAATTCCTTCTTGATGATGGTTTTGTTTAGTTTTTTGTTCTTGATGATGTTTTTTTTTTTTTTTTTTTTTTTTTTTTTTTTTTTTTTCTTGAATCTTGATGATGGTTCTTGATTGTGAAGAATTTTAGGTTTTCGTTTCTTAGATGGTTTTTCACATGGTATATAGCTTTGTGTCCTTATGGATGACTTCCGTCTATTGCACGCTCGCGTTTTCATTTCTTGATGCATTTCTTGATGTTTTAGGTTAAGATTGACAGCTTGAAAGGGAAGAAGATTGGATTGTATTTTTCCGCTTCGTGGTGCAGTCCATGTCATATGTTCACTCGGCATTTGTTGGAAGCCTACAATGAACTATCTCCGAAAGCTTGTTTCGAGGTTGTCTTCGTGTCGTGCGACAAGGATGAAGAGTCTTTTGGAGATTATTTCGCTAAGATGCCGTGGCTTGCTGTCCCTTTCACTGATCAGGAAACACGTGACGGTTTGTATGATGAGATTTTCAAGGTTAAGTCAATTCCAAATGTAACGCCTCCGCTGCCCCTCCCGGTGAGTCACCCACGCCCTCTCTCGCCCGTGGGCCCCACCCCTGTCCGACGGTCGGTGCATTATTTTTGGGAGGCTCCGAGAATGTATTTACTATCCCTGCAATCATCACCCGACTTTTTCCCGTATTTTTTCCTAACTCACACGGTTTCACAGAGGACTTCCCGAAAGATCACCCATCATTTCACTACTCCAGCCCAAGCACGCTTAACTCTGGAGTTCTTTATGGGCCGTTGACCGAAAACGTAAGTGCACTTTGATGACATAGGTAGCCAAATCAATTCTTTTAACCTCTTCTCATTTATTACAAACCGGGATGTTACACCAAACCTAGTGATTCTTGATGATCACGGTGAAGTTGTGAATGAGAAAGGGTGCGATGTGGTTCGAGACTATGGAGCTGATGCTTATCCTTTCACACCAAAGAGAGTGAAGGAGATAAAAAAGGAACAAGACAGAGTTTGGAGACAACGGATAAAAGAGGCACAAGAGAGAGCTAAAAGAGAACAGACTTTAGATTCTGATGAAGTTACAATGCCAGAACCGAAGAGAAGAATGTCAAACCGAACCAGAATCGCGAACCGGAGATATGTGCAGTAATTTGGTTTTGTCTTTGATTAATTTTTTGTCTTCTTCATTTCCTTTCGTTTTGGAGCTATACGACTCCACTACCATTGATTCTTGTTCTTGTCAGAGTTTATATAAGTTGAGTGAAAAACCAATTTAAATTGCTACACAAAGTGTTATTGTGTTCTTATGTTTAGGCTCTTGATATATCATGGTTTTTATGGGTTTTTGCCATGATATAAGTCTTGTATATAGAGTCTTTTTAGTGTTTTTGGAGTCTTTTTGAGTCTATTCAGGTCTAAGCATGTTTTGGAGCACAATTGGAGATTTTGGAGCTATTTGGAGCATATTTGGGGAAGCTGCTGGAAAACAAGACAAACAGACGATTTCAGAGTCTTGCGTCGACCGACGCAATTCATCTGTGTCGGTCGACGCAACTTTTCCCAGAAGCAGCGTTATTTTAAAGACTTTTGAAGATTGCACTTTGGCCCAGAAGTTCCACTTATTTACAAGAAGGCCCAATTCGTGTTTTAGAGATTTTTAGGTTTTTAAAGCCATTGTTAGGCTAATTTTTCATACTTTTATTCTATTGAGACTTAGAGAGAGATTTGTAGCAGAGCTTTGGAGAGATAGATCAAACTCCTTCAGAGAAGATTTTGAACTCCTTTATCTCTATTCTTATTTCTTTTATGCAATCTATTTATTCATGATGTTTGTCTCAATCACCATGTCTGAGTAGATTCCTTGTTAGGTTTAGGGTTTTTCAAAGGTTGAAGAAGAATTGCAATTGCTTAGGATAATCATTAGAGTTCTTCATCTGGATTGTGTTTATTGCTTATTCTAGCTTCGCGACCTAGAATCTGATCTTAGGTTAATTGGTAGACACGAAAGTGTTATTGATTTCCTGAACTATCTTAGATGAGCAAAATATCTATCTGCAAAGGAATTTGGTTTAGAGATTTTGTGAACTTATCAAACCTGATCATTAATGCTTGTTTGAATTGTTGAATTTGCAAAGAAATTTGGGATTCTAAGTTTAGACATAGATAATCTCTGCAACGAAAGTTGATTGGTTTTACAATTGTGATTTGAGTTCTAGAATGGTTCTTAATTAATATCCTGATAGTTTACTCTGCAATTCGGATTCAACCTGCGAATTTCCCAAGGCCTAACCTTTGTCTCATTGAATTTAACCTCGTTAATCAATCACCTGCTACTTTGTTTTCTTTTATTTGTTTTACATTACTCATATCTTACTTAGCCTGATTTGAATCTGGAAATTCGTTGTGCAACTGATAGACGTTTGGATTCGATAAACCCTTTATACTACATTGATTTACTGTGCACTTGCAGTGATAATATAGGGTAAAACTTAACCTATCAGCTCTAAATTTGGGACTAGTAGTTGGTATTAGATCTTTGCTCAAACATTTTTCTTCCTTTTCACTCATAACCTTAACTGGAAAGGTAATCAAAATACTGAAATACTCGTTGGGTCAATCTACTATATTTTTATGATTAAAGTTGTGTTTAATTTATATAAAAAAGTCTAAATAACAATAAATAATAAAATTTGTATATCATTACTTTTGTGTTTTTTCTTGACAACATCACTTAGCATATTCACTTTTGTTTTGGCTCTAATTTTAATTTTAATTTTTTTTTTTTTGTAAAAGGGTATTCTATTGAAATTGTGAAAATTAAAAGGTACATGGCTACTACAGTTATGAAAAGTTGATTAAGCAAAAGAAAAAAGATTACATCATAGAGTGAACAAAAGATTACGCTAGAGAGAGTAAGAGAGATAGAAGAGAAAACTGAGAAACTTCTCATAAATCTCTTAAGATGGTGGTCCATGGCCGCCTCGGCCTCCACGTCCCCTTTTACCTCGCTTTCCCACAAACTTTCATTCCATCTCTTGGACTTTTTGTGTGGCTCTAAATTTTACACAAAGTGTTCTTGTGTTCTTTTGTTTAGGCTCTAAATTTGGGTGGGACTATTACACAAAGTGGTCATCTATTATCCAAGGAAAGCATTTCAATGACTTGTATCTGACTCGATCTTCGACTCGGCCGCTTCTTCTTGGCCTTTTATACCTTCCTGCCACGCGGCACTATAAGTACTATTCCTCTCAGGAGAATTCATCTTTTGATCATAGTATTACTCCGAAAACGATTCCAGGATTTCCAATCACTGCACCGTCCGTGGCTTGATCTGCTGTACAAATGATAAGGCTGATGTGTTGATTGTTGCCAATCCTAGTACGGGTCAGTTCTTAACTCTACCTAGAGTTAACAGATCGACCTTAGATTTTTTGGATATGATCCGGTTAGTGATCTATACAAAGTCTTTCACATGAGCCTAGGTTTTGATAAACGTCGATGCCTTATTAGTAAAGGGCATAAAGTTTTTACTAGTCCTGGGCATTCGGGTTATTCGGTTCGGTTCGGTCCAATTATTTTGGTTTTCGGTTATTTCGGATTTAGCAATCCCAAAGAAAACAATGCTCGAAGAGTTGACTTTGGAAAAAGAGGAGATCGCTGTCTAGTTATTTTGGAACTTGTCATGGAAATAGCATGGTTCAAATAATATCTCGCCTCTTTTGTCTTCTCTGGGATTGTACTAGATAGGAGTAATAGAGGATTCTCCTCTTTTTCGTTCATAAGATTCATAAAGCACACTATATAAAACATAAACAACATTTTACTTTAAAAAAAAGGTTACATTAATAACACTTACAAACATCACATTGCGAAATAACACTTACGAAAATAAAAACAACAACAAACACCACAAAACAGAAAGAAAAACAAAATCACAACAAAAATAAATAAAACCATAACATCAGTTATGTTGCGACATGAAGATTGCCACAACTTATTTTAAACACAAACAACAAAAGCGAAAACAAATCAATATGTTGCCAAGTTCGTTTCGGTAGAAACCTCAAGCAAACATCACAGAACAATTGAGAATATACTGATGGTAATAAGCAATGTCACAACAATCCTTTAGTTCCTCCCAAATTTGTTCTTCCACTTTTGGAGAAGGACGACATGTGTAAACCACCGTTCTCCTGTAGTAAGATTGAGAAGACGATGGTCCAATTACCAAAAGCCTATCTCCAATTGACTTAAATGCAACTCCCCAACCTAAAGTGATATTTGCTTCCACAGGCACAACACCAAGTTTCTTCCAAACGTTTGTGTTTCTATCATAAACACGAAGCTCACTCACAGAATTTTCCATTAAGTAGAGGTTGTTGTCGACCACCGCAATAAGAGGAGGCGAGTGAGAAGACGTAAACGCCATATCTTTGAGCATGTCTGGTATCAGCTCCCAAGAATTTGTCTCGTCATCGTACCTTTCTCCACAAGTTAGGTTTTCATTATTCTCATCTCGGCCACCAATTACGTAAAATTTGCCGCACAAGAAAAATCCTGAGCTGAATTTCCTTTTCTTGTGCATCTCACGAATCACGGTCCACGTTTTGGTATCAGCATTGTATTTCTCTGCTATGTTTACAGCTTGATAGACCTCATTAATCCCTCCTGCAAAGAAAGCATCGGTCCCACGGCTCGCCGAACCATACATGACCCGTGGTGTGATCATTGCTGGACCTTTGAACCATTTATTGTTCTCGAGCTCATACCGCCAGACTACAATGCCCTCCAGCTCCCTTCCTACGACGATCAGTTGTGCACCCGCACAAATTGTTTCTTTATCGCTATGGACAAAGCAATAATCATGCATTGGTAATTCTGGAAGCTGTCGAAAATTCTTAAAACCCTTATCAAACATTGTCCAATGAGATCCACCACCAGAATGCACAAACACATATGGTTGCACAAGCCTGCGTTCTTGCTTCACCTTAAAAATCTCACGACTCCGAGCAAATGTGAAAGTTTTTTGTTAAAAAACTGAAGCTTCGAGTATTCAAAATATGAGGCACGGAGGAAAATCTCGAGCTGGTGCTCCTTAGAAAGCCGAGGAGCAATATGATTATCTTCAGTTTCTTCCTTTTCTTCTCCTTCCGAATCAAAACAAGGTTCTGCATTCAAGTCGGGAATGTAGGGCTTGGTACCAACAATTATAAGCTTCCTTTCCTCTTTAGATTCTCCCAGGCTTGCTCTAATTCTAGGAGCTTGATCTTTTGCTAGCATCATCATTTCTCGGTTAATTTTAGCCTCGGCTTTTGACATCCCTTTCTGTAAAATTATAAAAATTAATAAACATTATTATATTTGTGACTATAATATAATATTTTTAAATAAAAAATCAAATTAAAAAAAAAAATTATAGTCTTGTTGTTAAGAATAATTTAGATTGTATTTGTGATACTAGATTAAAATATGAGACTATTATTTTCTATTATTGTAGCAAATGTGGTCGTAGAAAAATATAAAAATTGTGGTTATGTTAATTAAATGTTGCTTGATATGTCTAACTAAATAGAGTTATTATGGAAACAGTTATTCAAGATTACTATATATCACTCTAATTTAAATATGTTGTTCACAGAAAACATATCATTAGATTTTAATTTGATTATTACGAGGGTGAAAAAATATAAAAAATGTATACCTCGAATTAACATATATATACCATATATACAGATTTAGAAATTGTTGCAATTTCCTAGACTGTTTTAATAATCTATTAAGGGGGAAATATCAATGGTAAGACAAAGATTCATGATTAATTATCTAGAACATGTAATTATATAATCATATATTAAATGAAAGAGTATTTATTTGAACAAAGAAAAAACAATAAGCAGATAATTAATGATACATATATGATGTGTGTATACCTTGAAATTTGAAGGAGAAGAGTTCACTGGACGCATATTCATACTAGGTTTGACGAAGTTTTTCTTTATTTTCACTTTTCAATTCATGGTTTTCCTAAGTTAAAGTTATATATATATATATAACTTATATATATAACTTATATATATATAACTTATACATATTTAATTAACTACTATAAAAACAATAACAATTATGATATGTTTTTATTTACCATAAAATACAAGTCATAATGGCTTAATTTGACAGTTTTTCTTTTGAAACAGTTAAATCTAATATAATTTGGTTCTTATTTAATTTGCTACCATAAAATAAGTGTGACAATCTTTTTATTGCTTTAACTAATTTTTTTGGTAGTTTTTTAAAGTACAATACATTGACTAAAGTTTTTGGTGGTTTTATAAGGTATGTAATTTAAAAAACTACCTAGAAAATTAGTCAAAGCTATATAGAAAATTTTCACAAAGTTATTTGGTAGTTTTACAAAGTTATTAATCATGGTTTTTGAAAAATAGTATTTTTTCATGTTATCATATCTTTTAGAACTGTTTTACGAATAACCATTATTTAATTTTCATGGTATCACTATAGTTAAAAATCTACAGCTTAACAGTTAAAAAATGATTTTCGTGCAACTATGTGTTTTTGAACAATTTTTTCTACTTTTGAAAATTGCAAAAGGGGTTAAGTTCTTAAAAATACTACTCTTTAATTGACTATCTTCATCAACCACATGTTTACATATAAACATAAGACGTAAATATTTAACAAAGATATTAATCAGAATGCATACCAACGTATCTCCATAACTAATATTTATAATTTGACATCAAAATCGCCATTTTTTTGTTTTTGTTAAACACAAACAGAAGACACAATTATAAACCATATTTATTGAGAAGTTTGTGTGAAAATAAATTCAATAGCAAACATCACATTACATTTACGAATAAAATGGTTGAACCTGTTGCAACAATTATTAGAATTCTCACTACTTATGAGGCAATATTAAAGTTATTGAATGACATACCACATTTGTAGTTCACATTTTCTCAAGAATCGTGAGATATATTTGGAGAATGGGAAGAATGTGGGCTTGTGCATTTGGGTGGTGGATCTCATTGGACTATTTTATAAGAATTTTGGACAGCTTCCAGAATTACCAATGTATGACTATTGCTTTGTTCATAGCGATAAGGAAACAATTTGTGCGGGTACACAATTGATGGTTGAGGAAGGGAGCTAGAACGCCTTGTAGTTATATAAAAATCAGTGTTATTAAAATAAACTTCCAAGAAACATGTGGTTGACGAATTATTTTATTTCCAAAGAACATATCGTTGACTGTAAAAAGAACTTTCAGAAAACATATCGTTGAAGAAAAAAAAGTTCCAAAATATTCAAGGCGTTAAATAACATACTAAACTTAATTGTCTAATAACATTTATAAATATCTTCTTTAACATAAAAACAACGGTTAAAAAAATTAACTTAAATTATAAACATATTTAAAATTATCTTAATAATTTAGAGAATAATTTTATTCGCTTACGCATTTTAAGGACTAATGTCCATCTTTTTTATCTCGCCATTGTATTTTTCTCCTATGCTCACAAATTGAGATATTACATTTTCGTTTATCTTTAATTCCTCTAGCAACATTGGTTCCACTGCTATATTTTTCCCCTCTCCTTTTGAATCATAACAATGTTCTGCATTTTGGTTCCAATAATCAGGGTTTCATTTCCTCTTTAGATTCTCCCAAGCTTACTCCAATTCTAGGAGCTAAATCTTTTGCTAATATCAACATTTATCAGTTAATTTTAGCCTCGGCTTTTGATATCTTTTTTTTTTAAAATTACTTAAAATTGATAACCAATAGTCTATTTGCGAGACTGTAGTAGAATATTTCAAAATCAGAACTTATATATTTTTTTATAAAATCCGGTCATGTTGTAAATAACTCAGATTGTATTTGTTATACAAATAAAAGTCTGAGACTAATATTTTTATTATAATAGCAAATGTGTCGTAAGAAAATATAAATGTTATGGTGATATAAAATATTTTTTAATATGTTTTACGAAATAGTGATATTATGGAAACATTTAGTCTAAATGACAATTTAGAAGCCTACACTAAACTAAAGTATGTGGTTCACAGAAAATGTATCATAGCATTTTAATCTGATTATTACTAGAGTTAAAAACATAAAAAAATATATACGTATAATTAGTATACCGTAATATATATTCACCTATACAGATTTAAAAATTATTACATATCTTATAGAATATTTTAATAATCTAATAATCTAATATTAGAGAAATATCAATGCGAAGATAAATATTTTGTGATAAAGGTGAATTAGTATAGTCTTATTCTCTTCACTAGGTTTTTTGTTCGTGTACTGAAACAGAAGATTAACACCGGCATCATTTGCTAACACTTAGATACAAGTCATTAAAATTTGTATATTTTGTGTTTAGAAAGTTTTTGGGGTATACAATTTAATTCTGGAGACTTATTACAGCTAAAGAGTAAAGACTTAGGGGGTGTTATTGGATATCTTTACTAAATGATAGCAGCTGTTTGAGATCTCTCAGGGCATCTCACAGCTTTCAGGCCACAGAATGCCACGTGGCATATTACATAAAAAAAAAATTCGATTTCTCTTATGTAGAACCTCTAAAAGGGTGTCCACGTCGGTATTTTAAGAAGGTCTGCCCAAAAAGAAAGAAAGTAAATTCAAATCGACATCTCTTGCTCCATAACCTAAATCGCTTCAGTTCCCAAAATCGATTGCCCTTACCAGTCATCTCTTTAACTCTCATCCAAACTAAAACAACCCAAAAATGGAGGAGACGAAGGATGGTATGAGGTTCGAGTGAAGGCTATGGCGGTTAAGGAGATGACTGAGAGGATTAACAAAGGAGAGATACGACGGAGGTGGTGGCACTTGAAGCTTTACAGGAAATTGGTTTGGGAAGGGGAGAAGGAATCTGATTTGGCAGTGAGAATCGGCGGGAAGTGGAGAAGTGGAGAGCACCGACGGGTCTGATTCGGCGGGTAGTGGAGAAGTGGAGAGCACCGGCGGTGAGAATTTCAAGGCTGATTCGTAGAGAGCGTTGGCAATGAGACCTAGAAAAGATCGGTCAGGACACAAGGTAAAAAACGAGTACCTCATTTAAGCTATTAGATCATGTTTTATTCTAATGTTAAAAATGATTGACGTACCTCTATGATGCATATTCTCTCATCATCTGTATTATTTTTCATAGCTCCGATGAAAATTAAGGCGCTAGGAGAATTGGCTCCGATTCAAGCGGTGGTTGAGTCAACTAACCGACACCAAAGTGAAGGCTTCAGATCAGACCAACTCAAGGCCGACAGATTGGAGTTTAATCGCCCGCTTCAGCTTGGAAATCGTGTGAATTGAGGTGGTTTAGTAAGCTCGACCAAGAAACCTTTCGTTGGTAAACCACCTATTTTGTAACATGTTAAATTAGTTTCATGATTTCCAAAAATATTAATTTCCATATGTTCTAATGTCGTGTTGGTGTTCATGATTTTTGGTGTCTGCGATCATTTAGCTACAGTGACGGCACAACCCTGGTATGTATGCATGCAATATAAAACTCGATTTCTTAGTACTGCATTTTACATAATGCCTCAGGAGGGCTCCGTGATCTGGTTAACAATTATACTGACCTCAAATTTCAATATACAAGCTGCACTTCTTTTATGGGCTTAAGATAGAAGTTATCATGGCCATATACAAAGAGGAAGAGATGTTGTATTGGGTGTATTTTCAAGTATCGGCCCTCACAAAGCATTCATAAGCCTCCTTCCTTAGGTAAGTTTTCTTCTTTATACTTGATTTCCACGTGGATATATGATTATGATGGTTTCTCCTCAAAATCCTCGATTCAGAATTCTGGCTTAAAGTTATTTATCTTCCAATCAACAGATTCGTAAATGTCTCTCTGTGTAAACTAGCCTAATAATTTATAACTTGCATGGTCCATCAATGAAATTTAGATATAGAACATGTATAGTAATAGAAATTATATCGTTTGGAAACATAATGTACATAATTTGTTTTATATATATTTTATGGAAGTATTGATTGTGGTTACATATTATAGATGTTGGCTGTGTATTCTCGACACTTATTCTATTAGAAGCTATACATGTGTCACTGGAATTAGAGCTTATGGTTCATCAATGTGCAAAGTTCTATAGGATCATGTCGTTGGAAATGGTCACACAAAGCTTAGTTATAGCTACATTTGGGGTTGTTTGCATTTATTAATATCATATTAGCAGTTTAATCTTGGCTTTAGCCGATAACAAGAGTGTACAAGCAAAAACAGAGCAAAGAGTATTAAGATCGATCATTCTGGTTTTCATTTTCTATATTTTGAAGTTGATCAATGCTACTTTTAAACCGTTTAGACACACTTGACCCTACATTGTATAAGTCTGTAAGAGTTTTTCCATAACATATATATATATATATATTTTTTTCACATTTTCAGAGACAAAATTCCGATGCAAAGAAAGCTCCCAAAGAAAATTCCGATGCAAAACATTAGTCCTGGTTCATTCCTGTTTCCTTCTTTGAATTGACTCATGTTCTGTTATCAGAGAAACTCCTTATGGAAATGTTCGTCAGCTGTATACAGTGGATAGAAAAAAAATTCAGCAAATTTTACATAGTAGCAAAGCAAATCTCCGAGGCATGTCAAACATTTCTCGCAAAATGGTCTTATATTTCTTTGCAAACATTTCTCCGTCCTTCGTGAGATGAAATTACTTTTCCCTCCGTCATACGTATTTTTTTGTTAAATACATGGAGTTATACTACGTTAATATGAAAGCAGAAGAACCACAACCGTAAAAACTACATTGAGATTAAAAACAGAATAAAGAACCAAAACTGAATTGAAACATGAAAAAGTTGATATTTTTTGCTTGTGGTAAAAGCTCAAAGGTGGTCGAAAATCAGAGTTACGTTATTGTATATGATGTGAATATTATCAAATTTTGAGGATTGCACCAATTAAAAGATATGGTGCAAACTTGCAAGTTGCACCGAATATGCGTAAACACGGAGAGGTTAAAAATAAAATTCCCAGGATTACATATTAAAGTTTGTTTTATTTGTCTATCTCTCGAAATAATTTCGTCCTTATTTGTCATCACCTTTAATCGTCTTCACAGCTCACAAATGAGTTGCGAAATTATTTTTTGCTTTCTTCAACAATTACAGGGAAAGTTCGTTCCTTCCTGATCATTTTCACACCTTCGTCTTAATTAAACTACCACGTCGGACCGGATTACTGATATCAGTACACAAAAGTTATGAAAAACTACCCTCGCGTAGCGCGGGGATTCCATTAGATTTATAACATTATAGTCGGGGATTCCAAATTACACAGTGTTGCCTTCCTCCATTCTAGCTATTCCTTCATTCCCATTAGTCTTGATTTCATTTATACTTAGCTGATTCACTGCTAGGGAGTACTCTTTAATTAATTATAACTTAATTATAACATTATAAAACCTATAGCATCGCCAAAGCAATTTCCATTCGAACACATACCAGGACGAATACAGAAACCGAATGAACGTGTAGACTACTTCACAAGGCACCACTCCAGGGATTTTGAGATATGGTTTTCCATTTTTCCCCCTCGACTGATCCAGAAGTGTAGCCATAACGGGTGAGGCTGCAGCCTCCAGAAGACAGAGACATTTTCAAATCTTTGAACATATAGCATCGCTAATCAGATGTACATCATGACAAGAACTCACCAGGACACATGAATGAGCTGGAAAATGAGAATAGTTATCGGTTACGACGTATGCTTCTGCTCCAATTCCTTCTTTGAAAAGCTTCTCCCAAGTTTCTACTGTTTCTTTGGGCACAAGGCGTGATGAGCTCGAAGGTTTCCTTCTGTAAGCTTGAAAACGCTGGTAGGTTATACGAGGAAGAGGAGGAGGTTTCGGAATGTTATCATCGCCATGAGTGTGGTCTTCTGAAGAAGCCATCGAATCAACCATATGGAGAGATATTAGGCGAGAAATGGTTCTTCAGTCTGCTGAGATCAAATGCAAGAAGCAACCATAAGTTGTGTAACAGAGTTATGAGCCATTCTCAGCTTTCCCTTAGTGTTGCTTCATGTTTACTCTAGAATGATACATACACAAAAGAAAAGTAATTAAGAATGATAAAATGAAAAAACATTGTTTGAAAATTGGAATTTGACTCCCAACAAATATTATGTACTCAAATCACCATCTTTTTACTCGGATTTATAACTCAGATTTCTGTTATGTTAATAACTTTATATTACGCTGATCAATTTGTCTAGGGGTTTCCAGTGGACGGGAAAGTAGGAAACAAATGGGAGGGGTCAAATTCCAACTTTTATTTATTGCAGAAATTTAAAATGAGCTCAGCACAGCTTGGCGGTGAGAGTTACACCCTTGAAACTACTCAAGTAGTCTTTTTTTTCTTAACGAGGACGTCGCTTTTTCGTAGATTGGTGTCATGGTGATACGTGGTAATTAACAGAATTCGAAACCCAATCAGTGTACATCCAAAAGCTCAGAAACACTTTGAAAACTATAACTTTCAGATTCTCAAAAAAGACTTAAACATTGTCAAAAATAATATAAAAGTGTCACTTATATATTCCATATGAATATGATCATCCTCAGTTCATCACGATAATATCAGATATTATTTCCGTGGTAAACATTCAGTCCTATAACCATCAGCTTTTATAGTCCAATAACATATATCTTGATCATTTTAATATATTTTGAAGATTACATTTTGTTATAAAGTTTGGGGCTTTTGTTATCCTTACGACTGTTTATTATAACAAAAGTTTTTGATCATTTTATTATGTTTTCAAGATTAAACTTCATGATTACATTTTAAAGATTACAAAACTGTTCATTTCGGCGAAAATGTCAGGAAACATTTAATTTTAGCGTAGCGATAAAGTTTTTGTTGGTTTGTGTGGTTAGTTTTTGTTAGAGAGTTTGGGAGTTTTGTAACAATACGCTTATTGCGTGTTGCCATTGGTGGGTCCCAATATATTCTCCCAAATAATTCACAGAATGAACAATTACTATATCTTTATGTTTGGAAATAGAATGTACACAGCCTGTACACTTTAATACTGATTAAAAAAAGATTTATTAACCAAAGTATATGCAATATACATATACTTGGCACACATATTCCGACAACTGATCTTCAATCTCCCACAAATCAACATGAAACTCTCCCAAATCCGCATTAAAATCCCCCAAATCCCCATTGTGACGTCGGAGGAAATCTCTTTTTTACTTTAAAAACTTGACCTCGGTCAGAAGATAAGTGCGTCATGCTAATTAATTTCATAAACTTCTCATAATCGTTTCTTCTTTATTTACATCTCATATTATTTATTTTCTCCCATTTTGGCATGACATGAAACATTTAAGTTTTTGGAGTATTTGCACTGCATAGTATTATGACAAGAGAATATTGTTGTTTCTTTAGCCACACCTCTTCCCATATTAATTTCACGCGCATACATGCATTAATTCTCAGTGCATTACTTTTCACACTAGCTATCATATAATGCAAGCACCTCTCTCTCTCCAACCATGAACATTAGGTGGGTAAAAAAAAATAACCGTGATGAAGATGAAACAAAAAAAGAAAGGAGAGTGATGAAGAACAAGGAAGAACAAGTGACGTCCGAGGATGCATTAATTCTCATAGGTATTATACAGCTTCATTAACCTCTTTTTTTTTTTAATATCGATCGATTGTTATGTAAGTATGTAACTACTTCCTATCTTGTGGGATTGCTGAAAAGGGAGTTACGTCTTTGAGAAGATGATGGGAACATACCTTATTCCTAAACTAAATGGATTGTGATCCCCATTACTTCAAAGGACAGTTTGTTTATTATTATTTTTCTGCTTAACTTTTGCTTAAATTTTGCTTAATTTTGTAATTTGTATTTCCCTTTTTAGCTTTGAGCCTCCTCTTAGTGTTCTTGAGCTCATGCTCATTGAACCTTAGACCTAGGCTTTCTATTTGTCTATTTGCACTTTGCTATTTCAATAAAAGTTGTTCTACTCGTTTTTCTCTTTCATTTAATGTCTACTTCATTGCATTTCATTGGTTATTTCATCACGTGTAGTGAGTAGTTCATCCTTAGGGTTTAACATGGCATAGACTAAAGATTGTTTATGCTTAATTTCTCTTGCTTTTATGCTCTTAATCATAGTGTATTCAAGACATCATCTATCGACTAATGAGGGGATATGAAGAGAAAATTTATGTAACTTGTGTCTTAAGTCTTTGAGACTTGTCTTGTTCTTGATGTTTGTCGGGACCTAACAGAAGAGAGACAGATGCTTTGCTTCCTTCGGAAGAAGTGATTCATGAGCAGTTGGTTTCTTGTTTGGCCAAAGTGTTTTGTTATGACGTTGTGTGGACGGAAGATCCTTCTGTCATTTGGGACACCCAAGAAGAAGATAACGAATAATTTAGAGTTTATACCTCTCAGGTTAATCCGATTTTGTTTCTTTTTTCTCAAATAACAAACAACCTGTTTAAATCTAAATATGGAGAATCGCATTTATTCTCTTTCAATGGATTTGAGATTTCTCAAATAAAGCCATGGGAACTCACCACCAGGGATCCATGGCTTCGTTTCTTTGTTGGTAGTATTACTTAATGTTAAGGACGTAAGTACTCTTTCTGCAACAAGTTGTCATAATTTCTTATATATTCCATATGATTCATCACGATAATATCAAATATTACTTGAACTTCCGTGGTAAACATTCAGTCCTATAACCGTCAGCTTTTATAGTCCAATAACAATATCTTGATCTCTCAAAAAAAGCTGACCTTAGTCCGAAGCAGCGAGGCTTACCAAATGAGACACCAAATCTTCAAGACACGAAAACTGATTCTGTAGACTCTTCTGAAAATCTTCACTCTCGTTTTCATCTGATCTCAACTCGCTTAAACCCTCGTTGATCCTCTTCATTCCGTTCTGCAACAGCTCCACTCCTCTGCAAATACCTTCTGGAAGTTTCCTTCTCTTGTTCGGTCGTTTCTCTGCTTCCATCGATCTCTGCTGGTTTCTTCCTTCTAGAAACTTCTGCACTGTTGCATTAACCTCCGTGCCTTCTTCCGCAAGTAACTCGAGTTCCTCTTGTGAAGGTGTAAGCGAGAGAAGCGCTCCTTCTTTCTCCAAGAACATCTTTAGTTCCGACATGAACCGCTCTGTTTTCGCTTCTTTTCCTGAAGCTCTATCGAAGGCCAGAGCCGCATCTTCAGGTACGAATCTCCACAGCTGAGAACAGCTCGTACGTGCACAGAAATACCCAAACGCAGTAACCGCGTGGTGTACCAAAGCCCAGTGGCGTTCCCTGAGAAGCAAATGGTATAGTTCCCAGACCGCGCGGCTCTTTGGACAGGTCTCGGTTTCAGACATCTCGTATTTGATAAGTCCTGACAAGAAGAGAGCGAGGTTTGGCTTCGATTTATAGAGATGATGATGACGATCACCAGTTTCTGAAATGAATAGCTTTTGAAGCTCTGTTATGACACTATCCATCTCTTGGCAAGTGTATAGCTGCTCGCTTCTTGAGATGATTGACAGTGTTTCGCTGAGAATCTCTCTGTAACGATCCCTTGTCGCTTCATCTTTGGAGTTCTTGTACTTGTGAATGAGATCGACGACAAACTTCAGAGTTTTGGAGTCAATCTCTGATATGCTCATGTCTCTACAAAGAACAACAACAAAAGTCAATCGATAACGTGCAATATGATCTACACTAATATCTGATTCTCTTATCTAGGCAAGTGTAAAGAATAGATAACGAAGTTACTTACAGTATCCGAAGGCAAGCAGAGAGTGCAAAAACAGGAGCTCCTAACACAGTGTATCTGGATGAATTTGATGGTTTCTCATTGAAATTCTCAATGAAGTGGAAGAAATCTGCAACGATCTGTTTCTTTGCGTCGTTTTTGATTCTGTCTGTAAGAAAATTCAGTGGAAAGCCCTCTAACAGCAAGGCTAGATATGCATCTGGTGCAGATTCAGATCTGCTCTCTGTGGAAATGTTTTTGTAGACTCGAGCTGTTAAAGATTTGTGGCTGTGAGTAAGAAGAAAGCAGATGGACTTCGTAGTTCTTCTGAGAACAGAATCAGGACAAAGCGGCGTTTCTGATGATGACATTGACATGATGAATGTACAAAGTTTGTCAATCATATCAGCCACCAAATCTTCAGTGGCATGACGCACCCAGAAGCACCAAAGTTCCATAATTATCTGCCAACATAAGAAATGCGGATGCAAGAGATTCTGGAGTAAGAATGTTTCAAGCTCTTCCCAGGCAGGAGATGACGACAGATTAATCATAAGGGTCTTGAGAGATAGAATCAGAACTGAAATACATCGATTCCCAGATTATTGTCTTCCCAGAACCATCTGCCACTGGAAGCTGAGAGGAAAGGACTGAAGAGTAAACCTCTGCGTCTATTAATACGTCGAGAAGCCATTGCAGCTTTGTGGTGACTGCTAACTTTGCATCTTCTTCAAGCTCAGAAGAATACCTCATGACAGACTGAAACAATACAACTCGGGCCAGGAGCAAGACTCTTGCACTTGTCGCAGATTCAACAGATAAAGACAAGATATCCACCAATGTTGTTTTTGCCTGAGAATCATGGATCTGTTTCTTACTAACATGGTTTGAGATGAAACACTGTGCATCAACAAACAACGAATCAAGAAGTGTGAGCCTGAATTCTGTCTTGTTTCACCTGAGTTCAACAGTGCACTTAGAAGATCTACTGTTGTTTTCTCTAGAAGATCAGTCATAACTTCACCGGCGGATTTGCCATGGGATTGTTGGCTCAGTAAAACTTTGAAAGCAGAGATCATCAAGACGCAGAGTGCTATTTCTTTGAACACCAAAGACGCCTGGCTTGGAAACAGCGCCACAACTTTAACAGCATTGATAAGATAAAATTTCACAGGAAGAAAGACCCTTCTAGCTTCTGTTGCAGATACGTTTTCCTTCCCTGAGCAAGACCAAGCCTCAGCAGCAAATCTCAGAGACTCCTTGATCAGTGATATTAGCTTTAAAATGATTTCTCCAATATCTACCTCAGAGACCATCTGCTTGTCTATCTGAAGCAATGTAATCACACCCTTCCATGATGTATTCAGAATGGTCACAAGATTGCCACCATCTCTTGCAGCAAGCATACCCAATTCACTCAGAGATTTAACTCCCAGCGTGATTAAGCTCACCAAATTACACACAGTGTTGCCTTGCCTCCATTCTAGCTATTCCTTCATTTCCATTAGTCTTTTTCATTTATCCACTGATTCACTGCTGGGGAGTAGTCTTTGCACAGACGAACAATAGAGTCAATCACCGCTTGCACAGCCTTTAAAATCTCCGTGGAAAAGGATTCAACTTTCTGTCTCAAATTAAAGGTGAAAGCAATTAACAGATGAGAACAATGCAAAAACACAAATCTCAGCCTACAGTAGTAATGCTTAATTTCAATAAAGCATATGTTAAATAACCAGTTTCATGACAGTATGGTTCAGTACAAATAAATAACTACTGGTGAAAGATTAAGATGAATTCCGAAGATACCTTGGCATTCAATATCACCTCCTTCATCAATTCAGCTGCTCTGAAACAAACTTATGAACTGTAACAGCTGAGGCCTCATCACTCATGAAACATATTTTTCCAATAGCAGTATAGCTTGAGGCAGAAAAGCGAAGATAATCCAAGAGAAGCTGCATAACATTGATTGAAAAACTCAGTTGGCTAATAACCAGTAGCTCAGAGGGATATGTAGCTACAGAAACGTCAAACATCACCAACCTGAAAGAAAACGTTTGAATGTTCTTCCTCTTGAGACTCCTCCATGGACATTACAGACATGTTTAGATGTTTTGCACACCATTGGCTTACCTACAAGTAATAGAGAAACAGACGATAGTACAACAACACTCTCCCTCCTCAAGCTGAGATTCAATTCAACTATAAGCACATGTACCTTAATGCCAAAAGCAAGAAAGTATTGAGAGCAGTCAGGCCGATCCAAAGCAAGGTATTTTGAAGCCACAGGCAGAATTGCCTTGTTCAGCAAACACTGGGAAACGTCAAGGCATGTGAAGTCTTCCCAGAGTGTCTAATACTGCAGTCAAGGAATACTTGAAACTTGCTAGAACAGACCAGTTAAACCATGCCCAACTATCTTAATTCAAGTGAAGCATAGTAGTAAAGCTTTATCTCTAGAGTGTTCACATCATTATCCTAATTTTTACTATTCTCACAATATTTCCCCTGAAACCAACAATGGCACGCAGATAGAGTGGATATCTAAACAAAGTTTGACAGCTATTGCAACTTAGCATAGTAGAGAGCATAAAAGTATGTAAGGAAAGGATACTGTTAGGCTGTCCACAAAAGAGGGCACATCAGAAGTCTCTTCAATATCTAACTGAGCGAGCCGCGTGAGTAGTTGAACCCTGTTCTCGATAAGCTGAGCAATGAATCAAGTGAAGCTCGTTAGACCTTTGAGATAATGAAATTTGCAACTCCTTCGAGTGAATTCGGAATCAATACTATAATAACTAATATGAGAAGAAGAAAAAAATGACTAAGCTGATAACAGATTTAAGCTGGGGAAAGTCAATCCAGAGTCCAGACTTTCAAATGCAGAGATACAAGATACTTAATCGAACGGAAAATCAACGAGGAACGTCAATCAATCGGAAAATTTTTTTTGCGAATCTAGAAAATGAATCGGAAAGATGGACAAACGGATAATTTTTCGTGATTGAACATAGAGAAATTGTATAATTTACTACCGGAAGCGATTGAAAATTCCCCAGCAACAAAAAAAATAATGGTGCGAAACAATCAGAAGATTTAAGCTGGGAAATTTTACAGAAACCTAGAAAAATCAGTCAAAGCTGGAAACGAAGAGAGGCTTACATCAGAAGATTTGATCTCTTCTAGTATCCTCATCGCATTCTTCTCCATCTCTCTCCCTCTCCCTCTCTCGCTCTGTCTTTCTCTCTCTCTCTCTCTGGAATTTTGTTTTCGGTGTGAGAAAATAAAGAAATGGCTCTAAATTCTTAATTAGCTTCCCGCTCTTTACATTTTTGGCTACTGAAAATATCTCCGGCCAAGTTGCTTTCCCTTTCCAAGTTTAGTAGTTGGTTTAACCGCTGCGGTTGCGGTTGCGGTTGCGGTTGCGGGTGCGGGAGTTTGCGGAAGCGGGCGGTTGTGATTAGTAGCGTTATTAAGCGGTTTGTACGACTGGCATAACAATTGAAAATGGATGCGTTTGCGGGATACTTATGACTGGTTCACTTGCGGATGCAATAGCGGTTAAACAATAAATTAATAATATAAACACATTATATAATTATAAAAATATCAAAACTATATTATAATGAAAATTTTAAATTTATGGTTCAACATAATTAAAAATAATTTTTTTATAAAGAATAATATGTGTATAATACTTACGTCTATTTTTTAATTTCTATAATTTAAATAAAAAATGTGATTTTATTTTCAAAATATATATTTAATGTGAAAATTAAATTTATATTACAATTTTATTTATTAGATATATATGTATTAGTATGAAAAGAATATTTATCAAGAGAATTTTGATTTGTAGAACTTATAAATATATAAGTATTATATGATTTTAATGAATATTGACTAAAAGTACTAATTTTTTTTTATATTGTGATTTTATTATCCAAATCTTATTTTTTAATAAAGATTATTATTTATTTTCGGATTTTATATAAGTTTGTGTTTTTTTTTTTTTAATTATCCACCCGCAACCGCCCGCAACCGCAAACGCTGCTGGGAAGGAGCTTTTGATTTTGAGGGTTGTTGAGGGATCTTGAGCGGTTTAAAGCGGTATAAAGCGTTTGTGGTGATTGTTGTCAAACGCCAATAACCGCTACTACCCGCAAACGCTGCGTTTGCGGGTAGCAGCGGGTGAACCAATCAGCACCTTAATTGGGATTTACAAGCCGCTCAGTTTTTAATACTCTTAATTTATAACTTCTCTAAACAGTTGGTAGATGATGGTAGTAGGGGTCTCAATCTTTATGAATGAAAACTGCTAGGACGGTATTGGGTTAAAAAAATGAGTCTTGGTCGATTTTGAACGAAACCCACCTTCTATATTCTTATAGTGATTACATTTCAATGAAAGGAAAATTGAATTTATTTTTTCTGGTATCAAGTCAAGAAAAAACAAAAATCTAGGCGTGTTCGTCAAGAAGATGGAGACCCATATAGCTACACCAGCAGTGAATGATACGCAGGAGATCCCGAGAACACCTCGATCATATTGGATTTATTTGGAACAGCCATGTGAATCTTATGGTGTTTTACATAACAAAACATTGTAATATTCGACACGTATTTGTTTTGCCTCCATATATCACCCCACCAAAAGGCGACTCATCTCGTATCAAGTAAAGAAAAAAAGAAAAGAAAAAAATTGATCAAAACCTAATCAACCTGATCTAGATTAAATCTTTCCCAAGTACACTGACAAGTGACAACTAGCGTAACGCAAGTAGGATACAGTGGCGGAGCCAGTGTACAACCACGTGGGTCAACTGACCCAGGTGAAATAGGTAAATAAATTTTAATGTACAACATTTTGTATGGAACAAGCAGCTCAGTTGGTATATTGCTGGTCATTGACCCTCATGAACCTGATATCGACTCCTCAACTGACACTTGTGGCACCTTTCTTTTATGTATTTAAGTTATTTTCTTCTTCTTATTCTCTTGAAATTTAGAAAGATATGTATAATATATTTTTAAATATATATTATGACACCCGTAAAAATTTTTTTTGGCTCCACCACTGGTAGGATACAAACCATAACGCAGAAAGTATGCCAAATATAAGAGCAGAAACGGGAGAGACAGAATAGATTAAGATGCCGAGTAAAACAATGGCGTAGACATGGCTAGCAATCATGAAGCACCATCCTTCGAAGGGCTCTTCGGGCGTGTTCGTCAAGAAGATCGAGACCCAAAAAGCTACACCACCAATGTATTCTACGCAGGAGACACCCAAGAGCACCTCGATAATAGGGGTTTTATATGGAACGTGAATCTTATTGTGTTTTATATAACAAAACATTGCAATATTCGAGACTATCAAGAGGGTGCTATTAAAGTGAGAAAGTCCCACATTGAAAGTGGGAGCCTTTCTTCACTAATATATAAAGTAAGAGGTAATCCTCCACTCATAAGCTAGCTTTTGGGTGTGAGTTAGACCCATTACTAATAGGTGCTCATGACAATGTCATAATTCACATATTTGTTTTGCCTGCATATATCACCCACCAAAAGTAATTAACATCGATCGATTGTTATATCAATATTTGATTTAGCTTCTATAAGAAGAGAAAATCTTATTATATAAAGTTGGATGCGCGCGACGTGGTTGCGACACGTAGATTTTTATAAAATATAGGATTGCGACATGTGTCACTTTTAATGTTATATCCGTTAAGATCGTGACACATGTCTTCGGAAAAAGGAAATTTTTATTTTAAAGAAATTTTTAATATCTTATAATAAAAACGAAATTTTATATAATAAAATGAAAATAATGTAATAAAAAATTCCTATTAGTATATGGAATAGGTATGTAAACTAAATATCCTAAAATTGTATGGAATAGGTTATATAAACTCCTATTTAAAAAAATCCTATTAGTACATGTAATAGGTATGTAAACTAAATATCCTAAAACTATATGAAATTGGTTACATGAACCCCCTATAAAAAGAGAGCTATTGTAGTCTCTTTTTCTCATTCACAAACTCATCAAAGCAAATTCAGAAAATCTCTTTGATTCTCTTTCTCTAATTTCAAAATCATGTCTTTGAAAGTTCAAGAGAACAGTGGAGATTATTTGACTCTAGGTCAATTGGATCGAAATTAAAATTATTTGAATAAAATCCTATTAGTACATTAGGAAAAATCAGAAAACAGGAAACAAACAATTAAAAAGAAAAAATATTACATCCATTATGAGAAGTAAAGAAAAAACATAATTCTATTACGAAAAGGAAAAAAAACGAAAATCAGAAAAACATGAAGAAATAATTAAAAAATGTTACATCCAATAAGAAAAGGAATAAAAAAACATATTCCCATTACGAAAATGAAAAAAAAATATATATAACAAGCTATATTTTTTAAGTTTCTTTCTCATTAAGAAATAAAATTCATGTCTTTAAAAGTTAAAGATATCAATGAAGAATACTTAACTTTAGATCGATACATGTGTCTAATATTTGATGAAGTGATGACATGTGTCAACACAAGAAAATTGGAAAAATGTAGTAACATAAATAAATAAACTAACAAAATAATATTAAAACAACTAACTAATAATGAAAATGAAAATTTATAATGGTCAGAGGCAAAAACGAAATTGAAAAAGAAACAATATAAATAGAAAACTAACAAAATAATTATTAAGGAACTAAATAATATTAAAAAAGAAAATTTTATAATGGACTGATCTTCTAATATTAAATAGTTTAATTTTCCATGTTTTGTTAGGTAAAAAAATATTAAAAATAAAGATTTCATCATGGAATAATCAAAGTTTCATAAAATAATGAGTCGATTAGATTTAGACACATGTAAATCTTTCTATTTCATATCATGAATTCAAAATAAAAATGTAAAAGACTACATATCTTTATTTAGAGATTTGTTATCGGGTTTTTAATATTATTTTCTTATTTTTAAAATTGATCAAATTTTGTTTAATATTCTTCCGTGATTTAAAAAAATAAAAATAAATAAACCCGCGTATATGTGGGGCCTAATCTAGTTAATAATAGAGGAAAATTCGTTGATGAAAACTCACCAGCATGGACGCCTCCGACTCCGAGATTCATTCATGGCTTCGTCGACTGTAGGAGGATTCATGGCTTCGTCGTATCTCGGTAATATATTGGTCAATGTTAAGGCCTTAACTACTCCTTAGGTCTCTCTTATTATATAAAAGCTGAATACTACGAAAAAAGGAAAAAATAACACATAAGGATAATTTACATAAAACATATGATAACTTGCATATTAATATTGTCATATTCATAATATATAAAAGTGGAATACTACGAAAAAAAGGAAAAATAACACAACCGAGCCACTTGGTTTTTACTCTTAAATTTTGAACTTATTGGTCAACCGGTTCAATTAAAATTTTGACTTGAACCGAGCCAAAAACGGACTAAGACCCTAACTGGTACCAGATTAATTGGGGAATTCTGAAGAATGTTGAATTATTTGTTAGTGTTACCAGTTACTTTTGAAGAACGTAGTGGAATGCTTTTTGGCAGAATTTTTTCTAAGGCATTTTTCTTTTTTTGTTTTCTCTGAAAAACTTTAATGGAATGTTGACTTTGACTAAATTACATTTTAGAAACTGTTTTCTAAAAATCAACATAAAGAAATAAATATGTGCATGTTACAAAAATATATTAGCTGAGAAAATGATAAAATAAAAAACCTAAATTATCTAAAATAAACATATCAATATTATAAATCCAAAATTTTATAACTTCTTTATTAGGATATACAAAATCAATTAAAACAGATTATTTTATTAACTTTTTTTGTTATTTTACTTATTTTAACAGGGTAATTATTTAAATATTCTGTTATTCAAATAATTTGTCAGATTCATATATGGAGTATTTAATTTAGTAGATTTTTAAAACATGTGTTTTTTTTTTCAAGAGTAAAATGTAAATATAATTTCATAAAAAATGGTGCAGTTTTTTAGAATTTATAAATTTTGATGTTAAATAAATTACTATGAATCAATCCAAAATCTATAATTTTAAATAATTTTATTTTATTGAACTATTATTTAGTTATTTCTCAAGTATATGATTTTATTTAGTTTATAATTCAAGTGGGTAAATGTTTTGTTATTTTGTTACACAAACCATTGTTGTTTTGTTAAGATAAAATTTGTTTAGATTTAAAAGGTTAAAAAAAATTTGATACCAACATTTTATTTGAATTTTCAAGTTTAAAAATATTGTTGAACAAACTTCTGAAACAAATATTTCTAAAAAAAAATTATTTTGCATTCAGCAACATTCAGCAACATTAGCAGTTACCATTCACATTACTAACTATTCAGTCAGATTCTGCAAAAAATTACAATTTAATTCCGTCAGATTTCGCATTCAGCAACATTCCGCAGTTACCATTTAGACCCTAAATTAAAGAAAACAAAAAGGAGAATTTCAGATTAAGGATTCCGAAAAATGGAAAACCTTGGATTTTCGTTCTCTTGTATTGTCTAGAAAACCAAAGAGGAGAAATTTTCGATCCTCCCTGACGTCGTAAGTTTTAGACTTTTAGATTTGTTAGCCGAAAGTTTTTCGCTTCAAAGGTTCAACTTTGATTTTGAGTAGGTAGAATTGAAGCCCCTAGATTGATTGATTGATTGGGAATGGTGCGTTGTAGAGATTCAATAAGCAATTTGCCTGATGAGATTCTGGGCAAAATCCTGTCTTTAGTTCCGACAAAAGTGGGTGCTTCCACATCGATTCTGTCCAAGAGGTGGAGGAATCTGTTGGGTCTTGTAGACGAGCTTAGTTTTGATGACGATGTGAAATTTTCGTACCCCAGCGAAGAAGAAGCGACGAGAGGGTACGTGGACAAAACATGTGCTCTGATAAGCAATATCCCCATGATCAAGAAACTCTCTCTGTGTCATGTACCTGAGACAAGTTTGGAGGGTAACGAATCTGAGTGGACGTACAATTGTGTCAACCGTTGGGTTCGGACTGCAATGGAATCCGGTGTGTTGGAGCTACACCTACACCTGGAAGCTGTCCTCTCTTCTGGTATTTGTATCAAGTCAAAGCTGTTGAGGAGCAACACACTGGTGAAGGTGAAGCTCACACTAACCGGTGAAATTTCTCTTGAAGCCGAGCATGTGTTTCTCCCAGCGCTCAAATCACTCTCTCTCTCTCTCTCTTATCAGTTTCGTTTGAGTATGACCAATACTGTTGGCTCATCGATGGCTGCCTTGCCCTGGAAGAGTTGTTCATAACCGATGCTGATCATTGGTATCCGCCGTGCTGTGGTGCCGGCGTGCAAAGTGCTTCCCTCAAGCGACTTGTGGTTCTTGTCAATCTTCCGGATTCTAAAGAGGAACACGACTGCATTCTTGTTAGTGTGTTGCTCATTACGAAGTTGGTCTCCGGTTTCAGGGACTTGTGCACAGAGTAACAGACAGATGCGGAGTTGCATGCGCTTGCATCCCTAAGAAGCAGAGGAAGATTGTGATGCCGGAAGAGGAGATATGCTGTTTACGGACATGTCAAGTGAAGATACTAGTGATTTGATTTCAGGGTATGGAGGTTCTTTTCAAGAGCTGAAACAGATGAGACATTTCTTGGGCAAGCTCCAATGTCTTCAAACTGTGAAAGTTGGTGTTGCTGCATCAGACAACAACAAGTTCTTGCGTGCTAAACTGCTGGCTCTCCCCAGACTCTCATCAAGTTTGTTAACATCCAGTTCATCTGACCTTTTATACTTATCTTTCTCAGTTTGATGGCAATGTGAAATTAACTTAACATGAATATATGATATGATTATTTCAATAAATAAACTTGTTTTTCAATTCTTTTAATATGTTTTGTATTTGGTCCTCATTTGGCATCTATTAACAAATCAACACGAGAGTTTGTGTGGTCATCCAAAAGAAGAATTATACAGGTAATAATAACAATTCTCAAAAAATTCTAGATGCTGCAAAGGCAACAGCAGTGGCTTCTGGTTTGATATGTGGAGTGAAGATTCAGGAGACAGGTTTTGAGCAGAAACTCTCCCTTCGTTGAACAGCTCGAAATTTCTCGACCTGAAAACTCTCTTCAGCTAGTTTCTGAGCTTCTCATTCGCTTCTTCTGCGAGTTTCTCTGTTCCTTTAAGATCATTTATGGCTATGCTTTTATCTTTCTCGAGCAATGCTATTTGCTGGATTAAATCCTCCTGGATTAACTGAGCCTGCATTTCCCGAACCTTTCACCAACCGCGATTGCTTTCTGAAGATGTTTAACAGGGCAGCTCTTTTCACAAACAAGAACAAAAGAAGCCAATGGTGTTGCAAATGAGAGATGAAGACACATTAATCATAAGGGTTTTGACTGAGAGAAATCATTCCCAGATGATTGTCTTCCCAGAACCATTGCCACTGGAAGCTGAGAGGAAAGGACTGAAGAGTAAACCTCTGCGTCGAGAAGCCATTGCAGCTTCGTGGTGATTGCAAAGTTTGCATCCTCTCCAAGCTCAGAAGAATGCCTCATGACAGACTGCAACAATACAACTCGGGCCAGGAGCAAGACTCACAAGAATATCCACCAATGTTGTGTTTGCCTGAGAATCATGGCTCTGTTTCTTACTAACATGGTTTGAGATGAAACAATGTGCATCAACAAACAACGACTCAAGAAGTGTGAGCCTGAATTCTTGTCTTGTTTCACCTGAGTTCAACAGTGCACTTAGAAGATCTACTGTTGTTTTCTCTAGAAGATCAGTCATAACTTCACCGGCGGATTTGACATGGGTTTGTTGGCTCAGCAAAACTTTGAAAGCAGAGTGCTATTTCTTTACACACCGCCACAACTTTAACAGAATTTCTAAGATAAAATTTCACATGAAGAAAAAAAAAGACCCTTCTAGGTTCTGTTGCAGATACGTTTTCCTTCACCGAGCAAGACCAGGCCTCAGCAGCAAATCTCAGAGGCTCCTTGATCAGTGATATTAGCTTTAAAATGATGTCTCCTATATCTACCTTCGAGACCAATATCTGCTTGTCTATCTGAAGCAATGTAATCACACCCTTCCATGATGTATTCAGAATGGTCACAAGATTGCCACCATCTCTCGCAGCAAGCATGCCCAATTCACTCAGAGCTTTAACTCCCAGCGTAATTAAGCTTACCAAATTACACAGTGTTGCCTTCCTCCATTCTAGCTATTCCTTCATTCCCATTAGTCTTGATTTCATTTATACTTAGCTGATTCACTGCTAGGGAGTACTCTTTAATTAATTATAACTTACTAGTAGAGGACCCGCGCAAACGCGCGGTGTGACGTTGCGGTTTTGTGAATAAAATCTAAATTCAAAATCTGAGCCCGACTCAAAAACCCTAATCAAAATTTTAAAAATCCAAACCTTTTTAATATGTCTAAACCCGAAATCCAAAAAATCCCGAAAACCCTGAACTGAATAAAAAAAACTTTTTCACCCGAAACCCGAACCCGACCTAAAAACCCTAATAAAAATTTTAAAATATCTAAACTTTTTTAATATGTCTAAATCCAAAAACCCGAAATCCAAAAAATCTGGAAAACCCTGAACTGAACCCAAAAAAACTCAAACCCAAACCGAACATAAATTTTCAAAAAAAAACCGAACAGAAATCCACAATTTGATTTAAATCATATGTATTTCTATTTCACTATTGGAAATTTTGCAAATATCATTCGAATTTGGTATTATCGATAGATTATGTTAATTTTTCTTTTTTGCCGATTTTTTAAGAGCTGGAAAACGGAAGTTTTCTAAACCATCGGTTTGTTTTAAGTTATTATTCTTGTATCCAAACAATTTTTTCCATTTATTCTTCTATCCAAATAGATTATTCTCTTATTCTTATATCCAAACAACTTTTTTTCCATTTATTCTTCTATCCAAATAGATGATTCTCTTATTCTTGTATCCAAACATTAGAATGTACTTCTCAATTAATAATATAAAAATATAATGTTATAATTAGGAAATTGCTTTGTACTCTTGAACTGAAATAGGTTTTATAATCCATTAAATTTGAAAAATGTGTTATTTTAAGAATCCATTTCAGTTGATTCTAAAATCTCTACAATATCTCATGAATTCTGTTTTTAATAATTTACTCATAGAAATCCATTGGAATTCATTTAAAATAACTCAATAAACAAATGATTTTAAAAGTCATTTAGTTTTGAATAACAGTGGATTTTAAATCTGGATTTGAAATCTTGATTGATTAACACTGGATTTAAAACTCTACTAATGAAAGATTATAAATCCGATATCGAATAATACTGGATTTTAAAACCGGATTTGAAATCTTGATTGAATAACACTGGATTATAACTCAATTTCAATTCATTTTAAATACAACCTCCAATAACACCCCCTTAGAATTTCGGGTATAAAATAAATGAAAATTAATTAATTTGTGTGTTTTATTTTTATACTTTTATCTAAAGTAAAAAAAGACTATTTTGTTTATTTTTGAAATAAGATGTGACAAATTTTAGTTAAAGATTTTTTTTTTTTTTTGACATCAGTTAAAGATTTAAGAGTCATATTAATTAAGGGATATATCTCAATCTCAATCATTTTGAGGAATAACTTTGAGTCTTTTGATATAGAGGCTTTACGCATATTTGCCTATTTGGCCCCCCTCAGGAGTCAATAGTCAAGAGAGACACCAGTCTTCTTCGTGATAGCAGCGAGCTACTCTCGAATTCGTTTCCGCGATCAGATCTCTGCTCCCGTACAATCCATGGCTCAAGTTACGAAGGTAGTTAACGGCGCCGCCGATGCTCAGGATCTCCACTCGCTTCTCTCTTCTCCGGCGAGGGATTTCCTCGTTCGCAATGACGGCGCACAGGTAAATTTTTTTGCTTCGCTTCACTTCTCTCTTTCTCTGGTTGACTCGATCCTTCTGCGTTTATGGTTTGTTCTCCATTTTCTGGCCCTAGATTTCACCTTCTGCTGTTTTCGATTCTGTGCCTGGCGATTTTTTTTCTCGGTTTTGCTGGTTGGCGATTCCTGTTTATGAAGAAATCTAGGTCGTGCTCTTCGATTGTTTACAAATGATAAGAGAAGCTTCGTGTGCTTGCTTATGTTCGCTTATCTGCTAAGACCTCAGGGCTCATAGAATCGATTGAGCTTAGACCTTCTTCTCTGAATTGATCTGGCTTCACTCTCGTTTACATGGATTATCTGCGTTTGATTATATGAATTTCTGGATTTTACAGGTGAAAATTGACAGCTTGAAAGGGAAGAAGATCGGAATGTATTTCTCAGCTGCGTGGTGCGGTCCATGCCAAAGGTTCACTCCTCAGTTAGTTGAAGTGTACAACGAGCTCTCTGCAAAAGCCGGTTTCGAGGTTATCTTCGTGTCAGGCGATGAGGATGAAGAGTCTTTCAAAGACTATTTCGCCAAGATGCCGTGGCTCGCTGTCCCTTTCACTGATTCAGAGACTCGTGACCGCTTGGATCAGATCTTTAAGGTTAGAGGAATCCCAAACCTGGTGATGGTTGATGATCGTAGTGAAGTTGTGAATGAGAACGGAGTCGGTGTCATCCGAAGCTACGGAGCTGATGCTTATCCTTTCACGCCAGAGAGAATGAAGGAGATCAAAGAGGAAGAAGACAGAGCTCGGAAAGAACAGACTTTGAAATCCGTCTTGGTGACTCCTTCAAGAGACTTTGTGATCTCACATGATGGACACAAGGTACCTGTATCGGAGCTTGAAGGGAAAACCATTGGCCTTCTCTTCTCAGTGGCGTCTTACAGGAAATGCATTGAGTTTACTCCGAAGCTTGTAGAGGTTTACAACAAGCTGAAGGAGAATAAGGAGGATTTTGAGATTGTGCTGATATCTCTTGAAGACGATGAAGAGTCTTATAAGCAGGACTTTGAGAGCAAGCCGTGGCTAGCGTTGCCGTTCAACGACAAAAGCTCGTCGAAGCTGGCTAGGCACTTCATGCTCTCGACGCTACCGACTCTGGTCATCCTCGGTCCCGATGGGAAGATCCGGCACACGAACGTCGCTGAAGCCATCGATGACTATGGAGTTGTTGCGTATCCTTTCACTCCTGAGAAGTTTCAAGAACTCAAGGAGATTGAGAAGGCGAAGGCAGAGGCTCAAACGCTCGAGTCTCTTCTCGTCTCAGGTGATCTCAACTACGTTCTTGGGAAAGATGGGGCCAAGGTGCTTGTTTCTGATCTGGTGGGGAAGAACATTCTTCTCTACTTCTCAGGTCACTGGTGTCCTCCGTGTCGCGCGTTTACGCCAAAGCTTGTTGAAGTATACAAGAAGATAAAAGAGAAAGACGCAGCGTTCGAGCTGATCTTCATCTCCAGTGACCGAGACCAGGAATCGTTCGATGAGTACTACTCTCAGATGCCGTGGCTGGCTCTTCCGTTCGGCGATCCAAGGAAACCGTCATTGGCGCGAGCCTTTAAAGTTGGTGGCATCCCGATGCTAGCGGCGCTGGGACCGACGGGGAAAACCGTGACGAAAGAAGCAAGGGACCTTGTGGTAGCTCATGGAGCCGATGCTTACCCTTTTACGGAAGAGCGTGTGAAGGAGATTGAAGCTAAGTACAATGAGATGGCGAAAGATTGGCCTAAGAAAGTGAAACATGCGCTTCACGAAGAGCATGAGCTAGAACTGAGTCGTGTTCAGGTTTACACTTGCGATAAGTGTGACGAAGAAGGGAGAATCTGGTCTTACCATTGTGAGGAGTGCGACTTTGATCTCCATGCCAAGTGCGCTTTGAACGAGGAGGCGTTCACAACCGCCGGCGATAATGGTGATGTGAAAGAAAGTGGCGGCGGTGGTGGCGGCGAGTCTAAAGATGGTTGGGTTTGTGACGGACATTTGTGCACCAAGTCCTGCTAGATATTAGCTTCTTCAGGCACAGTTATATGTATCCAGCAGAGCTATTTTCATTTCCTTGTATAACTGATAAAGAGTGACAAAATGTGGCTACAATCTGATATATTACTTGGAAATGACCTCTGCTAATCTAAAGTAAAACCAAACTAATATTAATCTTGAATCTTTGTATCAACAACGTATAAAGAGTGACAAAATGTGGCTACAATCTGATCTATAACTTGGAAATGAGCACTGCTAATCTAAAGTACAAAACATGATAATATTGTTATTAACTTTGATTTTGTATCAACAACATGCAAAGAGTTGTATGAAAATAATACATTGGCAACACTCTATGTATATTATATGGAGACAGAGATAAAGAATTATGCACTGAGATCAAACTTTCGTCTTCCTAAACACCATCGGAGAAGAAGCTAAAGACGGCGATGCTCATGATCTCCGAGTAGCTTCGGATTTCCTCATTTGCAATGGGTTGCAAGCAAGGAAGAACAACCAACTGCTAAATTATACAAAATTCAGATCAAAAGAAGAACTTTTGAAAGCTTGAAGGCTGCTTTAAGATAAGCTAAAAGGTAAATCTTGCAGAAATTAAGGCGTATCTAAGACGATGTTCTCCATAACAGTATCCAGTAAACTACAATGATGATTTTATAGGACTTACCAGTGAAGATCTGTTGATTAGAGGACAACAACGTTCATGAATTTCCTCTTGGCAAAAGCAAGCCACCATTTGTTTGGTGTCCCATTGGCTCTATACGCTACACTAAGTAGCCTCCCACTCGTCTCCTCACGAACCTGCTTCAGATAGTTCCTGAAAAGATCTGACATTTCAAAACCAACAGAACAAGAAAGGTTCAATAGTTAGGAACTTTAATCAATCAAAATGAGAGTTTCTTGGAATGATTTTACGTGTACCTGCTTCTTCATTGGACTGAGGAAGAGGAAAGAGACCGGGAAAAGGAAACTCAGCTTCTCCAGGGACAGGGATGTCTTCCAAACCCAAGTTGATAATCGCTTTCGTTCCTACGGCCAACGTTCTACAGCCTTCGAGCCGCTTCAACGCCACGTTTATGTAGAACGTCAAGTAGATGAGGAGCTTATCAGCAGGACTTTTGATATCGAAGTTGGTGAAGAAGACGTTCGCGCGGAAGAAGGTGATTGCTTCGTCCACAATATCCGTTCTATCTGCATATAAACAACATTGTATAAAATGTATTTCTTCAAGAATCACATTTACGCTTTCGTTTTTTGAAGTATACCTTGTTCTGACACAGGTGCAGGACCCTTTATATGGCTCTTGAGAGGAAGTAAAGGACAACCACATGCCTTTGTTATGCCTTCTTCTTCCACAAAGCTCGAGTGATAAACCTGATTAAGCGTTTAAACCATGAGGTTAACAAGTACAAGAGACTCGTAGCTACAAAGCAGAGGATTCAAATCAAAGTTCGCAGGAGAAACAAAAAAGAGTTTTTGATCAGTGAAACAATATCAAGGAAGGACTTAATTATCAGTAACGGGAAACAAAGAGGAACCAGCCGAATCTAAGATCAATGCTGATTGAAGATACAAAATTGAATGTTCGTACCATTTTGTTCCCAATTTGAAAAACGAGCTGATCGGGAACAATCGAGTCGAAGGATGTGAGAACGGAGATCTACTGCAATGAAGATCATGGAGATATGAGAATCGATCGGTAGGTAAACAAAAACGGAAGAAGATTGATGAAAAATGATGCAGCGAAATTAAGTCTTACCTGTTACAGAATTGGTAGACGAGAGCAGATTAATTCACCTTGTTAAGCATCTGCGGAAGGAAAATGTATAGAGTTCGCCAGAATCCGTCGTGAGAAGTTCCGGTGGTCGGAGATATTTTTCAATTTGGAAGCTAATCGCCGAGATCGACGAAGATGAAGACCAATTAAAGCCAGGAAGGTACGAATGACACGTGTAAGCATATGGTTTAAATATTTCACCAATTGAAGATGTGCTTTTTTTATTGGACCGGTTGATTATCCGGTTCAGTGCAGCTTAACCGGATTCAACTCTGCTCTTCAACAAAAAAGTGTCAAAATTGTAACATTTTCTCTGTGTTTCATTCAATTTGTGAGAGGAAAACAAAACTAGTATCTAATTACTAGTATCTTGAACATATATAATCATCTTACATAAACAAGTCTTGTATAAACAAATTTCTGTCACAGTACTAAATGAGCACAGCTCTTTGACCGTAATGATAAACTTAATAAGACACTTTTCTACAGCTGATTTGTGTGATTTCATAACAACAATACAAGTGGTGATTACTCTGCACCAAGTAAAAGACTAAACTAAACTGATGCTACATTCTATGGTTTCACCATCGTTGAAACTTGAAGTTACTTCACCTGAACAGTTAAAAGTTTCTTCTCTTTGCTGCACAGTATGGTGATGATGATGATGCGGTTTCAAGTCGTTGGTGTCATGGCTCTGTGTTTTGTTGTAGCTAGCGAATGCTCCTAAAGCTCCAAGAAACCCTTCGTGTGTCAAGAACATTGCTTTAGCTTCACCTCTTGACCTGAAATGAGAAATTTTTCAAAAAGATACATTCATAAGTCTTGAATCTTAGAGATTTATGTAGTTTCTTTTTAGATTACCAGAAGTGGACAGCTACAGAGATTGTGTCCATGGTGTACTCGAGACCACGGATGAAAAATCCACCAAAGAAGATACGCTTAAGGTCGAATCTGAGAGCATTCAAGTAAGCAATCTGGAGAGAGAGACAGTGATGTTACAATTCAATTAGAAAAATGATATGATTCAAAGTTTTGTAAAATGAAAGGAAATGTTTGCAAGAACAGACCTGACCGATGTTGTTTGATATCATTCTTAGAAGCGATCTTGCAACGTCTTCTGGCTGGTAATCTTCGAGCTCTTTGCCATCAGAAATCGCTTTCCCGAAGCTGGAAGCGATCGCAGTAGAGGAGAGACCAATCTACCAAAAATGGTTTTGATTCACATTTGGATCAAATCTAAACCTTTACATATAATTCATTAAACCAAGATTAATCAATTACCTTTGAATAGTCTGTTCCACCGTAGATATCTCCCACAAGCATGTCAATGACTCTGTTGTTTCCATGGTGACTTAACTCAAGAAGCTCATCGAAACTGAGATTTAAGAGATATTAGTTTTACTCGAAGGCAAGAAGGAAACTGGATGTATAGTAGAGAGTTGAGTATGAAACTCTCACCTCTTGCATTTTGTTAAAAGCTTTCCAAGACCTAAGAATGTGCCACCACCAAGGCTTGTTCCACTTATTCGCTCGTATTCCCCATCTCCATCAACCTAACATAAAGAACAGAGTTTGAGTAAGCAACGTCGCTGGTGCAGCTGCAAGAATTAGGAGAAAGTGACCAGAGAGAAGCCAAAACCATAGTAAAACCTTGATCATGCTAACACCAGAGCCGATGTTAACAAGGAGGTATGGATACAAATCATTATGGTCGATTTCAACGAACTCCTTCTGGCCATCTAAGTAGGTGAAAGCTTCCCTTGGGACTGTCTGCAATCAGATTCAGACTTCAGATGTAAGAAAGCATCCAATATTTTGGATAATCTATTCTCCCATTGAGGATTTAAATGTATTGAAGAATCTATCCCATGAAAGACTTTGGCAAGAACACTGCATTTACTGTAGTTTTCAGAAGCACAATTACAAATTATCATCATCATCATCAAAAGACTAATCTCCTATATGGTAATGTAGCTAGGTTTGCAATCTTCTAAAAGTTTATATACAGCACCGTTCCACGCAACTACAAATTATCATCATCATCAAGACACAATACAACTTCACACATATAGGGAACTAGCAAAAGGCTGGTGATAAAGAAGATTAAGGAGAGAAAAAGATCCAACCTTTAAGAGAAAATTTGCACCACCAACAAGACAATGCATCTCGTCTTCTTTATCGAAAACAATCCCAAGTTTCTCCTTAAAGAGATCAGCAAACTTAAACGCCCCACCACCTGTGGCCTTTTGGAACACACCATTTCAAATTAGCACACAATAATCAAACTACTGTATATACTGAAATGAAATCCCACAGCAACATTCCTCACTATTTAAAGCTTTAGCCGAGCTAAAAACCGACCTTAACAGTAAGTTTATCACAGGCTGTCCCATTCTGATGCTGATCACCTGAATAGTTAAACCCATCAGTAAAAATCTCAAAGAGTAAGTGAAACAACAAAGTAACTCAAATCTCAAACTTCCCAAGTAAAGAAATCAACAAACTTGTGGTAATTTATCTTAGAAAAGACATTCCTTTTCTTGCTTCAATCAATGGAAAATCCATTTCCTAATTAAAAGAGAAGATTTTTAAGGGACCCAAGATTCAAAGACAGAAACTTTTCCGAAATGTGTTATGATTTTGATTCAAAGACACAAACTTTTCCAAAATGTGTTTATGATTTGCTTCTTAGAGTTTGCAATTTGTGTTTTAACACTCATTAGTCCAACTACCAAGCAATAAAGCTTCGGAATTTACTACATAAGAATCAGAAAATGAAGACTTACCGGAATGATGAAGAATATTGAATCGAATAAACTCTAAACAATCATCAATCTTTCTGGTCTCAAACTTGGCGAAACAAAGCTTCCCTTGCAAAACGGAGCCACCATTATTACGAACGACGATGCTTGTTCCGTCGCGAGACTCTTCGCAATGATCTCCATTTGAAGAGAAATAAACAAGCTTTATCAGAGTCCCTGCAATCGAAAAAAATCCCAAATTGAAATCACACAAACCAATTCCAGATCAATTTGAGACGAACCCAGAATCGGAAACCGAATCAATAGGTAGAGAAATCGAATGAGGTTGAGAGTTACCTCCGATGTCGAGAGCCAAATGAGAGATTTGACTCGAGAAGCGAAAATCTTGCGTTTCCATTTTTCCGGATTTTTTTTTTTTTTTTGCTTTTTTCAAATTCTCTTTCTTCCTTATGATTCCGTGTTTGAGTTTTAAATTCAACGTGAATTAAAAACTTTTCAACGATCAACTACTTTGGATCTACCTATCCATGGCTGACTTGTATTTCTTCTCCATTCGGCAATGTTTGGTTGTCCAAAAATTGGTATTTTTTTTATTTAATTTTAAGGAAAGAGAGACGAATTTCTTTCTTGCTGACTTGTCAAGATTTTTGTTTTAAAGTTTTTTTTGTGTGTCTCTGTATGTTAACTTAAATGTGTAAGCTTGTGAGGACATTAACTTGCTTGTGTGGTTGCTCTAGTTTTAAGTTTTAACACATACCAACATGTGTCTTCAGACAAATATGAAACTAAACTGAAACTTTCAAGTAAATTTCCATTTATGTAGTGAATTTAATCTTATAACATTATGAATGTAACATAAGATTCATCGTTTCTAGTTGATCTCTATAGATGATTAGTTCTTCTTGATTAATCTACAAAAAATGATAATTTTGTTAGTTCTTCTTGTAGTTTTAGTTAGTGTTAATCCCTCAAGATTTGCTGAAGTTATTGATCCGTATTTCTTTTTTCAAATGCATTGTTTATAGTTTTTTTTTTTTTTTTTTTATTTATTCTTAGCAAACGATGGAACCCCAAAAAAAAAAAAAAAAAAACTCAACGCATAAAAATTAAACAAACCAAATTGAAAAAACAAAAAATCAGATGCATAGTTTTTTGGGACAAATTTATTCTCAGCACACGATGAAACAAAAACAAAACTCAGAGCATAAAAATCAAACACACAAAATGGCTTCATCTAATTAAAAATAATAATCTGGTTTCATTCCGCGCCAAGTTATTTTGATAGGGTTCTTCGACATCTTCAGGTGCTTTTCGGTTTGAGATCGAGGGACTCGTCGTCATAAATATCCCACCATTTCTTAACCAGCATTTTGACATCTTCTCTGTCCATGAAAGCTTCTTTTCCTGTGAACTTCCATGGCTTGGATCCCTATCATTTTAACCAATAATAAAGATAGTAAAAAGGATTTAAAGTTTCAAAACCAAGAGAGGTTTATAAGCGAGTAAGAGTGTCCTTACAGGCGCACAGTAATGAATAACCTTGACTTTCCCCAGGTCCACGTTCTCCGGGTGGCGCCAAAGTACAGACATAATCAAGTTGTAAACCAATGGGATCGGTTTAAAAACTTTCTCAAAGAACACATTCAGAAAGTCCTGCCAAAGTCCCACATACCAAAAACATTGTCAAGAATTATGAAAATGATTAAAAATGATTTATCTAGGAGTGGCTCATGTCTTATATATTTTTAAAATTTAATAATAATGAAATATGTGATTCCTATCTTTTTTTTTAGTTTTTTTTTTATCAAATTTTAATCATTTTAACTCAACTCTTTATATTATATAATAATAACTCACTTGTTCTGCAAATGCTGAAGGTGGTGTGACCTTGAGACTCTCGAGGAGGCTGTGATAAGTAGCAAGGTTAGGCTCAAAAACAAACATTCCGGCGTTGTAGTACGGAGGAGGAGGAGAGTCCATCTCGGCCGGCCACTTCACCTTTTCCGGGCACTGCTGGCAATACCCGATAGTGTACTGCGGTGTGTGGCTCCATGTTTTCTCACAGAAACAGCCTATCGCGCCGTGCATGTAACCGTCTGGCAAATCAAAGAGCTCGTCTATGTTGCCGTAGACTTGAATATCCGCATCCAAGAAAACCACCTTGTTGTACTCCTTAAACTACATGCATGCATGTTTTATTAATTTTTATTAAAAAAATAGTTTTAATAATTAAATGGTATGGTAAAAAAAAACAGATTCATTTACTTGAACATTCACATTTTAGGGAAAAAAAAAACTTTTTTTTTTTAGTTTGTTGAAGAATTTGAGATGCTTACGTTCCAGATTCGAAGCTTGGAGTAGTTGACAATGTAATAATCCCTTGCATACGAGACCTGGTCTTCTGGAGGATAGACAGGCTCGATCTCACGCACAACACAGCCTTGAGACCTCAAGATCTCTCTATGTTCCTCAGGAACATCAGGCAACACAGCAACAACAAGAGGGTAAGCACTTTTCACCTTACGTAAACCCTTTGCTAGTCCCACCACTCCCTTCACGTAGTCTCCATCGCCTGCCAAAAACGTCACGTAGGCTCTTCCTTGATGTGCCTTCTCGGTTGAATTGATTGAGTAGTCGATGGAAATTGTAGGGGCCATTTGGAAATTGTTGGGTTGGTGGTTTCTGATGAAGATTGTGTGTACCGACTTGGTTAAGTTGGCCTTTGGCTTCTTAGTAGTTTTCTATGAAAGCTTAGCTACCACAGAAACCTCGTCCGATTATAAAGGCAAAGAACGAAGGGTAATTTCGGGACGAATTAACAATAATTACATTGCATAAAGCATTGTTAAAATGTGGTAACAAATGTTATTTAGCCAACTTTTCTGTGTTGGCCAAATCATGGGTGTGATACTGTGATGTAATAAGGGAAATGAAAGCTCAAACAAAATTGATTTGATAAGTTTTATATGAGAACAACAAAATACTGGAATTTTTTGGTTATTTAGGAAACTGAAAACCTGGCCACTACCAATTGTGAAAATGTTTTTATAGAAAAGAATCATTTTGTTTCCTAAGGAGACATGCATGAACATTCTTTTGTTTGGAAAATTTTCCTCGTTTGCCTTTTGAAGCCATTATATATGAACAAGAAAGTAATTTTTAATTTTGTATAAACGCCTGATAACATATGTGTCAATATGTCCACATTTACATTAGAGTAACAAAATCAGCTGCGAGTAACAAAATCACCTGTCTATATGTGGGTGATTTTCTAACTTTTTGATTTTTCTTTATGCAATCACAAGAAGAAAGAATTAAGTATCTTCTTTGGAAAATAAAAAAAATGCATAAAAACTACAAGTAATAAAAGATAGATCTTCAAACGATAATGAATTAACGGCAAAGCTCAAATCCGTTAAGAAGGTTTAATAACTTAGTCACATTAGAAATGACACTAAAAATCAATTCCTACTTCTGAAAATCGTTGAAACGAGTCTGGTTGGATCTTTAAATCCTGAAAATGGTGAGAATATTGTAAAGACTTATCATTTTTGAACCCGGAAAAAAATCCGCTTTTCTAAAAAAAAAAGAGTGTGAAAAAGTTTCATTCCCTTAAAGGAAGGAATGCAAAGTAGATCTCTACATGTAATAAAGATAGATCTTCAAACGACAATGAATTAACGACAAAGCTCCAATGCGTCAAAAGAAGTTTCATTGAGCCGAAATGAAATAACTTAGTCACATTAATTAGAAATGACGTTAAAAATCAATTTCTACCTCTGAAAATTGTTGAAAGGAGTGGTTGCATCTTCAAATCTCGAAAATAGTGAGAATATTGTAAAGATTTATAGGAAAACATTCCGATTCCCTGAGAGAAAAAATGGTGTGAAAAGGTTTTTTTTCACTCAAGGAAGAAAGGTGAAGTAGATCTCTTCATGCCTATGGAAGAGGTTTAACTATTAAAAATCCATTGCAAAAGGGAAAATGAAAATATCTCGACAAATGGACTTCAAATACCATTAACAAACAGAACTCGAGAATATTCAGAATATGGGCCGAAAATCGCCAAGCTCTTAACCTAAGATCCATATTGGATTAAGCCCATATAACTTGAACAGTATAAAGAGGAGGTTGTTGTGAGGTTAATGAGGTGGGCAAATGAAAATGGGCTAAAGCTCATAGAATAAGCAATCCAACTGGAGATCTGAGAATGGACTTCAAGCAAGTCACATAGTCAAGTTTGTCGAGAATAGCAGCAGAAACAAGACACAGGGAAATTGAGTATAGGAGGCCGGCGAAGATGAGAGAGCGTAAACGGAGCAGATCGACAGTAATGGGAAAGCGTAAGCAGAGCATATCGACAGTAATCTTTCGGGTTGGAGACGCGACAGGTGGTTGATAATCGAGCAATCTAGCCGAGGTGAAGGGTAGTGGAGAAGTTGAGGATCAAAGAGTTGAAAACTAAATAGGATTTGGCATCATCTCCGGCTGCACCATCCGCTGCTTGAGAAGTCTTAAAGTAATCTGCAATGGTATTAGTATTACATAATCCTTTTCTAAAATGTATTGCAGATTGCTTCAGTATGGTATTAGTATTACATAATCCTTTTCTAAAATGTAATGTTTTGGTTTACATGTTGGATTTTCGCAGGATTTTCTCAAAAGGTTCTTTGGGAAAGATTTTAAACCGGTCTCTCCGGTTTACAACCTGATTCTGTCTGTGCTTTGGCATCATCCGGTGCAGATTTGAAAGATACCATTTCGAAGTCAACAACTATAGCTTCAGTAACCGAACCATAAGCAGAGCCGTCCCTAAGGGCAAGCAAAGCAATAGTGAACAACCTTGACTCTCTCTAGGTCAACGCTGCCCGGATGATGCCAAAGCACAGACAGAATCAGGTTGTAAACCGGAGAGACCGGTTTAAAATCTTTCCCAAAGAACCTTTTGAGAAAATCCTGCGAAAATCCAACATGTAAACCAAAACATTACATTTTAGAAAAGGATTATGTAATACTAATACCATACTGAATATTGATGTATATATAAAATGACTTACTTGCTCAGCGAATGGTGTAGGCGGTGTGACTTGGAGGGTTTTGAGGAGACTCTCACAAGTGGAAGGCTTAGCTAGGCTCAAACACAAACATACCGGCGTTGAAGTATGGAGGAGGAGGTGAAGATTGTATCTTGTTCGGCCACGTGACTTTCTCTGGACAGTATTGACAGTATCCCATCGAATAGAGCGGCAAGTAACTCCAAAATTTCTCACAGAAACAACTCAACACGCCGTGTAAATACCCACTCAGGCAAGTCGAAGAGGTCATCAATATTGCCAAAGACTTGAATATCTGCGTCCAAGTAAAGCATCTTGCTGTACTCTTTAAACTGCAAGATTTAAATAAAAATAAAAATAAAAAGAAAGATGTAGTTATTTAACATTTAAAACCAAAAAAGAAAGATGGAGATATCTTTTTTTTTTTTTTAATCAATGTATATACTTACGTTCCAAATTCGGAGTTTTGAGTAATTGATAATGTAATAAGCCCTTGCGTATGCATCTTGGTTGCCCGGAGGATAGACAGGCTCGATCTCACGCACGACACATCCTTGAGACCTCAAGAGCTCTCTATGTTCCTCAGGCACATCAGGCAAGACAGCAACAACAAGAGGATAAGCACTGTTAACCTTACGCAATCCCTTGGCTGATCCAACCAGGCACTCCCTTTACGTAGTCTCCCTTACCTGCCAAAAATGTCACATAGGCTCTTTCCTTCTGCGTCTTCTCGGATGCATGGATAGAGACCATTGGAGTGTCAAGGACCATTTAGGTCAAAGGAAAATTTTAGGGGTGGGTTTGAGAAGAAATTTTAAAACTTAGGGTTGTTTCTGACGAAGATTGTGTGAGGGTTTACTTTGGTATTTGGCTTATAGTGGTTTCTGTGGAAGCTACCACAAACATTTGATTAAATAGACGCGAGTGTAATTCACTGTAATCTTCGTCTTTCAATTAATTATGCTAAAGCGAAACATGCATTCCATGCAGTGTGTAACTAAATACTAAATTAATCATAATAGAAAATGTTTTCCAAAGTTAAATAATACAGTTAGTTTATTAGTAAGAAATTTACATCAAATTTTATTTTTCTGTAATCCATTGTTTTTGTTTATATGATTTATAAATACTAATTCAAATCACGAGTTATTCAATCTTACGGATATTTACTTCTTTATTTGATTTCAAAATGAATTTCGGATTTGGATGTTAAAAATACAAAAAATGAAGTCTGAGGGAAACCCTACAAATTTACAAATATTAATTAAAATTGACATATTAGATTTGAGAATCAATAAACTTTACAAGGATTTGTAAATCCTATATAGATTTCTAAATCAATTAAAATACAACAAATTTTTTAGTTAGAACTATACTTATTTATGAATGTTGGGAGTAGGTTGCTCAAAGGCGTTGACAGCTTATAACGTGATCACTATCTCTCTTGTTTTTCCTCAGAATAATATAATTATATTGAAACTGTAAAATCATAATGTAGTACACTAGTCAGGATTTAACGTGATAGTTTTTATTTTTTAATTGGTATTAGCACATGTTATAGATTTAAAAATAATACTACAAATGGTAAAGGTGTGCAGAAAATTCCAAAATTGCTTTATTTATTCCACCCAACGGTCGTAGTGAATGAGTGAATCGCTCATATAAAAATACCACCCCTAACGACTTGCTAGCTCATGCATTTAGAATCATATTTATAACATAATGGTTTGGCTTAACCAGGGAATTTTTTCGTGGAAATGAATTTGGATCAAATAAGTACGACTGTAAAATTACTAAACTAATAAATTTATTTTCTGTTATATAGAATCTGAAAGTGTGAATAAATAGACTTTTATAAGAAAATGATATACATATGAACTTCAAGAAGTTGGGAAAAGTTTGTTAGTGTAACAAATATGGACCTAAACTAAAACCTTCAAGTAATTTCAAGTGAACTGAATCTCAAACTCCACAAGCAATGAGATTAAGAATCTTTTTGATTTTTTTTCATGGTGCAGTCGTCTTATTGTTTTTTTTTTTTGGAGTTATTGTTGTCAACTTTCTTTAGGTTTCAGTTCTTTCATGAATACTTGAGTGCGAAAAATAATGCTCTCTTATTATATTATTAAGCCTGATAAACACAAATGCAAACGAGTTTTTTGTTGTTTAAAGAACACATTCTTACCACACAATTAAACAACAAAACAAAGAAACAGATGAAAATAAAAACACACAAACTTGCTTGATGGAAAATGAAATTAATTAAGTAAAAAAAAAAAAAAAAAAAAAAACACTTGCTTGATCGATGCCAAAGCTCGTGTACTTCCTTGTGATTAAGACTTTCTCAAGCAGCAGGAGGAGAGTAGGAAACTTGTTGTTCGATTACGGAGAGAGGGCTTCTTCCGAATTTGTATGGCCCATTACTTTCAAATCAAGTGGTTCGTAATTATGAAGAATTATGCTTGGTGCTGCCGGATTTTCAATGATATATGATGGTTCGGTTACTGAATCTATAATTGTTGACTTCGAAATGGTATCTTTCAAATCAACACCATTGCTTTTTGGTTTGAAGTCAAGTGATTTGTCGTTATAAATATCCCACCATTTCTTAATTAGCATTTTGACGTCTTCTCTGTCCATGTTAGGCTCTTCTCCTGTGAACTTCCATGGCTTGGATCCCTATCATTTTAATTTCACCAATATAGTAACAATGATAAAAGGATTAAATTTCAAAACCAAGCAAAACCACGAATTCTCAAATAGTACTTAGAAATCGTTAAACAAACTAATAATACAATTTTTTTGGAAAAGATTTAAAAACCAAATTGACCTAATAACCAAAGATGTTGATTGGATTTTCAAATCATTTAAAATGCACACACTAGTATATAAACTGTTTTATAGTTCCAAACCCAAGCTAAACCGGTTAGGCTAGGTCAATGTTTCAGAAACCAAGCTAAACTGGCTAGGCTTTATAAAATACTTACAAGTGGACAATAGTGAACAACTTTGACTCTCTCCAGGTCAATGAGTCCCGGATGGCGCCAAAGCACAGACAGAATCAGGTTGTAAACCGGAGGGACCGGCTTAAACAGTTTCTCAAAAAACATGTTTAGAAAATCCTGCCACAGTCCAACATTTATGTATAAGAAAACCATGCATCAAAAACGATTTGAAATATTATATTGAAACTGAAACCCCAAATAAATAAATCCACTGATGTATGTAAAATGTATATGACTCACTTGCTCGGAAAATGGTGAAGGCGGTGTGACCTTGAGGGTCTCAAGGAGACTCTCAAGTGTCAACGAGCTAGGCTCAAACACAAACATACCCCCGTTGAAGTAAGGAGGTGGAGGAGAAGATTGTATCTCGTTCGGCCACGTGACTCTCTCTGGACAATATTGACAATACCCGATCGAAAAGAGCGGCGAGAAACTCCATGATGTCTCGCAGAAACAACTCAACACCCCATGGACATAACCGTCTTCCAGATCGAAGAGGTCATCAATATTTTCATAGACTTGAATATCAGCATCCAAGAAAACCATTTTGCTGTACTCCTCAAACTGCAAGATTATAAGTATAAACACATTAGATAATTATGAATTTTTGTTTACTTACAGATATTAAAATCTTTTACATTTTACATTTTAGAAGCAAACACAAGACTATATTTTTTTTTTTGTTGAAACAAAACGTAATTTTATAAGTGTCAAAAATAATTGAAAAAGAAAAATGCTTACACTCCAAACTCGGAATTTTGAATAAGTGATTATGTAATAAGCTCTTGCGTATACATCTTGGCCTTCTGGAGGATCAACAGGCTCGATCTCACGCACTATACAGCCTTGAGACCTCAAGAGCTCTCTATGTTCCTCAGGCACATCAGCCAACACAGCAACAACAAGAGGGTAAGCACTCTTAAACTTACGCAAGCCCTTGGCTAATCCCACCACTCCCTTCACGTAGTCTCCACTGCCTGCCAAAAAAGTCACAAAGGCTCTTTCTTTCTGAGGCTTCTCGGATGCATCGATAGAGACCATTTAGATCAAATGAAAAATTTAGGGGTGTGTTTGAGAGAAGATTGTGGTTTACTTTGGTATTTGGCTTATGTGGAAGCTACCACAAACGTTTGATTAAATAGGCGCCGGAAGTGTTAATTCATTGTAATCTCCGTCTATAAATTAATTATGCTAAAGCGGAACATGCATTCCTTGAAGTGTGAAATTAATTGAATACTAAAATCATGATAGAAAATGTTTTCGAAAGTTTATAATAATATGTCAATGTTGGATAAATTGGTCATGGTGGGCTGGTGGCAAATATTTTAGTACACTTGACGAATAATTGGGTTAAGAAACTGTTGCATCAATAATCAGAATCATATTCAATAAAGAAATGGATAATAAAAAAAATCTGTTTTTACGACGTATTTAAAACATAAAGCATAAAGCAATTTTTTGTTTTTTAACTTAAGATCGATAATTATCAAAACGTGATTTATAGTATTGTCGGTATGAATAAACAACACCTGGAAAAGGTATTTCTCTATAAATTTTTATAGTGGTGCGCCCGTCAAATGAAGATTATTAAACCTATGGATCGAGAGAAGGTGTGAAAACTCGCAAATAATATCGTTATAAATAAGTATTGAAATCAAATCCAAATGAATCCAGTCTTGCAAACTTTTTGATTAGAATTATAGTTTATTTATGAATGTTGGGAGAAGGTTGCTCAATGTTTAAAGCGTTGACAGCTTATTACGTGATGGTTTTTATTTATTTTTTAATTTGTATTAGCACATGTTGTAGATCTAAATTCGTAAAGATGGCAGAAAATTCCAAAATTGCGTTATTGTTCCACTCAACGGTGAAAGATTTGTTGAAACAAAGGGAATTTAACGAAGATGATAAAATACCTTCTGAGTTTTCATTTCATTAATTCTTAAAATTTTCTTGCAACGTAGCCATGTTACTTGGTTACAAGTCCAGCTTGCTCACTTAGCCCCTATTGTCTAGTCCTTAATTATAACTCTAGTCTCTAGGCAAGTACTAATTATTTATCCAAATTATTCTTAAATGCATGTCTAGTTGTACATGTTGTTGCATGCAGCTCAAGGCATTGACTTCTTAGAAGATAAACGTTTTTGTTATAATCAAGACGTACATGATAGATATAAAAAAGAATTAAACACACATGATATATACGTGCAGAACATTCCACATTGATCAGTAGTATATAATTTTACCAGCTGTCGTTGCCAATCGGTCGTCTAATTCATTCATACACCAAAAAAGCATCTCCATAATACATACTTTAATTATTCATAGCTCAATATCTCTTTGCCCAAAATACATAGTTAAGAAGATTAAGAGTATTAAGAACAAATAGAAGCACATAAAACAACTCAAGTCCAGCTTTGTTAAGATCTTCCCCTCCCAACCATTGATGTCCAAGCCTTCCTGTGATGGCATTTGTGACCTCCACAAGAAGTGAGCTAAGGTAGAAACCCATTGCTATAGAGCACCACCCCAATGCTACACTCATGCTCTTCATGCTCGTTGGAGCTTCTTTATAGAAAAACTCTTGCAACCCTCCCAACGTAACTATATCCGCAAAACTCAGCATGACGTATTGAAAAAGTAGCCAGAAAATAGAGATTCTGAAATCATTGTGAACCGCCTCGTGTTTCCTCATGGCCTCCACAATGGCTGCAACCGCCATCGAAACAGATGAGAGAATCAAGCCGAGGCCAATGCGTTTCAAAGAGAAGCTCGATGTTCTATTGGTGTTTTTGCCAAAGAGTTCGTATAAGGGTATGGAACAGAGAAGGAAGATGATAGAGATCACGTTAAGGGAAGGTACGGGGATCTCGAATGATGAAGAGATTTTTCTATTCATGGTCATGCCTTGTTGTACGGTGAAAGTCAACAATTGTGCCACACAACAGTTCATGACAATTGTGCTTGCAAAGATTGGTAGGAGGCCAAGAAATGTTCTTGTTTCTTCAACTTGTGTTGCTGAGATGTTTTTGTTTAGCAATGCTTTATCCAAACACCTAAAAGAACAAAAAAGTTCACATAAAAATCAAATCTTCAAACTAAATACCCTTTATTGGTATTGTTGATTTTTAGTTAGCAATTTAGAACTAGGGTTTTGGGCCACAAATTCACATAATACTAGAAGACAACAAAACACTTGGTAAAAATCTACTAGGTAAATTTTTAAAAATTGTCTACACACAATTAAAAAAATAGAAATCTATTAAGATTGAATAACAAAAGTAAGACAAACAAATATTAGGAATCTTACTTTAACTTGTTGTGATGAATGTTGTTATCGGTAGATGTAAGACTTTGCATTATCTCTACATCCAACACAGAACCATTTCGATATCTTGCGGCAGAGATAAACACATTTGCAATTCTTGTCAAGGGACTTCCGCTAGGACGTTTCAAACGGTATAATGGTAATCCTGCTGTGAAGATACAAAGCGAAGCCGCTAGAAGCACAGTTGATACAAAGAAAAAATCTTTGATCCAGGCCATAACGGTTACGGCCATGAGCCATCCAAAGCATATAGAGAAGTAGTACCAATTGAAGAACTTTGAGATCAGTCTCTGGTGTCTACTTTCAAATTGATCGCCTCCATGGGCAATCAACGAGGGCCTTGTTCCGCCAGAACCAATAGCTATCGCGTAAAGTCCCGTTAAAAGAACAGCTGATTGAAGAGTCGAAGGTGTTTTGTTTCCCTCAGGTTGTAGACTTGGGATATGAGCTTGTAATGTCAACACAACAAAACCCTAACAAAATGATTAAACTCTAAGTTAAACTAGATTGTTGCAATTTTTTTTCCCCATAAACAAAACTTGATGGATGTTTTTTAATTACCAGGATTTGAATGGAACCAAAAACTATGTAAGTAGTGGAGCGAGTGAGGAAAGAGTCGGCAACAAAACCACCAAAGAGAGTCATCAAATAAGATGTTCCAATATAATTGGTCACCATATTTGCTGCTTCGGCTGATGAGTAATGCATTGATTTCATGAAATATAACACCATGTTGTTTCCAAGAGCTATGGACACCATTATCTCCAATATCTCCACGACTATAAATTTACTCTCACAAAATATATATTTATGACTTATTTAAAATCATTATTTACACAAAAAAAAAAAAAAAAAGTTTTGAGTTTGAAGAAGATTTATTTACCACAAGCAACTGAAGCTGCTCTAACCCCACCATGTTTGCCAGGGATTGTCTCTCTCCCTCTCCAATCTTCAAACCTTTCTTCCATGATCTCATTTTCCATCGTTTTACGTTAAATGGACTTTTGAATGTTTGTTTGATATGTATGTGTAGTTGTTGTAGATGTGTTTTTATAACTGTTCGAACTGTACCTCGTTAAATTGTAAGAAACATTTACACATGTAATATTTATTCAGATGATGACAAATGTCTTAAAACTTTGAAAAGAAAGGAAGTATATACATATATGAACTAAATCTAATAAATTATGAAATAATAAGATATAGATTATTTCTTAAATGTTTGAGATAAAAGATTTAACCCCAAATGTCAAAATATCTTATCTTTTGGATTCGATGTTAATTACATATCACAAAACTCTATGAATATATATACACTTGTGAGGACGACATGTATCTACGTTTTAGATTGATGATGTACTAAATAACAAAAAAATTATATCATTTCAATAGGATGGCAAACCAGAATACGACTACTAAAAGAGATAAATTATACAATAATATTACCAAAAAACACTTGTTTATTATTTTTAAAAAAATATTGTAACATAACCATGATTCTTTACTTTTTAAGTGTTAGTTTGATTTTTCATAAATTTTTTGGATGATTTTTAGACATTATAAAGTCAAACTTAAAAAAGATATTCTTCCACAAATCACAAGAAATATGACCAACAACATCTTTTGAAATTTAGTTTGGGTATTTATGTTTTATTTTAATGTAAATTTATTTATCTTAATTATTTAAAATATAAATGAGACAAATAGGGAATAATCAATTTTAGTTTGTAAAAGGGTTTTTTTTTTTTTGACATCGAAATAACGAATAATCTCTTTGAAGGAATACTTGGAAGCTCATTTAGCACAGATTGGGATGTTCTGGTTGATCTCTTACGGGATTCCAACTATGACCGTCTCAAACTACTCATCTTCAGATACACCTTCTAGGCCACGGTGTACGGTCTCTGGAGGGAACGAAATGGTCGACGGCACGGCCAGAAGGAGATGTCGGCACAAAGGATGGCGGCAATTCTGGACAAAATTATCAGAAATCGACTCAGCTCAATCAGACTTCTTGGAGACTTTAGTTATGATGGTAGCCTAATGTATTGGTTTGCAACAAGAGTATAAGTTGTAAAATAGTAGAAATTTTCCATTTCGAACAATGAAGCACTTGATGTAACACATGTTTTTTGATTGAATACAATTTTACATTCATTCAAAAAAAAAATAACGAATAATCTATCTTCATTCTACTCTTTCTGATGTCATCAGAACTAATCTTTCAATGTCACATACAACCGAACTCCTTTCTCTTTACTTAAATAACAAGCCAAACTTTTCAATTGTGGATTGTGTGATAAATATCTAATTTCTAATTTCTATATCAACGATACTCTGCTCCAAGCCATATTTCTCTGAAACCATAACTTAAACTCTTCAATAGTAGTATCAGATTCAAACGAAATCATCCTACCACATCTCACTTTATCAATAAAAAATTCCCAATTATTGCGAATTGATTAGTTTTTGTAGAAGACGTATTCTAGCTTACTTTACGTAGAAAGCTCTTCTGTCTAATCTAGATTTCCAATCTGCTTCATGTCATATTTATATTCTGAATTACGTAATTTAGAAGATAAATTTAGCAACTATAGAAGACCAATTTATTATATACACTAAACAGGATGACATGAGAGACAGTGTATTTATCTAAATCAATCAAAGGCTTCATAATTATCATTTTTCATTTATTTTATCTAAATTAAAGAAAATATATTTCATTGTATATACTTTAAAAATACTTTTAAAAGTTAGTCTAGATTATAAATTTAAAATGAGAAATACCCATGGCCCAGAAATACTCTTTCACAATATCATTAAATGAATGATGACATTTGCAAAACATGTTACTAATCAATCTTCATATATAAGCAAAAGTTATTTAGTCTGAAAGAATTAGAAAAACAAAATTATTCAATATAAATATTCATCCCATCATAATAGATCATATAGTTCAAATGTTTTAGAGTCCAGTTAGAAATTAAAAAAAAAAAAAAAAATCTGATTGGATACTAAGTCATAAGAATATTATCATTCAATATGTTTTTTTGTCTAACTTTTTAAAATTATTAGTGAGCATTAGTAAGTACTGATGACGACGATGATACTGCTCTAAAATAATTTGTTTAATTACCTTTTATTTTTGTCCTACACCATCCAGAGTTACAGTGAAAGAGAAGATGACTTGAGGATTTCAATTTTTTGGAGAAACGCGGCACAATTCAATTTCGAAAGCCAAAGGACCTGCCATGGAGATCTCAGCTCCAGTTCCAAAGCTTCTTCTACAAGTAAGTCACCGATCATCTTCACCACTTTCTGCTCATAAACACGATCGATCGATCGATCTAAGCTCCGTTTCGATTAGCCATTTTCCTTTTTCCCCTGATAATTTTTTCTGTTCTCCGAATCCGATTTCTGCAGTTGATCTCGTCAGCTTTTCAACGGTGCCGTTTAGCAGAAGATCTCTGTAGATTATCGGTTCTTCTAGATCAATCTACAGACAAGGATCCTCCGATTTCGTTCATTTCGAGTAATATCACCCACTCTCTCTCTCTCTCTCTCTCTCTCTCTCTCTCTCTCTCTCTCTCTTTGGCCTCAAAACTTGTTCCGATTCTGCGTCGCCCTCGACGGAAATTGAATCTGTAATCGCTGAAATTTGTCTCGTTATCTGCCAATTTTACGCTGGGTACAGTTGCGGACACTGGCATTGGATGCAATTTGGAGGAATTTCAGGATTTGAAGTGCCCTAGAGAATCTAATGGAGCGAAGATTTGGGGTTAGTAGAGTATTTGATTATTGAATGTTAACTATCAGATTCCAGTATGAAATCAGTTTTTCTGGAAAATTTCGAGCTGAATCTGTAATATTGTGATGCAGATGGGTTACTCTCCGTCAAGACGACTTGTAAGTTTCGTCTCTCTGAATGATTCCTTTTTGCTTATGGATGGTTTCAAATGCTTGAATTTCTCCTGGGTTTGCCTTCAATGGAGTAACATATATTGATTGTTCTGTGACTGAATTTGGAATTGACCGAAGCTATAGTGAATTTTGAGTCATATAAAGGACCACTGTGGAAATTGTTATCGTTATTCTCTTACTCTCCTCCACTGTGCTGATGGAGTTGCAGGCTTTACGGATGATGAGGTCTACTATTATCACATCAATCTTGATGAGAATGTATCAAACAAGAGAGTGAAAAGACAACCTTCTCAGGCTAAGAATGGTGCAAAGTTTAGGTGTGCAAATTCCTCAAATCTGTATCTTTTTTTTACTGAATCTGTGAGTGCCTTGGCTTGTTTATATACTTGGTTTGCGTTGTGTGTAGTGGAACGGAAGTATCCCTGAGTGTTGTTGGAAGTAGAGACGTTCTCATGGCACCCATAATTGGCTTCTTTCAAAAGGTCTTCCCTTCTCTTCCACATCCTTGTTTCTCTTTGTCAAGTATGCTTAGTGGTAGTAAGTGTTCTGAATATGAAATAATGTGACCATATATACAACATTACAACTGCCAGTAACGGTTGTAGAACTAAGATAAAGAGTAAACATATCCCATCTCTAAGGGAGGAAGAACGGTTCTGAATTCCAATGGCGGTATATGTTTGAAGTCTTTGAAAGTCACGCTACTGCTTTAGTTAGGTCAAGCAACGACTCTGTGGCATGAATTACTGAAGCTTGTTTAGTGGTTAAATAAAGCTTTGAGAAGAGTAAACATATCACTTGAGTGTAGTCAGTTTGTTCAAGTTTAGTTCGCTCATGATTGCTTAAGTTATTCAGTAATAATATTTCTTACCTTGTTATCTTGCAGATGCTTGTTCTCCAGATACCTGTAAGTTCATGTTTCTCCTCCTTTTGGTGATTTGACAACTTTCTTTAGACAATCTAATAACATGACTCGCAAATCATAGTAACTAAAAAGCTGAATCTTTGCTTCCTCCTCAGAATGTCACAATGGATCTAGTGGTTAACCAAACTCAATACATCTTCGTAGTGAACGCTGACAAAACTCCTTGCTTCACCGCCTCCAATCTAGAACGGTTGAAGTCTGGTCTTGAGGACTATGTAATAAAGCATGGGAACTGTTTGGATACGATGTGTGACCATTGCTTCTCCGATAGGTATATATAGTACGTAACACACCATTCTACTTCTACTGCTGGAAGAAATGTATACTCATACCATGTTAAGTCTAACAAACAATTTTCAGAGAGTATCTAAAAGTTGGAAGTGGAACAGCTTGCTCTGAAGAGAATCGCAAGAGAAGTGGAGGGACAATGGACGTAGTGATTGCAATTAGTGACTTACTAGAGACAACTCGAGATTGCAGCAAATCATGTGACGGCAAAACAGAGGTCTATTCAGTTTTTTTCTCAAATTTCATACATGTAATTCATATTTGATTGATCTTCTTAAAATTAATGCAACTTTCCTCAGGTTTTGTACTTTGACAATTTCTCACCTTCACCTATTCCACATATTGCCTTGACCGCATTGAGAAAGATCGACTGGAAAAGTTACGGTTTGATTCTAGCGAGTGTGAATGATCAAGACGGACATGTGTTTCTCGAATGGGAGAATTTCCCTTCATATGTTCAAATCCAAATCTCCCTCCATTGGTATCACAATCAATCTCCAACGAGACACAAGACTGATCAGCCTGGTATCAATCTCGTCAAGAAGGGAATTAAAAACGCTTTGGATGATCTAAAGGCTAAACATGAAGGCTTTCTTCTAAGCTCACATGCTCGTAAGGTACATACACTCTCTCAATCAATCTCCTTTAAACTGTTACTGTCAAATCTCTTGATTCTTGTTTTATCTTTTTTCAGATTTGCAGCTATGTCCCTGATCTTGCAAGATCATTAGCAGGACTAATCTTCTCTTCGACTGACATGGACTTCCAAGGAGATTGCTTCTCTGTTCTTGGCTTTACCCCACAAGAAGCTCAACGTGAGGCTGTTGAAGAATATATCCAGAGAAAGATCGTTACGGTTATTGGAATGAATGAGAGGAAGCCTCAGAGAGACCAAGAACCTGCTCCGTTCTTGTTTTTCGACGGCGGATCTGAGACATCTTTCTTTGAAGATCAAGAACTAGAAGGTGAGTATTACTCCAACTCCTTGGAATTATGATAAATCTCTTATATCAACTTGTTATGTGTTCTTGAGGTAGATAACACATTTATTTACATATTGTTTTGGATCAAGAAACATTTGGTAAATATAGTTAAATACAAAATACAGAAAACTTTTATTTATTTAGTAGTTAAAACAACACCTTACACACTTTTAAGCATATACTAGAGCAGATAAGAACTGTGATGTCAAAACTCACCACCAAGGTTTCTATTTTCCGCTTATACTAATTTCAAACTATGTATACATATTATACATATAGAAATATCAAAAGAAAATATATATATAAAGAGGAACACAACGAAGTCTCTTGATGCACAAAGACGTTCTCAAGCAGCAGAAGGTGCGGGGAAGAAGGTAAGTTCCGGTTCGGGTACGGAAGCAAGGATGCTCGATTTCGTAACGGTTTCGGTTTTCGGTTTGATGAAATCGAGAGATTCATCGTTATAAACATCCCACCATTTACTAACCAACATCTTGATGTCTTCTCTGTCCATGTTAGCTTCTTCTCCTGTGTACCTCCATGGCTTTGATCCCTATATTAATTCCACCATCAAACAGTTAAAAAAATACAAAAATCAAATTACAGCAACAAGTTAAAAACAAAACCGGATCGGGTTTAAATACTTACAGCTGCACAGTAGTGAACAACCTTGACTTTATCAAGATCAACGTTCTCAGGGTGACGCCAAAGCATAGCAAGAACAAGATTGTAATCCAGAGGAATTGGTTTGTACACTTTCTCAAAGAACATATTGAGAAAATCCTACCAATATCAAAGTTTCAAACAAATTAATATCAAGATCTTGATTCTTATTTGGAAATTTGCAAGAAAACCAATGAAACTAAATGTAAACTCACTTGTTCAGCAAATGGTGAAGGCGGTGTGATCTTGAGGGTGTGAAGGAGGCTCTCGTAAGTCAAAGGGCTAGGCTCAAAGACGAACATACCGGCGTTGAAATACAGAGGAGGAGGAGGAGACTCCATATCTTCCGGCCAGGTGACCTTCTCGGGACACTGTTGACAATACCCAATCGAATACTGAAGCGAGTGGTTCCATGTTTTCTCACAGAAACAATCCATCACGGCATGGAATTTGCCATCAGGCAAATCGAAAAGGTGGTCGATATTGTCAAAGACTTGAATATCTGCGTCCAAGTAAATCATCTTGCTGTATTCTTCAAACTGCAAGAAGATCCAAATGTTAAATAAATAAATAAAAAAACACAAAACAATTTTTAACCATAACCATTCATTTGTAGTTAAAGAATCAAGAAATCAAGATTCAAAGGTAAAGAACTTAAACCATAACCATTAATATGTGAAGAATCAAGAATCAAAGTTACTTACATTCCAAATACGAAGCTTTGAGTAGTTGAGAACGTAATACGCCATGGCAAACTCAACTTGGTTGTCTGGAGGATAAACAGGCTCGATCTCACGCACTACACAGCCTTGAGACCTCAAGATGTCTCTATGTTCCTCAGGAACATCAGGCAACATAGCAACAACAAGAGGGTAAGCACTTTTCACCTTACGCAAACCCTTTGCTAATCCCACCACTCCCTTCACGTAGTCTCCATTGCCTGCCAAAAACGTCACATAAGCTCTCTTTGAAGGTGCTTGATGGGACTTTTCGGATACATAGATCGTGTTTACGGCAATTTCAGGAGCCATTTTGAGCAAAGAAAAAGTGTATGTGTGGGTTTTAAGAGAGAAGTGAGAAGTTTTCTTAAGAGTGTTTGAGAAGTAAAAGGAAATATTAGTTTGGTTATTGGTTTGTAACTTTGGCCTTTGGCTTGTGAGTAGTTCTTTGAAGGCTACCACTACGTTTCATTAAATAGACGAAGAACGAAGGGTAAATCCGGAACAATAAACTATGAATTGCATTTTCTATAATTTTTATTAATTTCACTTTCATTTTATTTTCTGATACGTATTTGTTTTTTGTTTTTTTTCTTTTATGTCGTGGGGTGATGTGTGCATGTTACATGTAACTAGGAAAATGAAAGGTGAAGATATAGTTAAAGAAAAATTCAGAAGAAATTTTGAATAAGTAAATGTTAAAACTAGACGGTTAAATTGAATAGTCTAAATAATGTAAATCGTTTTCGTAGAAATAAAAAAATATTTTAATGAAAAGGAAGATTCAAAAGGGAGTAGTAATAAAATAAGATTGGAAGAAGACCATGAATTCATCGTGGAAGGTCGTTAAAGCCTCCAAGTAAGTGGCATGTGTGTGTGTGTGTGTGTGTCATTAAGGCAGTGTATTTTTTCTTCTAATAATCTTTTGAACGTATTCAAGTACAAACAAAATCATTTGCTAATTTCTCAGGATATTTAGATAGTCTGTAAATATACAAATACTGTCTTAAGTTTGATTTGCAACAATTTTTCGAGTTGTGAAGTGTGAACTTGTAAACATAACTATTTTCGTGCATTAAATTAATAAGAGGCTATTTATAGTTAAAAGACATTGTACACTGTTAGATCAAAAACAAACATAAGCGTCGGTGTTTGGAAGTCTTTGTCAGGTGACCTTTTGTCTTTTTATGAACAAATGAAAACAATGTGACGAAATTTCCACAACTATAATGCTATTTACTAAATGCTCCTTTCGAATTGGTACGTCTTATTAGACTATTATTCTTTGACGTCGGTCGGCTCTACCATTTGTAATTTTATAATGATAAGTTTATGGACGTCTGTCACATATTTTTGTTTTAGATCTGATATCATATAGTTTAATGGTATAGGAAACAAAATATTAAAAGAAGAAGTCAGAAATTTTATATAGTATAAACTTCTATATATTATTGCGGAAATTTTTTGGTGCGAATCTAATCGTTGGATGGAAATATCTCCAGCAAACGAGAAAAACCTTGTAAAAGTAAAAGAATGTTGAATTTTTCTTTTTCTTTTTGAATTCTCTGACATTCAGGTTAGTAGATCAAAATCGAAATACATCATTATAGAAAAATAGCTTTTGTGAATCTGAATTTAAAGGGAAAAGATCCACGAGATACCAGATCATTTTCTAGGCTATTTTTATGTGAAATATGAAAAAAAAAAAACTGTGTTCTTTCAAGAAAAATTCGTATGAGAGAAAAAAAAATCAAATCGAAAAAACAATATCTAGAAAAAAATGTATTTCGGACTCTTTTCCATAAAACAAAGGTAGTTTTTATAGCAAACACATGCCATAGACTAATTTTTTCAGGTCACGTATGAATTAAGATCATTTCAATATACATTATAAAGAGGTTACACTTAGAGTGTGACTGTTGAGATGAAGACATATTTAGATTTAGTTTTATCTACAATATATATTCTAGCATATCTCTATGTGAATATTTATATGAATATGCTACAATATATTATAGCATATCAGTTTTATCTACAATAGAATATTTATATGAATATGTAGATTTTAATGATATGCTAGAATATATATATTGTAGGTAAAACTGAATGTAAATATGTCATTATCTCAATAGTGAGAGTATCCATATTCTTAGGAGTACTTTTGGAATTCTAAGAATGGCAACAAACTACATACATTTACGGATTTACCTTGCCCAAAACTTTATCAGACATATCGGATAACTTGCAAAAGGAGATAAGTTGTCTCATGGTCATGGCCTTTGAACGACTCGGCCACAAGTGTTTCTCATAGTAATAAAGAATCAGAATTCTAGGTGACTTTATCCATCTAATATATCCAAACCTTTGTAATCGAACTCATGTTCAACAGCTGGTCCAAGGGATCGAAAACTAAGCTAAGCAAATGACGCTAGGAAATCTTTTTCTAATTTAATATACATGTGGCGTTGAATGTTTCAGTTAAACCTTATGACTGATATGTAATCCAACTATATGTGCAACCTTGTTATAATATCATGGACGCCAAATCAACAGAAAATACAAATGTTTGGCTTACGTTTATCGTCTCACGCTTTAATTTATTTATTTTCTTTTTATCATACATGTGTCTTTTTAATTTTACGTAGTAGTTGTTACTTTTATAGTAGATATTTTCCTATAGTAATAGAATTCATGGTCTATTGTAATTTTTTCATTGTTAATAAAAGTTTTAATCATAGATAATAGAAAACCCTAATATATCGATCTACATGAACAATATATATACTCGAATTGCTAATAAGTAGTATAATTTACTAGATGGGTTTGAAATATCCTACTGTCTCAAAATTACTTATTTTGGTTTGGCAGAGAGTACAATTTAAACCTTTAAACAAATGACAAGGTAGTTGTTAGATTTTTTTTTTTTAAAAAGTTGATTAGATATTTTTCAAAAATGAATACATGCTAAGAAGTTATTCTCTCTGCACAAATATGAATTGTTATTGTCCAAAAAAAATCATTGTATTCATTGTTGGACAACAACAATGATCTAAGAAATAAGAATGACCACAATGTTTCCTCTTAGCCATGTTTGTCTTCCTCTTAGACATGTGCTCTTTACGTCGGGGACAACTTTGCACAAAAAAAGGTTAGCAAATTGATTTTAGGTTATTTGATTTTTACATGTGTCTTCTGTATGAACAGTTGACCACCATGCAACGTCTCTTTAAACAGAACTGTCACCGGCTCCATAACTATTTTCTCATATCGTTCAATGATTTTGTAAAATTTAATGACGAAAACGCTCAAAAGTACTTCATTAATGTCTACAAATCATTTCTAAATCATGATTTTGAAAAAAATATATATATAGATGACTTTAAACATTATTTTATTTTATGAGGGGGGCTTGTCTAACAACCGTTTTTCATGTTCTTGTTTGTTTACATTAATTATAAGTCTATACGAGACCATCCAAGACTAATAGCACTAGTTGTACATCAGGTTTTGGCTTAGATCATGTATATATATATATGTCTTATTTGAGTTGTTGATTCTCTAGATATCTCTATTTCGTGGTCTCTTTTTTTGTTACCATAAATTTATTCCCTTTTGTTCTTGCAAGCTTTAATTAGTAGTAAAATTTCAGATATAACCTGACCATCCAAAAACGATTTAAAATCGGTGGTTGTAAACATCAAAGACCATTACAGTTCCAACAAGAAAAAAATACTTACGTTTCGTTTTATTCAAGAAATGGTATCATTACGTTCGTTCCATTGCCAATAAGAGAGGTTCCAACAAATTCGTCTCATTCAGCGATGATATCATTACGTTCTGCTGCCATTGTCTCCAATTCTAGCTTCACATGAGTTTCTTTATCTTATTTGTTTCCTCTATCGTTTTCATCTTTACTTCATCTGTAATCTTTGTAATTGATGTCCCACTCGGGAAAGATGAAAAAAAAAAGAGTATACCATTCAGAAAGAAAAAAATATAAAGAAAAAAAATACTTTGTTTTCGTGTATATTAAAGCTTCGAGAACATCAACACATTTATATATTTTAAACTAGTGCCTAATTTCGGTCATGACATATATACTATGGGAGTTATATAATGGAGAAAATCTCTTTCATATGGTAAAAATATTGAAACTTATTTTTCTACCCATCTACATCCTTTAATTAAAAATATTATAAACGGAAAATAAATAATAATTTAGACCCTACACCTTGGCATCACATATTCCACGCGTTTCTGGTCTATTTGATATGGCCACTTACATTTCTATTAATTGGAGCATAATAATATATATCAGGCGCCTTTAGAAAGAGCGAGGTAGCCACTTTCACGTAACTGAAGTAACCAAATTATCTAGATTTACAGTTCAAACATACCAATCAATCAGATATGTCATCTCTAGACTCTAGCTAGTTCCATTGATCTATCAAGTACTTGAACTTTCTCTTGGTCTTCTTCTTATCTTATAAGTGTGTTTAATTTTAACCAAGTATGTCTTGAATTAGTTGCGTTTTTTTAGGGCCTCTAGTTCCATTCATGTTTTGAGAGGGACGTCAAGTCTTTTGAGATGGATCATATAAACGACTCCTGGCCAAAAGAGATTACGTGCTTAAAAGGATACTGAAATTTCCTCATAACAAAAAAATAGTGTGGTTTACGTTAAACCATATAAAATGTTTTTAGAAAAATCATAATTAATTGTTTGGTCGGAGTACTATCACTAGTAAACATTTCTCTTGAAACATTTTATTCCATTAACTAATACACGTCTAGGTCAAAAGAACGTGTTTATTGGTTTACTGTCCAACGAACATTTGGAACTTGTATAGTGGAGTGTATGGATTAAAGAGACGTGGTAATATTATAATCATATCCCTTAAAACGTCCCCAAAGCTAACCACCGCAAATAAAAGTATCAATAATAAACAAAAAAGCATCAATGGAAAAAATCTTCACACACATGCATGCGCGTGAGTTACGTCCACTAATTTTTCGTTCCACGTTTTTCTCAACGAAAAAAACAATCTTCTAATTTGTCTATCAGTCTTTGTATGCACTGATACATGTAGACGTGAATTATCGGTGTCTTGTCCAACATTTTATGTGGCCGTATGAGGAGTCGGGACAAAGGCAGATCGTGGGACCTTTTACTAGTACACTGTACAGTACAGAAATTAAATTTCCTTTTGGACCTTTTCTTTGATATTTTTTTTCTCAACTTAGATATATATGGACCCTAGCTAAGCATTAATTACTCGATTTCTCGTTTGGACCGGACCTAAGTCCACTCCTTTTGGTATCACCACAACAATGTTGGTAGGACACGTTTTTATTGGTAAAACGAGAATTAGTTATGTAGGAATCGTGAGTCCATCTTCTTTATTTAAACCCATGAATAGCAAAGAGAAATTTGCAAAGATACTGTTCCTCTCTTGCTCTAGATTGAGACCACCAATCAGTGACAAAATTATAATTACGACTACCCTAATCGTCCCATTATTTTCTTTGCACTAAACAAACACTCACGTAATTTAGAACCCAAATGGCTCTCTAATAAATTTAAACTGGATCTGGCCATTTGGGCCTGTGATAATTCGACACCATTCAAAAATTCCGAGACCATTCGACTAAAAGAAAAACAGAACAATTTTACTTACGGAAAGAGCCAAACCAATCCAAGAGAATAAGCTCATCAAAGTTGTCTATTATATCTATAGTTAACAAAGAAAAAGTAAGTAGCTTAATATCACAATCCCAAAAACAAATCCTTTTTTAACTGGCAACAGATAAATAACTCCATAATCACCAAAAAAAAAATCAAAACAAAAACAGAGTAAGGTTTTTTTTAACAAGGAACAAAGATAATTGCCTTCTCTCGGAATCCACATGTTTCGTCTCACAGACACTCAAGCCTGCAAGCAAAAGTAAAACAATATCAAATGCCCACAAAAATCAAAGCAAACTTTGGTTATTTCACAAACTTTCCCTGTAAAACATAATCTATAGTGTGAATATGAGAGAGGCTTACTTTGTTAGCAATGTTGTTGGAGAGCCAGTCCAGACCTTCGTAGAGTCCCTCGCCGGTGGTGGCGCATGTGCTCTGGATGTACCTGAAAGAAGAACAATCCAACAATGTTGGTCAGAGAGCTCAGAGGAAATAACAATGCAAAAGGCAACAAAGACCATCTTTGATACTCACCAGTGACGCTGCCTGAGAGAGTGGAGTCCAAGCTTATCAGTTATCTCAGCAGCATTCATTGCGTTAGGAAGATCCTGTTTGTTAGCAAACACAAGCAGTACCGCGTCACGAAGCTCATCCTGCAAATACAAGCATTCATAGGTCAAAGTCAAGTCATAGGAGCCTCATACTAAATCGAAGCAAATGGGTTTTAATTATAAGGGAGGAACTAAGTGCATAGTAGTAAAGCTATATACCTCGTTTAACATCCTGTGAAGTTCGTCTCTTGCTTCAACGACTCGATCTCTGTCATTGCTATCCACAACAAAGATCAGACCTTGAGTGTTCTGGAAGTAGTGCCTCCACAATGGACGAATCTGTAAAGAGAAGACAAAGTGAACACACGTTTCCTCTTTCCTCTTTCATGGAGATTCACAGAAAGTAACAGAGATAATAGAAACCTTGTCTTGACCCCCGACATCCCACACGGTGAAACTGATGTTCTTGTATTCAACAGTCTCCACATTAAACCCTGTAAAGAAAATAATAAAATCATTCCTCAAGTCTCACTGTCTAACAATGTTGATTTAGTTCTAATCACGCTTCCAAAATACTGTTTGTATCCAAATTATTTAGCATTGTGTACTCTATGTCACCATCTCATCTAATGTCACGTTATTGTAAGACATTCTGGTAATTATCTAGATGTCAATTCATATATCCAACAAATTCAGAAACTCCATAAGCAACATGGCCTGTAACTAGAACAGCTAAGAGAAGAACAACAATAGTTTTGAGTAGAGAATAGCAATATCCAAGCAGAGATTAACTCAAAAGGAAACGTCTAAACTTGCAACAATCATAAGCAATGCAGCAACTGATGATCAGGATGAAGAAATGAAATGAAATCATTGATGTTTTGAAAGACTCACCGATGGTAGGGATGGTGGTGACAATCTCACCGAGCTTGAGCTTGTACAAAATGGTGGTCTTACCAGCAGCATCGAGACCAACCATAAGGATACGCATCTCCTTCTTGGCAAAGAGCCTGCTGAAAAGCTTTGCAAATGAAAGCCCCATTTTCCTCTTCAGCTAATGATCCTGCAAATACGCAAAGAAGGAAAGATCATTTCACCACAAAACATTTGACTCAAGATCATGCTCTTATTCCTCATTTCTTGCATGCAAACTATACAAAATCAAATATCTACAGAGATCAAAATCAACCAGAATACGAGCTATCTAACATTAATACCCACACAATCTACTGCTAATTTCAAAATTCTACACCCAAGCTACACATTGCATAATCTGATTTCATGATCCTTCGATCCACAGACTTGAGATTCCAATCACAGAAAATGTCAGGAAACAACTCCGAAGTGTAAAACCAAAATGATCGATCACGATTTCACATATTTAACGATGAATCTTAACACAATATAAGGAAATAAGGCTCCGATTTTCAAACTAAGAAGTGAAAATAGAAAGAAAAAAATAAGGAGAAAGACTATGAAGAACCAGATAACCACAGATTCGAATAAAAATCAGATCAAGAGCTTCAAATCACGGATTTGAATAGAGAAAACTTGAAAACAACGACGAACTATAGCAGATTAGCAGTGAAGGCGAAATTCAACCAGAAACGGAGTACGATCTCTGAAGAACAAGGATCCGCGAGCTGAGAAAATCAATCCGAGCAAACGAGATCCGACGTATTCGGAACAACAAATCCGAGACTCGGAATCAAATCAAATGATCAACGAAATCTCAAACGCATGAAACATCAGATTCCAGAAATTCATAAGAAGCGAAAAAAAAAATGATCAGAGAGGTTTGGAGCTTACCTTTTGAACTTGACGCCAATGGATCTGAACGAGAGAGAGAAGAAAAGAAAAGAAACTTTAAATTAACGCGAGAGTCGAGACCTGACGAGGTTCTCAAATATAATCACTGAAAATAAAATATTTCACTGATACCCCTCCTACCATTGTAATGTTTACAATTTAACCCAGAAAAAAGAAGATAATTCTATAAATACCTATCATATTTGGGTTCAATGACATTTTTTCTGAGTATCCCCAAGGATATAATGTTATTTTTTTAAAATCAAGGAACAAAAATTCGAAAAGTTCCAGTAATGCTGGAGCATTTTATAATTTTTGTTTTATTTCTTAAAATACACGCTTAAAGAAATAATTTATTAAGAATCCACCTGAAAATGAATTAACATGGCAACAACACAAGCGAACATTCCCATTCCGTTCACAAGAGTAAAAATAATGGAGGATTTATTTACAAGCAAGCTGGCTTTAGCAAAAGGACCATAACAATAAATAATAAGGAATGAAGATAAAACGCAGCGTTTTAGAATGTGTCCATATAATTATAGTTTCAAGGTTAACGAGATTTATTTACAGCACTTCGCTCAACATATGAATCATTCCTAATCCTAAGTTATTGAGATTCAAGAGAAGAGAAGGGCATCACCACCATATTGATTGTTTCCCTTTTGCAGATTTTTCAATTGCTAAAACAAGTACGGAACTATTTCCAAAGTTTGGCCAAATTAACTGCAGCTATAAAATTGTTTCACGTCTTAAATCCAACTAAGCAACATAGAATTCATTTCAAAAATGCAACACATTTCAAAATTACGGACTAAATACCACATTTTAAAGAACAAAAAAAGCACAAAAATCCAAAATCCAAAATTCAAAAAAGAAAAGCCGTTTAAGGAAAAAGAAAAACCGACCAGAGAACGCGACCCGACCCGAATTAACCAAAGCTAAACCAACATAAAAACAAACCATTCAATAACCCGACCCGACGACCCGATTTCACCAAAGCTGCGCGATTCGCTTCAACGATCTCCATACCCAGAAGTCTGATCAACAATGGCGGCAACAGCGTCCTTGGACTCCTTCAGAAGCTTAATACTGTTCTTCAGCTTCTCCCTCTTGCTCGCCACCGACGGCGACTCCTCCATCATCCTCTCAACTCCTCCGCCGCCCCTCGGATCCACCATCTCCGCCACCACCTCCTTCTGAAACTGACTATTCACCAGATACTTCACAGAGAGCTGAAGATACAACGCGAGGCTGTCCACGATCCTCCTCAGAACAATCGCCCAGTAAGACGAGATCCTCATCTTCATATCAAACGCTTGCTGCAGCAAATGCGCATGATACTTTCTCAGATGCGAAATCTTCACATTCCCGAATCCAGCCATAGCGAAAAACTCAGGTCTCCTCGCATCATTCAACACAGCATCGATTTGAAAATTTGTTAACGAGTTTAAGATTTTTGTTCTTGTTTATTGTTGTTAAACTGTAACAAGATTGGGTTGATGAAATTATTTAGTCTTTCTTGGTGATTTATATAGTACAAATAGTTTGTCTATTTCAAGAGTTTTGCTTTATTGGTTGGTACTCTTTTGGTAAACAGTTTGTCATTTTCTCGTGTTTTAGACAATCTAGATGTGAAAAAGTAGTTTTTGTATGCAAAACTGTATATGGTCACCTAGTTTAGTCCTAACATAGACAACCTTTATTTTTGACTATTATCAATGCCATATTGCATAACCGCCTCTGGTTAATAAAAAGTTATCTGGAAATAAAATATCATGTTTCCTTGGCACTCAAAAGGGGACCATTCCAGTTAGACGTTATGTAGATCTTCTTGCATAGCACTATGTTCTATCAAACGTCCATTTGTACAATCCTCCTATTCTTCCAACGATGCTACGTTCAACACAAGGACCCATTTAGACCATGAATATCCTTTTATGAACCTTCTACTGTATAAACCTTGAACCTGTTATTATGCAATACTCGACGTGTTTCACACTTCAACCGATCATCTTAAAAATTAAACCACCAATTGTTGATCTCTGCTCGCATGTCTGAACCAATTTCAGTTACATATATCCATTTGTACTTAGATCTCTAGGACTTCAAAGTCTTTCTCTTCTCTAAATGATGTGATTCATGAAAAGGTATGAAAAGGCATTCGTTGTCACTTGCATGTAAAGGTGTGTTTCGTTCCATCACCACTCTCTTCTCTAAAGGATGTGATTTTGGACAGCAGCAAAGACAATGAAGAAGAAGCATGGCACAACCTAACTGGATCAAAAGAAAAGTGGCGTCTTCAGCATTCAAACATGGCACTAATGGCCTGATTTGTGAAGTTTTAGAGATGGTGAGCACTCAACAAATCCATTTATGATATTAACTATCAAGCCCAACCCATTTTGAGCCTATTATAAGTCCACAAAGAGCCCAAAATAATGACTTAATTTTCTGGTCAAGAGAAGTGACGAAAATGAAGATCAAATTTCACTTTTGAAGATCAAGAGTGTGGATCACATTTGGTGAATATGGTGAAAAAGAATGTCCACTATTAACAACGGTTTAATGTCGGTAAAACGAAGACGGTCAATAAATATTATTGCTTCAAGAACTTAATCATCTACATACATAACTTCTTTGATTGTGTTCAATTCCACGTCACTTGCTTCCTGAAATAAATTAGATTTCTTGGTACGTAAGTTTGAATTATGAAAACACATTCTCATAGTGCAATAAATTGATAAACAAATAACAAGTTGTATACGACCCAGCAATCATTAAAGTAAAACCAAAAATATCAAGTACCGCCCTCGCATACTTCACAACAAGAGTCAAGCGTTCTTCATTTGAATTTGTTATTCAATTTTGGACTTAGATGATGTCATCTGTCCCGAAATATCATTTTGTTCTTCCATAGTCGCAACAAAATGGTCGAGCGTGGAATCTACTGGATTACAAAATGGTTATTTGGACAATCTTCTATTGAACTTTGTTAGAACCTAAGCTGTATAGAATCGGAAGTGGGTACGCGAAAGCGGAAGCGTTAGAAAGCGTAGAAGCGAGTTTTTTCAAAATATTAGGAAGCGGTACGTGTAGGAAGCGTTTAATATATATATATATATATATATCATAAAATACTTATATAAAACCCATATTATATTAAAATGTTTTTGAGAAAAAAAAATTCAATACAACAACTTATTTGAAAATAACATATCGTTTACAAAACAACAAATAACGGCATAAATTTTAAAATACTTTTATCCTTCCCACGATTTGGGAATAAACCAGAGTCTTCTTTCTCCCGTGACTTTTCAACTTATAAATTTCTGCAACTCTCATAATCTCTTTTGTTGAGTTATTAGTTTAGGTTAATTCGGTTTTTAACTTTTAACAAAATAGGCTAAGTGATGGGTTGGATCACAAAACAATTTCTAAACCCAAAAATAGTTGTTGACTTGTTCAAGAAGTAAAACATGATTCATCACTCCATCATTGTCCACGCTTCCGATCAACGCCATCACGCTTCCACTTCGGAATCATGTGCTTCCGTTGCGCTTCCAGCCAGCTCATTGTTGGAGTCCGCTTCCGGACGATTCCGAGCACTTCCGCTTCCGTTTCCGCAAGAAACATCTCACATGCAGCGCTTCCATTTGTTTTGTGTTTCTAAATCATCTGTATAACTCGACTTATCTACTTTCATAGCTCGAGTTCTGCAATTCTAAATTCAGACGGCTGGTATTTTTTCACTCTATTCATTTTTAACTCTCTGTTTCGTAGATCATAACATATATCCTTCGATTTCTATCATAAAAATCCAAAAAGACAAAAGTGTTTTCATAAATTCGATTTTAAATCCGTCTACACCCACGGCTTTGGAGCGTCGAACACCTGAAAATTCAACCAATAAAAAAAATAAAATTCAAACCAATAAACATTAAACTTTTCTATTTACTATTATGCCATATATCTCACAAAAGAAAAAGAAAAACTTTAATCGTAATTCTTTATTTTTGTTTTAGCATTTTTGTCCCTCGTGATAGGTTTGATGCGATTCTTCTTCTCTCATAAAAGACTTCACGTTCCCACACCTCCACACAGACACATTTTGACTCATATAGACTCTCTCTCTCTCTCTCTCTCTCTCCAATTACTCTCTCTCTCTCTCTCCGTCACTCCATCTCTCCTGGTTGCTCCCACCCGAACTAAAATGGGTTCTTGCCCGAAAACCGCTTCTGGTCAGCAAACCCTATTCATCTTGTAACCAGACAAAAGTAGAAACGAGTACAAAGATTCGTTTTTTTTCTTAGTTTTTTTTTGTTCTCTATCTGTCCTGTAAAAATCCCCAAATGGCAGCCATTTCATGGGTTTTGAGTTGTTTTGTCTCGATTCTTCTGCTGACTCAACGAGTCAACTCGGAGTCAATCCAGGAGAAGCAAGCTCTCCTCGACTTCATCCAACAGATACCTCACGAGAATCGTCTTCAGTGGAACGAGTCTGACTCAGCTTGTAACTGGGTCGGAGTCGAATGCAACCCGAACCGGTCTTCCGTCTACTCTCTCCGGTTACCAGGAACCGGTTTAGTAGGTCAGATCCCATCCGGATCGTTGGGTCGACTCACTCAGCTCCGAGTTCTCAGTCTCCGCTCCAATCGTCTCTCCGGTCAGATCCCTCCCGATTTCTCCAACCTCACTCACCTCCGGAGCTTATATCTACAACACAACGAATTCTCCGGCGAGTTCCCGGCGAGCATAACTCAGCTAAACGGCTTGATTCGTCTCGACATCTCTGCTAACAACTTCACCGGACCGATTCCTTTCTCAGTCAACAATCTCACTCACTTGACCGGTCTCTTCCTCGGAAACAACCGATTCTCCGGGAATCTTCCGAGCATCAGCGTTGACTTAACCGACTTCAACGTCTCCGACAACAACCTAAACGGTTCGATTCCATCGTCATTGTCTAAATTCTCCGCCGCGTCCTTCACCGGAAACGTAAATCTCTGCGGCGGTCCATTAAAGCCTTGCAACCCATTCTTCATCTCTCCGTCTCCATCTCCGACGGCGTCGAGTGATCCGTCGCGGTTATCGAAAAAGAAACCAAAGCTCTCCAAGGCGGCGATTATCGCAATCGCCGTCGCGTGCGCACTACTTGGTCTTCTCCTCTTAGCTCTTCTCCTATTCCTCTGTTTGAGAAAACGACGACGAAGCAATGAGGCTCGAACGAAACAGAGGAAACCAGCGTCGGCAGCAGCAACGAACACCTCCGATACGATTCCTCCGGCGGGAGCTTCGTCGTCGAAGGAAGTCACGGGGACGTCGTCGGGGATGGGAGGAGAGACAGAGAGGAACAAGCTCGTGTTCACGGAAGGAGGAGTGTACAGTTTCGATTTGGAAGATTTGTTGAGAGCTTCTGCGGAGGTTTTGGGTAAAGGAAGCGTGGGAACGTCGTATAAGGCGGTGTTGGAGGAAGGCACGACGGTGGTTGTGAAGCGGCTTAAAGATGTGGCGGCGTCGAAGAAAGAGTTTGAGTCGCAGATGGAGATTGTTGGTAGAATCAAACACCCGAATGTTGTTCCTTTGAGAGCTTATTACTACTCCAAAGATGAGAAGCTTCTTGTCTTTGACTTCATGCCTAATGGAAGTTTATCTGCTCTTCTTCACGGTTTGTCTCTTTAATTAAGCCATTTAATTTCATTGCTAATGCATATTAGTTAACAGTAGTTAGATACATTGTCTGAATTTCTGCTGAATTTTAGCTAGATTGTGTGAATTTGTGTGAATTTAAGTTCATATTTTCATGGTTATGGTTAAAATGTGGAAGCATAGTTGCAGATGATTTTGCTTAGAATGAAATGAAAGCTGGAGTGAGATTAAGGGAGTGATGATAGAATCTGATGCTTTGGTAATATTTTTTTCTAAAGATACTTTCGACATGTTCTGTGTTTTTATGCTTTGCTGTCAAGAAAAACATTCTTATTTTTAGCTGTATAAACTATAAACATTTGATATTTGATATTTGATATTTGATCTTATATATTTTTTTTAATTTGTGAGTGTGGGTAGTTATAGTAGTAGCTGTTTTGCAATTATTAAAATAAAAGGGGAAGTTGCCGACATTATATGTGTCTGTCTGGTAATTGTCATAATAATTCATAATTTTTGCTTCTCTCTCACTCTTTAAAGATGACTGAGAAAGAAAAAGAAAAAGACTCTTTTCTTCCACATGGGGCTCTTTATAATCATATCCTCACTCCTTTACCTTGAAGTATACTCTTGTCTCACTTAGTCAAGTAAAGTGTTTTAGATGCCATTTATTGAATTTGCTATAATCCAAGCTAATATCTGCCTAATACTACTATGAACATTGTTTGTTCATCTACTGAAACTGCATTTACATTTTGAAGCTATAATAAGCCAAGTTGATTCAATAGCTCTGTGCTGTTTCAGGGAGCCGTGGATCAGGACGAACACCGTTAGATTGGGACAACCGAATGAGAATAGCGATAACCGCAGCGAGAGGCTTAGCGCATCTTCACGTGTCAGCCAAATTGGTACACGGAAACATCAAAGCCTCGAACATACTTCTCCATCCAAACCAAGACACCTGCGTCTCTGACTATGGACTTAACCAACTGTTCAGTAACTCGAGTCCACCTAACCGTTTAGCTGGCTATCACGCTCCTGAAGTTCTCGAGACACGGAAAGTAACGTTCAAGTCGGATGTGTACAGTTTTGGGGTGTTACTTCTTGAGCTGTTGACAGGTAAATCGCCAAACCAGGCGTCGCTTGGAGAAGAAGGCATCGATCTGCCGCGGTGGGTGCTTTCTGTGGTTAGGGAAGAATGGACTGCTGAAGTGTTCGACGTTGAGCTGATGCGGTATCACAACATAGAGGAGGAAATGGTTCAGCTTCTTCAGATCGCAATGGCGTGTGTGTCGACGGTTCCTGATCAAAGACCGGTGATGCAAGAAGTGTTGAGAATGATTGAAGATGTGAACAGAAGTGAGACGACCGATGACGGGTTAAGACAATCGTCTGATGACCCGTCGAAAGGATCAGAAGGTCAGACTCCTCCAGGGGAATCAAGGACACCGCCACGTTCGGTCACGCCTTAGCAAAGTTGAAAGCAGCTTTTAAAGTCTTTGTGTGTTGGTTCATTGTCTCCTCCTCGAAAGGAGGTAAAGAAAATGAGATTAGTGTGTGACGTCTTTGTTGGGTGACGGTAAAGCAAAAGACTTGGACCATCTGCATTTTGGACCAACTTCTTTAAAGATGGTATCTCCTCCCATCTATTTTTTTTTTTCCTTTATTTATTACATTCGAGATATTTTAGTGGGTCTTTTTTTGTTGTTTGTTGTTTGAGTATTGTGTTTACAGGTTTAAAATCAAAGTTTAATATTAAACCACGTTGCTGTTTATATGATTTGACATAACACTACGAATTAGAGTTTTCACCCAACTAGTATCAGAGCACAAGTCCAATACTCATATAACGTAATCAGACTCACCAACCCATGTGTATGAGCTATATATAGTATGTTTCTACTACTTTTGGAGTTGTCACTTTATGCCTCATTTGAGCATGAATCTATCTTAGTTTCTGAATTTGCGTAACAGCCAAAATTTCAATCAAAATTGTGAACAAGAAATAAAAAAAACAATTAACAATGAAACCATCAAGCCGTTAACCAACCCATACCGTGGTAAAATTACAAAAAGAGATTTCAATTATGATGGAAATTTTTGTCTTCACTTAATACGTCTGATTACCTCAGAACTTATAATAATATCACATGATAGGCACGCATCCAACTTTATTATACATATAGGATATAGCCATAATCCTCATAACTCAAGTATGCTTCATGCATTGAACTTACAAGGTGGCTTATTGAAACCAAGACTAGAATTTGGAGATGAAGTCGACGATAAGTTGGAGGATCTCTTGTGGCTTCTCTTGGTTAATGAAGTGAGCCGCTCCCTCCACGACCACTACAGGCTCTTCTAGCAAAGGCACGTCTTCCTTAAACTTTGGACCGTGTATGTATTCCTTAACACCAGGCATAAAGTAGACCAGATCCTGGTCTCCAATCACAAACTTTGTAGGTACCTGGATTTTGCATCCCACCCATGGACCCAAAAGCTCATTGTTCCTGCCATTAGAGTAAAATGCGTCGATTTATCCTTTGTCGTTAATTTAAGCAAATCACATTTTTTCAAGAACAATACATTTTTCAGACCAAGACATGTAATAAGTGGTTTGTGTTATAATGTAATAGTTGTATTTTTATAATGTTCTTCAAACTTTGTCACATACTATATAATTACTTACTTACCGGTCAAAGTTACGGTAGAAATTGACTGCACCAGTGAAGCCTTTCTCTTGAAACTTGCTCACATAGTAAGCAACATCATCCTCCGTTAGCCAAGACGGCAAAGGAATAGATTCGTCTTTCGGTCCCCAAAAGCTTTTATCTCTAGGCATTATAAGTGGGCAATGAGTTCTATATGTGAGTATAGTCCTCATGACTCTCTCTACCCCAACCTCTGAAAACTCAGCTTCTATTTCTCCAACTTCCTAAACATTAAACATACCACAACCAAACCCTAATAAACGATATATACCTTCAAGAAATTTTTCAAGTTATAAAGAGGAAAGAAACGAACCTGAAACCTGTACATATAGAAATCGTCGCCGTAGAACTTACGCAAGCCGTCGAGAGGTTTAACGGAAGGATCTGTAGGACGGAAAGAGAACGGAACAGAGAGGTTGACCAGAGCTTTGACTTTATCCGGTCGGAAGAGACAAAGATACCAAGCGATAAGAGCTCCCCAATCATGTCCGACCACAAACACTTTCTCCTCAGTCAAAGCCGATATGACGGCGATTAAGTCGCCTACGATGTTGAAGCAAGTGTAGGAAGAGATCTCCTGTGGAGCGTCGGAGTCACCGTAACCGCGTAAGTCAGGAGCGACGGCGCGGTAGCCTAGAGCGGCGAGGCCGGGGATCTGGTGACGCCATGAGTACCAGAGCGTAGGGAAGCCATGGAGGAGGAGGACTATGGGACCATCGGAAGGGCCTTGGATTGCTACGTGGATGTCTATGCCGTTTCCTCTTATCTTTCGGTGCTCCATCATATCACTTCTTTGAATTGTGTGGTTTGGTTTCACTAGTTATGGAATTTTCTAGTTAACTAAATCAATCTGTCTTTATACTGTTGAACTTGCGTTTTATGTCTACGTCCATTGTACAACACGTGTTGGCTACATTACAAAACTGATTATTCAACTCTTTTTTGTCTTTTCAACTTTCTCATTATTCATTAGTGTAGTACGGAAGCTTCATCCGATGACCGCTTCCCATTTCGGAATCGGAATCGGAATCGGAATCGAAGCTCTTGGAAGTTTCGGAAGCTCGCTTCCATGATGCTTCCTAAAAAACCCTTTAAAAATTTTTGGAAGCTTGCAATTCCGTTTTGGAAGCTTACGCTTCCGTTTAAAAATATGATATCTTAAATAATTATGAATACTTTTATATGTTTATGATTTTATAAGTTTTATAAAAATGAAAAATTAATATACCATGTATTTAATTTGGCATTCACAAATTAAAGACTAATTTTAATCTATTATCTATAAAAAAATTGTTTGGAAAAATTATTACAAATAAAATGAGAATAATTCTTTTGATTAGAAAAATGCGATTTCAATTTAGTGATCTTTCTTTAATAACATAGATATTATAGATTATTTTACATGGAATTAGAGAATAACGAAATAAGAAACTAAAATTGGTTTTTGATTTGAATTATTATTAATTGATATATTTGATTATTTATTTATGCTATATATATATATATATAGACGCTTCCAACACGTACCCGCTTCCTAATTTTTTTAAAAATATCGCTTCTGCGCTTCCAAACGCTTCCGCTTCCGCGTATCCACTTCTAATTCCATTCAGCTTAGGTTTGACGTGTTTTCAAAATCCACTCATAATATCTCTCTCCCTGCTGTTACAAAAAAAAAATATCTCTCTCCCTCATGTATTTTCTAATTAATATGTTTTCCAGTTAATTTATTGTTTAACAAAAAAACGGTTATGCTTAATGGAATTTCTAACTATTATAAAAAGGTGTCTAGCTACAGTTGGTAAAATAAAAATTAATAACTTTTTTCACAGTGAGAATTGTCTAAAACAGGAGAAAATGTCAAATGCTTTACCCAAAAAAGAAAAATATCCAATCAACGGAACTAATTAATCTTTGAACATTTAAGCAAATCTCTTGATATAGATAGATTATTTTACTATATAAACCACCAAGACGGACATAATGTTTCCATCAACCTATTCTTCTTACAAATTCACAAGAAAAAAAAAGATTTTCAATTCGTTAGCAAATTTCGAAATTATGGCAGGACAAGTTTTGACCAAAACATGCAGTATTCTTATGATGGTAATGTTGGTATTATTTATGGTACAAGTATCTCATGCAAACGCGGCAGATATTTGTGGCAAACGCTGTCTGAACCAATGCTTGAAAGAGAGCAAAAACGCATCTCAAGATGTATGCAAAAAGGCTTGCAAGAAAATGTGCATCGAGCTTCAGTATGGGCAAGAAAAATATATCGTTACTCAAAGACAACCAAAATCTATTGCGTGTAGATGGATGAACTACGGATGCTCTTAAGTTCCTTTTTGAAAAAATTGTATAACATAAATTGTTTTTTCTTCATACACAATAACATTTCTTTTTATCATTTCATCGGATATCTCATGTTATTTATTACAAAATTTTGTCTATGTTTGCAATATGTATTGTTTTTGTCATGCCAAATTGAAATACATGTATTTCTTTAAAATTGCATCAATTGTTATCTCATCAGTTTTCAAAATCAGTAGATTTTTTTTTTTGTTGTTGACCACATTCCTAAGTTATCTAACTATAAAAATTGGAAAAAAAATACAAATTTGTTATTTTTATTCAATTAACGTCCGCTCCACACCTTGGCGCTCCCCTTGTCTCCAACGGCTAGTAAAACATAACATTCTATAACGAACATTAATTTCTAACCATTAGATCTTAATTAAAGTTAAATCTACGGTGCAAAATTTGATTCACAAGAAGGAAAAAAAAAATGACCGTTACAGAGAGAGAGAGAGAGCTAAAAAAACGTCCTTTTAAAAATAAAACAATCTCCATTCTCCATCATAATCAACTTTTACGCTCCAGAGAATTAGTATTCTTTGAGAGAGAGAGAGAGAGAGAGAAAGAAATTTCGAAATCGGTGGAGTGATTCAGAGAGATAGTGGCGTCGTCTGATTGTGTCGAAGCCGGGACGGGAAGTAATCGTCTCCGGGATTTCTTCTCCTCTCTGTTAACAAGTATCGGAGGAGCGTTTCTTCAGATCACAGAAAACGAAGAAGTTTCGAAAATGGCGTCTAGAGTCTCCGATCTTCCTCATCAGAAAGGAATCGCAGGTTTTTGTCTCTGATTTCTCCATTTAGACTCGCAATTTTTTTCTGGGTCTTGATCAAATTGTTTTGTTTTTCTTCTCAATTTCTTGCAACTGCGAATTATTATGGATCTTGATCAATATATCTGTTAACCGTTTGATTTGAATTTTTGTAAAAATCCTCAATTTCTTGCATCTTCTTGTGTCAATTTGAAACAAAATTTGTATTGAATTCTCTTGATTTGATCTGATGTATTAGTACTCAAGTTACTTTAGGTTATATATTATACATACAAATAAATCAGTTTCTGACCTAATGATGGATTTGTTAGGCGAAGTAAAACCGAAGATTGTTGCGGGACATGGAAGACAAAACAGAAAGGCTCTTGGAGATATTGGCAATCTCGTCAATGATCGTGATCTTGCAACCGGAAAGGTAAAAATTTAAACATAACTTCTCTGATGCTTCTGTCTTTGATCATGTTCTTAAAATGTGATCATATTTGTCCAGGACATTGCGAAGAAGGCGAAACAGTCAAAGTCCGAGGTTATTGTCATTAGCCCTAATGAAAATGAGAAATCTTGCAAACCGAATGTGAGCAAAAGAGGATCAAAGACTTTCACAGCGACTCTAAAAGCTCGGAGCAAGGCTGCAAGTGGAGTCAAAGATGATGTGATTGACATTGATGCTCTGGATGTTAACAACGAGCTTGCTGCTGTGGAATACGTTGAAGACATCTTCAAGTTTTACAAGATTGTTGAAGAAGAAGGAAGAATGAGAGACTACATGGAGTCACAACCTGAAATCAATGCGAAGATGAGATCGATTTTGATCGACTGGCTTATTGACGTGCACAGGAAGTTTGAGCTAATGCCTGAGACGCTTTACCTCACCATTAACCTAATTGACCGGTTTCTCTCTTTAACAATGGTTCCTAGAAGAGAGCTTCAGCTTTTGGGGATTAGTGCTATGCTTATAGCTTGCAAGTACGAAGAGATTTGGGCTCCAGAGGTTAACGATTTCGTCTGCATCTCGGACAAGGCTTATAGCAGAGAAGAGGTTTTAGCTATGGAGAAATCAATCTTGCGACAAGTCGAATGGTGCATCACTGTTCCTACGCCTTATGTGTTCCTTGCGCGTTACGTTAAAGCTTCTGTGGGTTGTGATGTTGAGATGGAGAAACTTGTGTTCTATTTGGCTGAGCTTGGACTCATGGAGTATCCTTTGGTCGTCTTGAACCGTCCATCGATTCTGGCTGCATCAGCGGTTTATGCGGCGCGACAAACACTTGGAAAGACTCCATCTTGGACTGAGACCTTGAAGCATCACACTGGTTACTTGGAAGATGAGATAGTGTAAGCTTTTTTAATCCACACTTTATGTTATTTTAGTTTCAGTTTTTTTGTTTGTAGTCATGAATTAAAGAATGGTTTTGTTTTGATTTGGTTTCAGGGAGTATGCGAAAATGCTGATGAAGTTGAGAGACTCGGCTCCAGAAAGTGCGTTGAGAGCAGTTTTCAAGAAATACTCAGTCTCGGAAAATGCTGAAGTTGCTCTTCTCCCTTCGATGGACGACTTGTCTGTATCTTGTTCATGAAGAAAGAAACAAACCCTAGTCTTGTTGATCATGTAGCTGTGATGATCTCTCTTTGTGTTTACTATTTCTGTGTTCTCTCCTGCATTTTTTGTTTGGTTTTTACTTTTGAATCTCTGTAAGATCGGTTAAAGAATCTCCAAATTCCGTTTGAATTAGTTTTACTGATATTTTGTTAATCTTTTGTCACATATCTCATCGGTAAAAGATTGTTTACATTTAAATAGCTACGTGCCATCTAATGTTGATCAATGCAGAAAGAGAATTGTAATGAAAACTAAGTGCAACAAGATCAATGAAAAAGATTAAATGAAATAATGATGAGCCATTGATTTGTTCATTATATGACTTAATGAGGAGCCATTGGCTTGTTCAACAACTATTAAATTTTTAAATGGAGTCATGTATTCAAAGAAATCACATTAACAAATTTTTAACATACTGAGTAAAAACACAGTTATATTCCTCTACTGTTCTAGTAAGATTCGCCACAAAACAAATGAATTAAACAAAATACATATAGAGATTTCAACATCTTCACTCATTCTTTCTTTTTTACACACAACAGACGACAAACTGCAATTCAAACAAAAACCTAAAAACTCTAAACTACAAAACAAAAACCTCTTACTGTTACACTTAGTTAAGACCCGTCTCTGTTCTGTCGTCTGGGCCTGCAAGCGTCACCTGCAACACATTATAGTTTTTCATACTCAAAATCAACAGAATTTTCCACACAAAAAGCATAGCTTCTAACTCCATCTTTGTTGGTGATACTTACATTGCAGTCACAAGCGAATCTTCTTGCAAGCATGATCGCAGCGTTTCTTTCTCTCTCAGACTCAAAAGCTACCACAAAGGACACACCTTTCTTCGCCTGCCAATACACTGCCTGAGCTGCAGCGTTTCCACCTCCTCTCACTCCACATAGCTACTCAATAATATATGATCAAACTTTATAAGGTTTCTAAAAAGATGAAGCGAAAAACGAGAGTAGAAACGAGCATTCGCTCACCTGCATTGCACTAGAGTAATACTCTTTTGCAATCACTGTCTTCCCTTTGCAAAGCTTTATCCTCATTTTACCAACGTGAAACAAGTGGATAGATTCTGATGTATGGTCTTCTCCACTCATCTGAGTCACAACTACCTGTTCATTACAACAACAGAGAATGACATTTTAAGCTGCTATTAACACATTTACCTATTTCATCCTAATGTATGGTATGTCATCAGCGTGAGAGAAGCCTTACATTGAAATCAACATCGTGTTTCCGTACTAATGCCTCCACGTAGCTTCCCAATCCAGCAGCTGCACCAAATCAGTACTTGTTTTAAGTTTCTCATAGTAAATTTTTCATGATAAGAGTAATCCATGGTTAATTCAATATAGTTTCTTATTTTTTTTAAGTTTAACAACTACTAAGCAACACAATAACCTACAAGAAGCATTTGATCATGTCGACATAAACAAGAAACTCTTTCCAGGAAATAAACATAACAATGAACCTGGATCAATCTTTCCCACTGTGGATAATGAAAGCGTATGGCCATCGTAAATGATATCAGCATGCAAGGCTCGTCCAACATCAAAAGGCTCGGGAGCGTAAACTGATTTTGTAGCACCTGAGATAGGAATATAGTTAGGAAATATTTCTCCTCAATGAGAAGAACAATCTTTAACTTGATTTGGGAAAAAGCTCACAAACCATATATTATATGGATAAGATATTTAGACAATTCAACTGAAGAAGGGAAAATAATAGAAAGGTAAAGGGACCTGATATTAGTTCCTTCTTGCTGTCATCTGAAGATGAACGATACCATTGCAACGCACATTTTGAAAGATCAGGAGCATCATCAGAGCAAGGTCTGACTCGTAAACAAGAACCTAGAGCTTCAGTGCCATCTATTTCATATAAAAGAGATATACTTTCCTCGCTCTTTCTGCACATTGCAAGCTGAATAATACAAGTGTGATACGGTATCAGAATACATTACACTATTACAGTCACACATGGGCTAATATGGGAGTTAAGAGCAATAAAAAAGTCATGGATTGCACTAAATAAGGAACATTGAATCCAAGTAACCTTCTTTTGTAGTTGAAGAAAATGTTTAGATTTCTCTGTAAGCTGATTCCTTAGCGCTCGAAGCTCATATTCCATGTCCATTACCTAAAACAATGCATATATTTGACATATCAAAAACCAACATAAGATACTACAGAACTAAACAGACTGGTCGAGCCATTTAAAACCCGCAAACGAACCACCTTTCATCTACCCACCTTGCTTGGCTGATGCAGCATTTTAATACGCCTAGCTTCTTGAACTTCCTTCATTAAATCTTCCATGTCCTGATATAAAATAGTAAACAATATACTATGTTTAAATGGGTCATTTACTTGAGATATCTTCAATCGTACATGAATTAACATTATAAGCATAGGAACTGTACTAAAATATGATAGAAGCCTGATATCACTAAGTAGTACCTGCTTCCCAGAGGCTCGAGACATCTGTTCATGTTCTCGCAGGGCTTCTTCCACTCTTTGTACAGCTGCTCTTGCACTCTCGATCTCAGCACGCGCAAAAGCTCTTTCCTCATCAACAAGTTTCTTAGCATCCTCTGAGGCCTAATAAAAGATTGTTACCACTAATCAGACAGCAAGAAAATTAGAACACGTGCGCATACTTTAGAAGCCAGACAAAACGGTAACCATTAGTTTACTAGGGACAACAGAAGAATAATACAGCAGAGAAACCAAAGAACTTCATTTCCCATTAAAGAAAGAAAATGAATTGAGTAGAGAAAGAACATTATAGTTCTTACTCAAAACAAATAGAAGATAAAACTACCCAAATGAAAACGAAATGGACAGTCTTTCTCCATCATCCTTCAAGGACTAGCAAAGACTACATGGTATAGGCATTGAACGAAAACATATTAGCTATTTCATTAGACTTATTTGTTTCAGGTGAAATGACATAGACATCTCCTAACTATTCACATCAAGTGATACAAGAATATAAACCCGTCACTGTCTCAAAAGACCATGCGTTACCTGCTTCAAAAAAGACGCCAGCTTCTTCACTTCCGCTTTTTCTATGAACAGCTCTCCTTCTCGCTGAGTCAACTGAACAGCTAAAGCTTCAACCTAGCAGAGACCACAATTGCCAAAAAAAAAATACTTAAGAAATAGAGCAAAAGAGGAAAAATGTTGGTGGTGGGATTTCAAGAAAAATTTGAGGAATCAATGTTGAAAAAGAAAAAGACTAACCATGGCAATGGCTTCCTCTACATCATCCTTGTTTCGACCTGCCACACGTCCTCGTAGAGACTCCAATGCATCTCGAAGTTTCTTTAAAAGAACATGTTTCTCCAAGGATGTTGCTTCTTTGAGTTTTGCCTGCACTCATTTCCCAACCAAATTAGCTTCAAATATATTGTTTTAATTATCATATCATCATCTAAGCAACTTAGATTCACTAATACCAAATTGAGAAGCTTCTATTGGAAATAAGAAACAAATTCAAAAAGAAGGAATCAAACATAGGATTAGGACATATATCAGACCTCTTCTGAGAGCTTAGCAGCAGCAGCCAAGCCTTTCTCAAACTTATTAGCGAGGTCACGAACAGACATACGCTTTTGCTGGTCCATAAGCTGCGCTGTCTCACGCGCAACAACCTCTTTCATCGAGAGCACTTTAGGGTCATCTTTCACATCAAATATCTGGTCATTAGCACCGATTCTGTAATTAGGAAATCTGCTTGAAGCAAATTTCACATCTGCTGATATCGCTGGAACAACATCTTTGTGTAATGAATCCCGGAAATCTCGTGTAAGTCTTGTCATTGTTGTGTCTGATTATAATAAACACAATGGAAAATGCTTAGAGCTGAATACAATTTTAGATAAAGCAAAGATTAATAGATAAAAACACAGAATCTCCTAAATTACCAAACCAATCCAAGAGGCTCACAGATCTGTCCGATAATATCAAAATATCTGAAATATTAAAAATTAATTTTCTCCATCTCCTCCAAATGTTGAAGGTAAGCAAACAAAACAATGTTGGAGACAACCATAGATTCCACACACGTTAAAGAAAATTAGAGGAAGTCAAAACCCTAAATTACCAAACCAAATAGTTGCCAACAACTACGAACTACCCATACACCAAATTAGTAACAAAATCCAACGAACAATTGAAATGGTGAGTAAAATTTCCCGGGAAATGAAATCCAGAATCAGAACACAAAACACTGCGGGAGAAACCTATAATACGAGAGCAATGCCGGAAATTTAGGCAACGAATTTGAAGAGAACAAGGCAGAGATGGCTAAAGAGTCCTTACCCGAGACCGATTTTTGGATCCAATGAAAGTTTATGTAGTTGAAATCAGAGTTTGAGACGGCTGTCAGGAAAAGAAGAAGGAAGAAGAAGATTTGGTTTGAGCAGAAGAAGAAGAAGAAGAAAAAGTGAGGTTTGATAGAGTCGTAAGCATTAGCTTTACTGAAAAGCAAATACCGTGATAAAAATTGTGGCTTTGGTGGAAATACTGTGTGACTGTGTGTATTTTTCATTTTTTTTAATATTCATTTTATTTTAAAAGCTTTTGGTTCAGACAATAATTTAAGTTTGTTTCGAATTTTTCTTTTGAGTTTTTCAACTCTTGTTGCTGCGTGTTCTGTCTCTGTAGCTGTCACGGGGTTCGGCTTTTGTGTTTAACTGCCACGAAGAATTTAACATTATTATTTTAACCATTTTATTTAATCGGAAAATAGTCAAATAGTGATATTTATAACAAGAGTGGATTTGGTGAAACTATAGACCCAAACCATTTGCTTCTGTTCATTTTTTTCCAAACAATTTTTTTCTATCTACATTTCAAATAATAATAAGTCAAGTACATATTACTACATAGATAACAGAAAAAAAAAACTAGGATAAATATGCCCACTTACTCTAAAAAACTGATATTATTAGACAAATATTTTAGGGAGCTACATTTTAGTACAATCAGTCATCTTAAACGACACAGTTCTAGAAACTGTGTCATATCCAACAAGAAAATTCATCTGCGCCAAGTTTCCATAAATAGATAGATGGTCACTTGGAGCAAAGGCAAAGCAATACAAATCCTTAGACACTTCCACAAACGTATTCACGTTATCCAGTTTCACATCACCTCCTTTGAAATGAATAGTTATGTGTGGAACTTTAAGATTAGAGCTCTTGTAACATAAACTCAAGAGTTTCTCAGGATCTTGCACTCGCTTTGCTTTGATTTTAGAAGCAACTGCTGACTCGAGCTCATGATACAACTTGGATGGCAGCAAAGTTAAAGTCGTCCCTGAGTCAATAATGATGTCTCCTTCTTTACTTCCACCGATTGAGCTGTTATAGACTCGAATCTTCTTGCGACCCACGCTAATGGCTTCTAGCGTTAAGAAATAAAACGTTGTTGGAGGTTTCTTGACCAAAGGGGTTGACACAACTCCATTTCCCGAAACGATGCCGTTTGTTCCAAAGTTGATTTTGCTCGTTAGGTCAGTTTCAGACGTTAAAGGTACTAAACAGTAAGAGAACTTGCCGTTGATAGATTTCCCAAGTTGTGAGACCAGTGATGTAGATCCTCCTCCAAGCCCGATGATCCCCGAGTCCATTTCGTCAAAGGTTCCCGCGTTTTCGTGTCCACACCCAATGATCATGTTTCTGAGCGACACAGAGCGGCGGCTGGCAGATCCGAGTGTCACAGTGTCGACGGCAACGTCACCTTTGGTGTATGACTTGTCACCGTATGACATCGAGTAGGAGCAAGTGTCTTTTCCGGTAGGACAAGAAGAGGTTTCTTCTAGGGAATGACATTGGCTTGAGGAACAAGAAACCTTTTTGTATGTGGATGATCTTTTAGGATCGAAGAGTGGAGCCTTCTGTTTGAAACAATCTTTACAAGGACTGCATTGAGTCCAGATCAAGTCGCTTCCTGTGTCTGCAATCGCTAATATTGGGAACGGAGGCGTTCCAATAGATATGTTCATGAGATACTCACCGCGATTTGAAGTGATAACCGATCGTGGTGAATCTGGTGAAGAACTTTCGTTGTTGCGCTGGAGTAGACTTCGAGCCGAACGGTGGATTGCATTTCTCATACGTTGTGAAGATGTTTCAGCATGGTTGTAGAACGGCGATTTGGGAGAATCTCGGTGGATCAGATCGACGGTGAAGCCATGTTTTGGATGGGCTTCAGCGTTAGAGATGAACAAAAGGGTGAAAAGAAGTGCCGAAATTAGAGAAGCCATTTCAAGAGTTCTTTGTGTAGTTGTAAAGAAGATATTTGAATGAATTTATTTGATGCAAAGTATACAAAAAAAGTAAAAACGAAAATATGGATTATTGTTGTTGACTATATAAATGAGTTTATATTCCATATCTTAAGGTAATTATGGTAAGGTATGCAACAAATTAAGGATCTAATATTTTGACTAGAGAACTTGTGAATACGTACCTTAATTGAGTATGTATCATTATTGAGATGACTTTTAGTCAGATTTTCCGTTTTCACTTTATGGGAACATTTTTAAGAATAATAAGTACCATTTCATGGTTTCAATATTTAATATCAAGACCATAAATTTTAAAATAAAAAAGAACCAAAGAAAATAACCAATTTCTAAATTTGTAAATATAATATCATTGACTTGTTTTTTAATTAAAAGTTCGTTATACTTTCAATCTTATCTTTTGTCTGTTTTCAATTACATAATAATATTTCCAAAACTGCCATATTTTTTAACAGTTTGTTCAAATGGTGGATGTGCATTAAATGGATGGCAATCAACTGATCAAGCACTGGACAGTTTCCGGACATAGAAAGTTTTGCATCAGATGGTGGTATGAAAGAGACCAACAAAATTATGTATCGAGAAACGAGATAGATTTCGGAATAAGGCTGGGTTCAGTTGTGGGCTTAAGCCCAACAAAATAAACTGTGAACTATCTTCATTTTTCTCAGCAGACTAATACGACGTCGTTTAGCATCACACTTGTTCTTGTCCTCCAAGACAGAAAGGAGACTAGAAAAAAAGCATAAGAAAAGAAGAACCGAGGAAGAAGCAAACAAGTGAAAAATCGAAGCAGAGAAGCGTAACAAGCGCAGAAACAGATAAAAATATCAGCAACTGAAGAAATTCGGAAGAATAGTTATGGAAGGTTCGTCTTCGTCGCCGTCGTTGATCTCCAAATCGGATGGCGAGTTGGAGGAAATGCTCGATCGAATGCTCACGAGGCTCGCTCTTTGCGACGACTCGAAGCTCCAAGCCCTAGTCTCTAATCTCCTTCCACTCACTATATCTTCTCTCTCCTCCCAATCTCCTGCTGTTCGCAACAAGGCAAGTAGAATTGGCTCTTCCACTGAAATTTAGATGTTTGATGATTTCAAATCGTACGAGCAAGATTGAAATTGGGGTGGGCTTGTTGGGAATCGTCAATTTCAGCTCATTTCGTGTTGATTTTAATTTTTTTTTCTTTGAATTTGATAGGTTCTCGAGATTTTGAGTCATGTTAACAAGAGAGTGAAGCATCAGCATGAAATTGGTTTGCCGTTACTGAGTTTATGGAAATTGTACACCGACTCTGCTGCTTATCCTATGGTTAGGAACTTTGCTATCGTCTATGTTGAGATGGCTTTTGAACGAGCTCCTGCAAAGGTTTGTTCATCTCATTACTTGTTTCACGTTTTTTTTTTGGGTGGAAATTTGCTTAACCAAATGAGAGGACTAATTTGTGTTTCGGTTTTTTATAGGAAAGGGAGGAAATTGCACCTAAGACATTGGAGAATATTTCAAAGCTTCCTCAGCAGCACCAAGAGATTCTTTTGAGAATTGCCATTAAGGTGGTTTCTCAGTCTTTGCTTTAGTGTAAAATTGGATTCTGTTTGATGGCTTCCTCTCATATTTAGTTGTTAGTGCTGCATATAGTGCTAATCCTAAACTTTTCATGTGGGGAACATATTAGGTGATCCCTAGTCTGTTAGTAGAAAAATTGAAACACAGGAGAAGACCATTGGCAGCTTAATTGGTGGTATTACTTGGATAGATGATAACTTTAGAAACTCTGTATGCACAATATACATTAATTTGCCTTTCTATGTCCTTCTGATTCTAACTGAATTGTTTTCAGGTCATTGGAGAGTGTCATGCAAGCCAGATCAGTGATGATGTCTCTGAAAAGTATAGATCTCTGAATGCATCTCAGGATAAGGAATTGTTTCTGGATTTTTGCCTTCATATGCTTTTGTATCAACCATCTTCTCAAGGGTATGAACTGCATTCTGAGTGTATTTCGACTGTCTTTTGTTATCCAGTTATATCTGCAATCTGCATCTAATAAGAGTTGCCCGGCCTTCTAATTCAGGGGAGGATTTTCTCCTGGGCTTTCAGTTTCTCAAGTTAAACGTATACTGGGAAAGCAAACATTGAAAGGGGACATGCTTACAAAAAGAAAGGTCTCTTAAAGAACTTCAAACATAAGTTTTTCGATTGCTGCATTGATCACTAGGGACTATCTTTTTTATATCGATCATTTTCTTAAGCAGTTGGGGATCTTAAATGTCATTGGAACCATGGACCTGCCGGGTGAATCCTTATATCCATTGTACATTGCCGCGTCAGTGGATAGGTATGCTTTGTGTTTTAGCCGCATGACATACTTTGTTCCTGCCACAGGCAATGAAATGCTATTTTTATCACTTCCCTGTTGCACTTTATTTATACTCTTCATGATCCTGAGAGTCGTATGGATTTTGTTGGTGAAAATTTATTCAAGTCAAGAACCTGTAGCTAAGAGAGGGGAGGAGCTTCTAAAAAAGAAAGCTTCTGGAACAAATATGGATGATCCCAAGTTGATAAACAGACTGTTTTTACTATTCAATGGTACGTGATCTTTTTATTTGACATTTTGATTACTATTTACATTTATATCATTTGATTCCTATGAATAGCTTAACAATTATACCACTAAGCCCATCTAGGAGCAGGTCTATATCTACTGCAAGGTTAAATGATTGAACTTAAATTTTTTCGGCTACTCGTGGATTACATGACTAGGGATCACCTTTGAGTATGCAGACTCTATTGCAAATTTTCCATGTCTGATGTAAAAACACATTTGTATAAAATTTGGGAGATCCGGAGTGTTGAAAGGGTGGTGTCTTCTCGTGTTTGTGTTTTTGTTTTTGTCTACTCCATGCTAAACTGGAAGTCATCAATTTGATACTATGCAGGCACTACTGCCACTGAACATGGTAATCCAGAACAGAATGTAGCTCCAGGAAACACAGCCTTGAAAATGAAGCTCATGTCTGGTTTCTGCCGTTCGATCGCAGCTGCCAATAGTTTTCCTGCAACGTTGCAGTGTATATTTGGCTGCATGTTTGGTATGTAGGTTAAATTTAAGAATGAGTTGTATAATGGTAAAACATTTGTATGACCATGGTCTGTATGTACAGCTGTTTAGTTAGATAACGTATATATAGTATTTATTAATAGATAGTCTTACATTGAGAATTGAATTCAAACAGATAGGTTGCACTACAGACTCTACAATATTCTAAAGTAAATAGTAGGCTTTTTGAGTATTTTAAGATGAATCGTTTGGCTTGTTCGTGATGCTAGTTTGACTCTTAAGAGGATTCGATTATTAAGTACCAGGAAATCACTTGGTCGCTTCGTGCAGTTAAAAGAAGAGTTAAACAACAGACGATTATTGATTATTTATGAATTCAATTCTCTATGAATTAGGTTCTTCGTTTCCTTTTTGATGATGATTATTGATTATTTTCGCTGTTTTCATGGGAAAGGTATTGGAACAACCTTGAGGCTAAAGCAAATGGGAATGGAGTTCACCGTGTGGGTTTTTAAGCATGTAAAGTCTTTCTGTTCTATACTTCAGCTTGAAATTTTTCCTGTTTTGTGTAATGGTTCTGTGTAGAAACAACTCAAATATCTTTTGCATAAGTCAAAGTATTTCAAGTTAGATGTTTTTTCTGGAAAAATTCGTGAAGGATCATACCAACAGTATCCCTTTTTGTTTTTATGTTTTCGTGTTTCAACAGTCTTTCTTACTGAATTTTCTTTTTACGTCTTTGGACTTGTTTAAATGCAGGGGAAGATAGAACAGTTGAAACTTATGGGCCCTGTTATACTGAGTGCTATATTGAAAATGCTTGATGGTTTCACACACTCAGAAGCAGGTTGGCTTGTTAGAAAAAAATTAGTCCCAACTTTCCGTATAAGGATTTGAATGAGGATTTAAGTCGATATGTTACTTGCTTTTCTTCAGATGCTCTATCAAGGGAGACCAAGACATTTTCTTTTCAAGCTATTGGTTTAATTGCACAACGCTTGCCTCATCTTTTTAGGTAAGGGCGTCTCTCTGCTGCCCTTCACTTTTTTTGGTGTCGTTTAACAAACATATTGTTTGCTGTGAACTTAATTTTCAGAGAAAAGACTGAAATGGCTGTTCGTCTTTTCGATGCGCTGAAGTTAGAAACCCAATCTCTTCGTTCAACTATCCAGGAGGCCATCATTTCTCTTGCTGCAGCGTACAAGGTGCGCTAGTTTAACATTGTATCGACAAATTAATCGTTTCTTTTTATATTTTGGTCCTCTTGCTCCCAAAAAGGCAAAAGGTTATGCTATGAAACTATTTTCTATTTTACATTCTTTTGGAGCAGTATTGGTAACATGTTATTCATCTTTAGGACTCCCCGGAAAATATTCTCAGGGATTTGGAGGTGCTTCTGCTAGCAAATTCTCTGGCGGTATGTTGACTTTTTAGAGATGATTTATTCCGCTTATTTGCACCACTAAGTTCAAGAACACCTGTTCTGCTTGTATACGTTTTGAGGATGATTTTGTTACCAAACTATCATGAGATTCTAAAGTCTAGTATCTGTATGGCTCTCACTGACCAGGAACAAAATGAAGCGCGCTTTTGTGCTTTGCGATGGGCAACTTCTTTGTACGATTCACAACATTGTCCAAGTCTTTATATTTGCATGCTCAGCGCAGCAGATCCAAAGTTAGATATAAGGTAATAGAGTTTATCTGATCTCAGTGCGTATTGTTGTGAACGTGGCATGTTTAATTGTGGCAAATGAATTTTGACTGCTCTGGAGAACGCTTTCCACTTTAGTTCTTTTTTCCTCCCTGTATACTTTTTTACGAGTACACATGTTTTAAAAAATCAAAGCTTAAATCAATACCAGCATGCATGAAGAAACACTAGCCACCAACACATA